CCCCCCCCCTCCCCCAAACTTCTCTTTCTCACATGCGTGCTACTACCGCTATTCTTCTTGAACCCGTATTGTTTGCCTTCACTTCTGTCCTCCCACGCACCAACCACCATTAAACCTCAACCTACCACCACCTCCACCTGCAATCTCTGGCTCCTGCAATTCGTTGTCGCTCTTCGATCACTGCCCCTTAGCTCGCCTTATTTTCCGACATCCCTATCGGTCCCGATCATTACAGCCATTCGAACATGGCTCCACGACGTCACAACATTGGTGCCAGCCGCCGAAGGAGAAAAGATGAGGAAGGTGAAGATGAGGGTTCATTGGATGGCGAATTAGAGGATGACTCCCTCAGCGAAGGTTCCGTGATTAGCCATCAAGATGACGATGACGCCGATGGTGAAGGCAGCGATGAAAGCGACGACGGGCTCCCAACACCATTGCACCACCCTCATGCTTCACAGCCCAGTCGTCGAAAGCTCAGAGTACACCAGAAACGGGGGCGTCGCCATTCGTCCTCTCCAGGCAAACGGCTTGTTGCTGGCACCATGTCGGACACTGAGGCCATGATGAACGGCATGAAACTATCCGAAGACAACACTCGAGAGGCAGAGATTCATTTCGATGACCTCAGAGGAGAGCTAGATCCTTCGACGGGAAGAACACCATCGGCACCACCATCGGAACCGAGACGAGAGACAGTTACCGAGAAGAAACGCCGCGAGCAAGAGAAATTCATAGCCAAGGACAAGGACGAGAACTCTGCTGTCATGCCCACGCGAGGGAGCTTCTTTCTTCATGAAAAGCGCTCTGGCGACACCGTGACAAATGGTCACAAGACCTCCATGAAATCCAAAACCAGACCATATGGACTTATTGTGGATGGTAATGTGCGCAGGTGCGTCAAAACCCATCCTCCCCTCTCGTAAAGCCCGGTCGCTTTCACCCTTCAACAACATCACCAGCTAACAAGCTGTAGGCACAACATCAAGCCAGATGCAAGCGAAGGACAGTGGGCTCATGATCTCCACGATACCGTTGCTCAAGACCATTCGTCGACGACAGTCAAAGCACCAACTGTTACAACAGGGTTCTCAAACTATCCCCAGCGACCTGTTCCCACAGCCCCTAGATCATCACCACCCAACCGATCTTTCTCAAGTACTACGTTGATTGGGAACGTGCCTGTGGTTGTTCTTCTTCCAGGCATGGAGCAGCCCATCTCTTATCCGGCAGTAACAAAAAGACAACACACTCGACTTCCCCAGCATCGCCCTCCGTTGCGTCGCGATAAGCCTGTCCGGATCTCGCTTCCGGGCCAACCGCCCCGATATATCTTCCCCGCTATAGAACGGTCTTTCATCTTCATCCCGCGGGCGCTGCGGCCGAACCAACAGGCATTTCGGGGGCGTCGTGGCGGCTTCATGACGGGGCGACGCCCCAGTATCTATGCAAGTTCGGCGTATGCCCCCAGTGTCAGCATCAGTCGACGGTCATCCTTGGGCAAGCCGCCCTCACAGGAAGGGTGGCACTCACCGGCTGGTTCGGTCTTCTCCCGGCATACCATCATCACCGCTGAGAATGGAAAGCCGGTTGTTCGCCTCCCTCCTCCGCGACCGCCCCTAGGAATCCCACACGTTCCTGCTGGGCCAGTGGTCGCTCCTTCGGCAGTGCCCCCTCCTCTGCCTTCTCTACCGCTGCCCCCTGCGTATCGTGAGAGCCGCCCGGCTCCCATTCCGATGCACCAGCCTCGGCCTCAAAAAGCCGTTTCGGTTGCCGACATTGAGACGCCGGCAAGCTTCCCCTTCAATACGCCCCAGCCCCAGCAGGAGCAGCCCTTCCATCACCAGGTGCCAATGCCCGCCAATGGGCCCGTTTACGGTCCGGAGGCCTCGACCCACGCGGCTGCTGTTCAAGCGTCTGCAACGCCAGTGTCGCACATCCCCGACCGCGCGATCCATGCCCAGCCCTTTCAACCCTACGGATTCCAACAGCCTCAGGTATTTTATCCTGCATCCTACCAGGCCACTGCCGTCTATTATCCCAATTCTGGTGCGGAATATGCCACTTTCAACGCGGCAAATGGTTCAGGAGCCCCTGCACTGCCCTTTCCGCAAGGACAACATGGGCCCCCCTACATGGTGCCGCCGGCGCCTGCGTCGGGTGAACAAGCATCGCAGCCAGGGATGGTGGCCCATGAAGCTGGAGGGACGGTGTACTTCTACGATGCCAATCAGATGTATTCCAACTCAGCATACGGTGTGCCTAGTGCTCCCGGGCCCGGTGGGGTGGTAGGCATGGGTGGGATGTTGACACCTCCAGGCGCAACTTATTATTATCCCCAGTCTCAAAGCGGTGTTTATTATGCCTCACAGTGAGTCCCTCACAGGAAGGCTTCGTACGGCCTATCTCCGTCATGTTCTCTTCTCTCAATTCCCCAAAAATCCTTCCCCTCACATACCCGTCCTTGCCGCCTCGGTGGACTGGTCCCTCTATCCCTTATCGCCTATTACCTCTGATCCTCATTTCCCACGGAAATGCGCCTCTTCTGATACTTTCTTTCCAAAAATCTGATGATGTTTCTTTTCTGCGACGACTCTTCTTGATTTGACCTATGCTCACTCTTCCGCCTTCATCTTTTGCTGGCATAGGCTTACCGAGCGTACTGCGCCGTTCGGACTGTCTTTCAGTTGTGGTTAGATTAGGCTTTTCTGCATTACTAGCGAATCTTGTGATCTCCGCCCTTCTTCGTCCTTTACCCTTCGTTGACCCATCATACTATAAGCTTCTGCGTTTCTTATTCTTGATATCTTTGCTGTTTTTCTTTTTCTTTTCTTGCCTTTTCCCCATTTTCTTTGTTCTTGATTGATTTCTGGGGGGGGAACTGTCTCTATGCTCGTTGGCTGCGGGACAGCACTCCCTCCATTGTACGGATACCATTTCTGTTCAATGTACTCACGCAGTGGATGAATGGCCATGGCCCCCTTTTTTTTTTTTTTTTTTTTTAATGACTTGCCCGCATGTCCACTTTCCAGGGTCTCTCTATGAGGGTGTAGTGTGCACGAGCTGAATGAAACTCACAACCTTGATTAGTGTTGATGCCTAAAAAGTTAGTAGTGGTGGGAGAGACTGGATGGATCGGCGGCTAAGCTTGTTTGATGGGAGCCTGTCAGTTCGAGAGGGGAAAGTGGCAAGCTTCCGGCGGCGAAAGCCCAGCTACTGTCAAGGAGCGTCCATCGTACGGAGTATGTTTGTACACAGTATACTAATTCTTTCTGGGTCGCATGATGCAAGAGGGAACCGCAGGAAGACGTATGCCGACATAATGAACTAGTTAACTTACTTACAGCATGTACGGAGTACTCGTATCGACAAGAGCATTTGCTGGGTTGTCCCTCGGCAGGCATCTGAGCGTGACGTCAGCGCCGGTTGTTCAAACGAGCCCGGCAGCAGTAGGAGGAGGAGGAGGAGGAAGAAGAAAAACATGGGTATCGTTCGCCCAGTCGGTAGTTATAACATCATACTGCGCCAAAGAGATAGACAATTGAAGCCTGGAGGAGTCCAAATTTAGACCTCATGGAGATGCGACTCAGCAATGCCTCAGTCTGCAGATATCGGATCCACCGGGAGAGAGATCACAGAAAGAAGTACAGTCTACCTGGGAGGTACGGAGTACTTGGGTGATACTGTGGAGTCCCCGAGTGTTGGGGTAAATTAAGTGGAAGAGACCCGGAGATCCGTGCCGTACAGATAGACAATGATGATAGCAAGGAGTGGAGAATCATCCGAGGAGGAACTTGAGGAAGATCAAGTACTGTGTGTACCTGGTCAGGTCAAATGGACAATGATCAGAAGCATAACTAGTAGTTATCGCGTCACGGCTGAGTGGACCATCATTTATTTAAGTCAATTTAAGAAATTAGTTAAGGTATAGTAAGAAGGATGCAGTGAAGGATGAAGAGCTCACCGCCTCGGCCGAATGCAGCCCAGCAACAACTGCTTGCTCTCACACCAGCTGACCTCCAGCTGCGTTTTCTCCCTCTTTAACTCCGCCCTTCTCCTCCTCTGGGCCTCTCTTCCTTCTCTTCCTCTCCTTCTCCCCTTCTACTCTTCCGTCATCGTCTCTCCTCCCATCTTCTTTTCCACCAACAACCACCACCACCACCAATATCTCTTCCCATCATCATCATTATCATCATCATCATCATCATCTCGCCCATCAATCTTCTTCTGGCTCTCTCTCTCTCTGCCTCTTCTTTCCTTGATTTCTCATTTCTCTCTCACAACCACCCTCGACCCACCACCTACTTCTATCAACCAACCCACGCCACCCCTTCACCTTCTATCCTCCTCCTTCGCTCTCCTCTTCTACACTTCCATCTTCCTCTCCCCCATAATTCAACTCCATCTCAGCTGGGCTGTTTTGGTCGATTCTGTGCTTGTCTCGTGCTTTACCACTACTACTACTTGAGCGCTCCTGGACTCCGTTAGCGTTGCCGTGCTGCCTGATCCATCAGGTCCAGACTTTCTTATCTCGACGCCAAGCTAAAGCTTCACACGGTCGGACATCATCATCCTCATCATTATTCTCATCAAACCATCATGGCCACTCCTACTGCTCCCACTCCAGCTGTGGGCCCCAGTACCTTGATCACTGTCAAGGTCTTGTATAATGAGAACACTCGCCGCTTCAAAATCCCGTTGAAAGAGCTTGGAGCTCGCACTTTACCCCAGAATGTAAGCCTTCAGTCCCCACCCACTTAACCGCCGACCGGAGCTCTTCCGCTTTTCCCCATCAATTCTAAAACCCTTTTCCGCTTTTGGCTGTTGCTCTCTCTTGTCCATTGTGTTTCCCTTGAGGGAGCCATCCTCTTTGAGGTTGTCATTTCCTAAACTATGTGTCCTTCTCATTTCCGGGTCATCACGATTCCCATATCACTTTTTTTTCCATCCCGGAATCAGGATGTAGTCTTTTGTACCAGTCTCGCGACCTTTGCTCACCACATATTAATCTCTTTCTCGCTTGTAGCTCCGCCAACTTCTCAGCGTTCCAGAAGACGCCAACGTGGTCTTCGAGCGGTACTCTGACAGTGCTGGCTCCTATATACACTTGGACAGCCAGAACCCGGCCGTTTACAAACAGCTCTACCGGGCTGCCAAAGCCAAACTCAAGCTGCGAATCAAAGCCACGACTATCGATGAGACTGTCCTTCAGCCCTCGACGGAGGAAATCCCGCAAGAACAACAAAATACCTCTCGATACAACTATCTTGAAACTGTTCTAGGCTCTCCCCTTCCGGAATGCCAGGCTGAATTTCTGCCTACTACAGCTTCCGCATCAGCAACCGACTTGGTCGACGACCTGGCCAGTCCCATGCCAGTAGAGACTCAGACCACTCAGTGGGGTGCTGAGCCTACTCCTGAGCCGAATTATCGCGACTTCGTGTTCAACCACTCTCACTTCCCGGCTGTGTCCCATGCGTCGTCTAGTGGCGTGTTCTGCATCGACTGCAACCGTTGCGGTCTATCCATTCCCAATGAACACTATCATTGCAGCATTTGTGACGGTGGAGATTACGATCTCTGCCCCCAGTGTGTGAACAGCGGGGCTACCTGTCTCAACGAAGAGCACTGGTTGATCAGACGGGTCGTCAAGGACGGTCAGGTCACCATCAGTACCACTGAGACAGTTCCCCCCCGCAAGGTCGCTGTCGATGATATCGAGGAGGTGCCTATGGCGCCTGCGCCAGAACCAGTTCGTGAGCCTTCTCCTGAACCCGCCCCGGCTCCTGCTCCGGTTTCAGCTCCGGCTCCGGCTCCGGCCTCTGTGGCGCCAGGCCTCAGCAACGTCCGGATCTGTAATGACTGCCTCAAAGGTAAATCGCGTCCCTGCACGCAATCCGATCAGATATTGACCTGCTTTAGAATCCGAGGAGAGCAAAATGGTCTCGTGTGCCGATTGTGCTGACTATGACCTTTGCATCACATGCCTACTGAAAGACTCGCATGGTCATCACCCCGCCCACACTTTTGCCTTGGTCGAGGACCGACAGTTCGCCTTGAAGAGTATTGTCCAGTCACGCTGCAACCCCGGACGTCACCATCACCATGCGGCGATCTGTGATGGATGTGAGAAGGTAACGTCTTTCTCTTTCTGATTGATCCTCATTCGTCGATTAGAGAAAGCTAACAGCTGTGCCTAGCGTATTATCGGTGTCCGTCACAAGTGCTTGACTTGCCCGGATTGGGATTATTGCAACGAGTGCTATAAAAAGGTGTCTCAGCAACACCCCGGTCATCGTTTCGCTCCCATTTACGATTCAATCGCTGAACCTCTGACCAATCACGCGGTGCACTACGGTATTTACTGTGACGGTCCCCTGTGTCGAGCCAAGTCATGCCCTACATTCATCACTGGTACTAGGTACAAGTGTTCCGTATGCCATGATACCGATTTCTGCGCCAGTTGCGAGGTCCATCCGACAAACACGCATAATCGAACTCACCCCTTGCTCATGCTCAAGACGCCGGTGCGTGATGTTCGGATCAGCACCTTCAATGAGGCCGAGCAAGGAGTGACTACGCTCGGCGATTGTCTTCCGAAGTCTGTCTCAACAGAATCTGCTACTCTGGGTGAACCTGAGCCTCCGGTCCAGGAAGCACCCGAACCAGTGAAGCAAGCTGTCGAGGAGGCAGAACCTGCGAAGGAGGCAGAACCCGTGAAGGAGGCAGAACCCGTGAAGGAAGCAGAATCTGTGAAGGAGGCTAGCCCTGTTTCACATACCGCGCCGGGCTCAACTCTGGCTGTGGACTCTGCGTCTGGATACCAGGCTTTTTTTATCCGTGACACAATTCCTGACGACACGGTCATGGCCCCTAACACACTTTTCCAGCAGACGTGGACTCTCTTCAACCCCGGTCCATCGCCTTGGCCCGCTGGGACAGATGTGCGGTTTGTTGGCGGCGACTCAATGTTCAATGTGGACACCAACCACCCATTGAGCCTGAATTCCATCGCCGCAGCTATGGAGAGCAACAAATTGAGTCAGCCTCTAGAGCCTGGTCAAAGTGCCGACTTTACAGTGACCCTTAAGACACCTAGCCGTCTCGGTACTGCCATCTCTTATTGGCGGCTCAAGCTACCTACCGGGATGCCGTTCGGCCACCGTTTGTGGTGTGACATTCAAGTTCGCGAGGTGAACGAGGCCCCGGTGGAGGAAGATCGCAAGGCTGCTCCTGCTGAGAAGGCAGGCTCATCCGAACTCACTGGCAGTCAAATGATTTTCCCCAAGCTGGAGAAGGAGTCTCCGGAGTCGAGTACACACGAGGCTGCAACCACGGCTCCCTCAGCTCGCTCGGTGTCTCACCGCTCAGAGCTGGATGTGCTGGATGACATGGACAGTTTGACCTTGGATGATGAGACGGACGTTGGTCTCCTGACAGATGAGGAGTACGACATCCTCGACGCCAGCGACCAAGAGTACCTGGAGGCCAAGTCTCAGCATTAGTAGACTAGCTTGGTCCAAGGCAGTTTCACGACACCAGTGGACCTGTCATGATTTGCGGGGATTTCCAAAGCACGGGCTTCTTGGGTTCTGGCCGGAGTTAACGAGCGCCGAATGAAAGTGGGGACAATGCCTCGGGGGGGTGGGGTGCTTTTGGGGGTGTTTTGCTCTTCCAGTTCCATTATCCACTTTCTTTTTACTTTTTGATTCCTTTACCTGGTGTCTTATTTTCACATTCGGGGTTCTGTAAGTCAAGGAAAAAGAGACATGCATCTAGCCTCAGGACAATTGGGGCGGGGATGGTATGAAATTAGGTATAGTAAGAGACTCAACTCACAGTTTTTCTCAGATTGACAAGTAACCTTTTTCTCCAGAAAACGACTCCAATTTCCATGTAGTACGGAGTACTGTGTAGCCCTGTAGTTACAGTACACAGCGTGCCTTTACCGAGGCTGCGATCTCCACCCTCTTCCCCGCATTCCTCTTCAAGTGATATGAAGTGCTGATCAGTGTTTTTGGTCCCTCGTCCCTTGCCTACTCTTCTTCCTCTTCTTCACCTTCATTCTCCTTTCTCCTCCCCCTCCTCCTCCTCCTCCTTCCGCCACCTGGACGTTGCCACGAGAATTGGGACTATTCCAATACGTATGCACACCCGGCTCAGTCGATAACGCCGTCACAAGCAACGAGACTGGCGGCACCAGATAGCCTCGGGTGCCTTCTTGCACGATGAAAAGCTCTCTCAATCTCGCCATCCTTGTCCTGATGGCGGCCACTCTCTATGGCCCCGTTTGTCACTGGCTCACTGTCATAGGAGTCTTCCGAGCCGCCATCGACGTCGTCTTGACAGAGGCCCACAAAATCCACACGATCGAGGACACTATGCAATGCGAGGATATGCATTACTACCCACCTTCGGGTCAGATCTTCGCAGCCTGTGAAGATTCCTTCTTGCCCCGATTCAAGTGGTTTCCACCACTGGGACAGTTGGAGGGACCAGCTCAATCGACGGGTTCATTTCACGTCATTGATCCCGAGGTAAGACGCCTCCACCCGGGAAACTGGTCATGCGAGGCTTATCGCATACGATCAGACCCTCAAGTCCACGCGACTTGCATTCGACAACTTCTCCGGGCCCTTTGTTACGCATGGCATTGATCTTGTTGCCGATCCGGACCGCGCAGATGCGGTTTACATCTATGCTATCAACCATCTGTCGAATCCGGACTACTTCGACAACCCCTCGACTGAAGGCGTTCCGAAGGCACGCTCCCAAATTGAGCTCTTTCATCATGTCTTGGGGTCGAACGCCGTCCGTCATGTCCGCTCGATTTTCCATCCCTTGATTGTCACGCCAAACGATATCTACGCCGAAAGCCTACACTCAATCTACGTAACCAATGATCACTTTTACCGGGAAGGCATGATGCGCACGGTCGAAGATATACTACCCCTGGCAAAATGGACCAACGTCATTCATGTGAAAGTCGATCATCTGCAGTCGAGAGATGCAGCTACAGGCATCGATGCTGTCGTAGCATCCCAGGGTTTCCAGAATCTCAACGGACTGGGACATGGACAATCCAAGGATGAAATGCTGCTGGCCAGTGCCGCTGGAGGTATCATGTATCGTGCCTGGGCAAACCGCGACAACCGCACGCTCTCGGTCGTGGATGAGTTTGCGTTCGAGAGCACGATTGATAACCCGACCTACTATCACGACCCTTATGCCACTCCCGAGGACGACGCCAGCGGATATGTGGTTGGTGGTCTATTGCGGGCCGTGGATTTGCCTCGCACTCATTCTGACCCGAACGCACAAGAGGGCGTCATGGTGTGGCATCTACGTCGTCATGTCGGAGACGCAACGGACCCGGAATGGGAGAAGCGACTTCTTTTCGAGGACGACGGAAGTAATATCCGATCTGCCAGCACGGCCCTGTTACTTCCGATGGAGCCCAAAACATCCGCGGAGAAAACAGGAATGTTGTTTGTGACCGGTTTTCTGTCGAAACATATCATTGCTGTGGAGGTCCCATTGTAGAGGAGGCTGTAGCCCACACCCGGAGATTATTGTTCCCTTGGACCTCATTACACCTACTGTGCCTGCTCTTCCTTATTCTTCTATACCCTCGTTGGCTTGAACTAGAGAAGAGGAAAAAAAAAAAAAAAAAAAAAAAAAAAGAAAGACTAAAAGGACTATGTATTCTTCCTCAATGCTTTGACCCCTTCCTCCGTCCCTATCACCTCAGCGAATTCGCCATCCAAGCTCGCCAACGAGACTGCATGCACCGTCTCCGCGTCAAAGCCCCCCTTGTCCCACGTTGCAGTTGCATCTGCGTCTTCCACCAAGAGGATCCGCCCTGATCATCTGTGGTTACTTCATACATGCCGGTCCTCTGATCCATCTCCCTTGATACCCCGGCCCCAGCCCTCGGGTCTTCATGCTCCTCGGGACCAAGACGTGGATGACCTCGAGGGTCGCGGGGTGCGTGAAGACGGCTTGATTGTCGATTAGGAGGAGGGCGGCTGGGGGTGGTGAAGGTTATCGGACAGTGAGGGGGAGGGCATGGTGGCGGGTTGGGTGGAAATGTGAGTTTGGTCGTGGTTCCTCAGGACCAAGTGCTTGAGAAAGTGTGGTGCTTTCATCTTGGTATCAAATTGTGGTGTTGTAGTGAGGAGGCGATGTCATGTATATATAGTTCATGGGGTTGTCGATGGAAGTGAATGAGTTACTATGGCATACTAGTACTATTATAGACTAGTATAACTCTCAATAGATTAATAATTACAAAATGCCTTGAACCATAGGAGCAAGGCGTAGCTGGAGAGAGATTACCCTTGGCAAAAGATTTCTTGCGTTGATTCCAAGCAGCGGTGGTTTTGTGGTGGCTGTGGATTGAGACAATGACGAATGTTGATGCCTCGGCGCCTGAGAAGCTTGCCGCGTCGCGTTCAGAGTCCAAAACCACTTCGAGATACCATTCATCCCCCTTCTCCATCGGTTCCATCACGCTATTCGGGTATTCAATCTCTCCCATTGAGCCCCATCATCAACCTACTCTGCTCCCTCCCAGTTGGACTTCACTGGCGATACAACAAAATGCCGGTGATTCCCATTGCCCCTCGAGCTCAATTGCTCCTCCGAGCAAGATCACCACCACCTGCAACCTCCTTGTCCAGCCTCACTGTCTTCCTCCGCCATCGACAACAACCGCTAGACCAACATCCCAAGTACCAGGACTTCTCCACCACCTCCACCACCCTCGCCAAATCTCACGCCCGTCCTCCATCCTCTCAATCCGCCACCTCCCCTCCGTCCTCCCGCTCCTCCACCGCCACCCAGACCCTTGCAACAGACATCAATCCCCCGGCGAGCACCCGTCCAGCAGACCTCCTCCTCCCCTCCGCCCTGAGCTCTTCCCCCTCCTCCTCTTCCTCCACTTCCTCCGCCACTTCGCCCGCCGAGAAATTCAAATACTACATCGCCATCGGCCGCGCCTACCTGACCTTCTACAAAACCGGTCTCAAGAATGTCTACCACAACTACCGCGCCGCGGTGCCCCTCCGCCGAAGCCTGGGGTTGTCAGCCTATCTCCCCACCTCCCCATCGCTACCACCAGCGATTAAAGATCAGCTGAAGGCGACGACGACGACGACGACGACGACGAAAACAGGATCGTCATCAGTCAATGGCGACCACCACCACACCACCACCAACAACAAAAAATCAGTTGTCATCTCGCGCTCGACCTTCCAGCTCCTCCACCGCTCCGCCTACGATATCCGCCGCATGATCCCCTTCACCCTGCTTCTGATTGTCTGTGGCGAATTCACCCCTCTCGTGGCCCTGGCGCTGGGAAATGCCGTCACCCCGCGCACGTGTCGGGTACCCAAGCAGCTGGAGAAGGAGCGCGGGAAGCGCATGCAGCGGAAGAAGATGGCGCTGCTGGGCCGCGGGACGGTGACGGCGCCCACGGTGGGCAGTGCGGAGGAGATGAGCGCTCTGCGGTTGTTGATCAGCAGGAGCATGGCCCAGGATCGGGAGGCAGTGGCCCGAGCGTGTGCGGTGTTCGGGTTGGCAAGGTCGCATGAGGCTCCGGCGTGGGCGGTGCCCTTGGTGTACCAGAGGCGCTTGGAGCGGTATCTGGAGTATTTGGCGATAGATGACGAGTTGATCCGGCGAGGTGGCGGGGTCAAGGCCATGGAAGCGGCCGAGGTCCGCATTGCGGTGGAGGAACGCGGCGGGGTTGGCGTGGGTTTCTCGGAGGTGGGAAGAGACGGGTGGGAGGTGGAAAGGGAAGAGAGACGGTGGTTGGAGAAGTGGCTGCAAAAGAGGTGAGGGGGGTCCTGGAGTCATGAGATCTTTCCAGGCTCCGGTACTACATGTGTAGCATAGTATGCGTATCGAGTACATGTTCCATTGGGATCTACAGCCAGTCGATCCACAGAACCGTCGAAATATGTGCAGGTGTCATTGCTATACAAACTAGACACTAAGTCACCGAACAGTCCGAAAAGGGTGTCATGCCTGTTGCCTGCAGGTCTGGCCACAATCTGCTATCCAAGTCAGATACCCCGGCCACTACCATACAATAGTGATCCATCACACACAACCAAGAACGCCGCCCGCAGCAATGTACATCCCTCCTTTTCCTCAGAACCAGCTGCTCAAAAGAACTTTCCAATAACATAAGCAGCCGCCGCTAGACAACTGATGATATTCAACAATCGATCAAGACAATTAAAAACAAGTCATCACTCATCATGTGGTCACCTGGCACGGGCCGCGTTGGCCGTCGCCTGGTTCCGCTGTTGCTTCGCCCAGCGCAGTCCACAGCTGTTGCACAAGTCTCGGTTGCCGCTGGGCCCCCGCCGCCACTCCGGGGTGGTTTTGGCCCCACACATCGAACACACCTTTTCCACCATCAGAGTGCTTTGTTTGCGCTTACGCTTCTTCCGCCGCGTAATCAGCCGCTGCATCTCGTCCGACAGTGCACGGTTCTGCTTCTCTAACTCCCGCAATTCGAGCTGCCAGCTAGAACCTCGCGTGGGCGCCAGTTCCGTGAACAGCGTATTATCGTCCAAAGATGCCAATTGCTGATTGCCTGCCGGCAACCGGTTGGTCCCTATCAATCCCGATAGATCTACTCCGGCCGGCATGAATGCCGGGTCCGTCGATCCAGATCCCGATTCGTCGGTTCCTGTCTTAGGGAAGCGTAGCTGTGCTACTAGGAAAGAAGGAGGGACCCCTTCTTTCGCATCGCCAGGTAGAACTGTGGTTTGCACGGGCAGCATATGGCCCTTGCGGTGACGAATCTTATGATTGAACGAGACCTGTTGACCAGCCCTCGCGGCCATGAGCGCCTGTAGAGCCTGCGGTCGCGTGTCCGCTCCCATGAAATCTTGAATGCCCTTCCCAACTAGATCTTCCGGAAACCGCCCTAGCACCGGCCGCGCCTTCGATGACATATAGAGAATGATCCCGGACATTGACAGCTTCGCCCAAAGATCATTCTCTGACAGACCCCCGTGACGAACGACAGCCTCAGAATCAAGATCATACACGGCCCGAGGACGACCCACCGAGACCATATATTGCCGCCCGCGGTCAGTAATATGCCACGAGCCATGGCTCTCAAACCAGACATAACCACTGTGTTTCTTGCGAATACGGTAAACCACACTCACCGGCTCCGGGGTAATGCAGGCACGAAGTTCACGAATCACAGGACCAATATCACTGGGATGACACACAGCCGAAAGTCCTTTCCCGACCAATTCGACCGCGTCATACTCCAGGACCCTCGAACAGGACGGGGACACATAGAGAAATTCCCCCTCGAACGAGATGACATGGATGACGTCATCCGTGTTTTCCACAAGCATTCGATTGAGCACGTTCCGATAGACGGGCACGTAGCTATTCAGTTTGTCGAGTATGGTTGACACCTGCTCAGGTGCCCACATGGTGATCAGCTGCGCGTTGACTCGGTACATATCTGGAGGCGGGACTACATAGTTGGGCAACTGATTGCGCTGATAGTTGATCATGTACGTGCCATCTGCAGAATAGGCGAGTCAGTCCGGCTCCAAAGCGCAGCGCGCTATCTTCACAGAAAAGGGCTCATACTGGGATTTCGCCGGGTGACGGCCTCGGGCTGCTCCACCAGATCGACCTGGAAACCTACGTAAAAGCGGTAATCCGGCCCGCCCCATCGAATCGGAATCATGGTGACTAGGTTCACAAACGGTTGTCCACCTTTCCGGTAGTTGATGATAGTGGCTTGAATTTCGCTCCGATCTTCGATAGTCGACCGAAAGCGAAAGGCGGTATTTTCATCGACGAACTTCCGCGTCATGCCTTGGTACACCACCCCATCAGGGCCTTGCAGGAACCGACAGTTACGGCCTACGATTTCATCACTGGTGTAACCGGTGAGCCGTTCAAACGCCTCCGAGACGTAAACAATTGGATGATCCTCCTGGGTGATATCGCAGAGCACAAACGCACAGGACAAGTCCACCGCACCAATGTTGATTTTGGCGTCCGGTCGGGACACTACCTGGGCCTGGTACAGAAACAAACAGTGAGTGTGGCGTTGAGCAGGCGAGCCGGAAGTCCAAACCTACCAATATCCCCATGACATCAAAGCCGCTACTGGAGTAGATGCTAGAAAATGGAGAGTCGTTACTCGCTTCTGTCTTAGGCGGTGGTGGCAAGGCCGCTGAAAAAACGTCAAGAACCCGCATCAGTCATCCGATATGATCAGGACTAGAACAAAGCAAGACCTACTCTTTGGCGAAGGCCGTTTTGGCTGGATGTAGCGATGGGAACCGGTAGCATTTGAGGCTTGTGGGTAAGCCTGCTGCTGCACCTCCGCTTGTGCAGTAGCGGCAGCCCGCCGCGAGCCGGTCTGAGCGCGCGCGGGCGCGGGGCGGGCCGTAGATGTGGAGGGCATCTCGGAGGAAGGTCTGGGCGCGGTGGCAACTGCAGATTGCGGTTGCGGTTGCACCGGGGCGTTGAACGCCTGAGCCACGGGGGGAGTCCAGTAGGTGGGCGCGAGCGCCGGTGGATTTCGAGGGATGGGATACGCGCCAGGTACGGAAGGGTCCAAATCGATGACTTGGGTCGGCATAGAGGGGCGCTGGACCGCGGGGTAGTGTTCTAGATTAGGATCTAAGGCGCCAGTGGAGGTGGCATGAAAGGTGGAGGTATCGTATACAAAACCATTGGCGGCTTCCAGGCTCATGGCCATGCCATGGCCGGTGGCAGTGCCAGACATGGTATCGTAAGCATGGAGTGAAGCATTCTGAAAGTGGCCGGCCAGACCGGGGGTCTGGGTCGCGCCCGGGGGATGGTCGTGCAGAACGGCTTGTTGCAGGGCCAAAGCATCCGGATGGGATGGAATCAGGGGCCCAGAGGCACCGGTGGACATAAAATCCGTAGGGTGTGATTGGTAGGGAAAAGTTCCCGATTGAAACTGGTCGGCATTGGGGTAGGAAAGCGGAAGTATGGAAGCATGCTGGGCGTCAGAATAAGCGGGCTGAGGACCCAGTTGGGGATCCTGGATAGGATAGTGTGCCTGATAGAAGGTGTCGTCGAAGCCTTCCATGGCGGATTGGGGGTCAAGCCGACGACTCAAGCAGTCGACGGACCAGGTCCGATCGATTCAAGATGAGGCGGCAGGCCAATGGGAAAGTCGCATCGAGGCCGCGGCAGTGCGCAGGGAGGACAAACAAGGTCGGTCCGGACTCAAAAAGGCCCCATGTAAATCCAAATCCGAAAGTATGGAGCGGCAGAAGCGATGAGAGGGAGAACAAAGGTCGATGATGGGGTGGCGTAGAAAGGGTGATGGAGAGAAGAGGATAGAGAAGAAAAAGCTAGGTGAAGTTTAGGAAGGAAAGAGAGGAGGCGACGGAAAGAGAAAAAGAGGAAGAATAAGAAGTAAAAGGAAGGGGAGCCAGAATGGGGGGTGGTGGTTGATGGAGAAGCCAAAAAATAATAAAAATAATAACAATAAGGACAATAAAGATACTAAATCGACTGGGGTAGGGAAAGGGAGACGATGAATGGTCAAGTCAACCCATGTTCTTGGGGGGGGAATTTAATATAAGAAGTCGACTATCAGCCCTTTGGGGGATTCACAAGAGCAAAATTGGGGTGAGCGAACGAACGGGCGAACGAACGAGCGAGGGCGAAAGGCGGAGACAGACAGACAGAGAGAGAGAGAGGGAGAGAGAATAGCAAAATGATCTATAAGTTAGTATTATTGGAAGATGAGGCACAGGGCGAGCGTGTGCGCTAAGATAAAGTCGGGAAGAGGAGGAGGGGCAAAAAAGAAATCTTGTCGACGATGACTGGCAGCCTAGTCGACATCTCGCATGGAAATGCCCACAATGAAGTAGTCGTCAACCCCCGCTCCACTTGGTTGAGGGTACAGTGGCTGGGGACCTTTGTCAATGTCAATCACTCGGAAAGAATTCGACTGGGATGAGGAACAAGGAAGAAAATGGGAGATTGAAGCCGGAGGTGAAGAAAAAGAAGAAGAAGAAGAAGATGATGATGATGATGATGATGATGATGATGATGATGATCAAAAAGTAGGAAGCAGTAGAAGAGACGGAAGAGAAAGAGAGAGAGACAGAGAGAGAGAAACACGAATGTGACCCGAAGAGGGAAAGTGAAGGCGGTGGGAGGCAACTGGTGGGAGTCAGTCTGGGAGAACACCAAAAAGTGCGGAGTTGATCTGTCAGTTTGGATGCATCCACCACCACCCAAGATTGCAGAGTGGAGAGACCAACCAGCGAGTTCGGGTGAAAAAAGAGGCAACCGGGATAGACAGAGCTGAGTCTGTGGAGTATGGACACTGGCTTGCTTTGACATTTCGACAGACCACACCACACATACTTACAAGGATACTACTACTAATGATGATGATGTTGTTGATGTTGTTGATGATGATGATGATGATGATGATGCTGCTGCTTGCGTCCCAGGGGGGCATCATGCCCCCCTTGTCCCATGACACTGATGAGGATGGGGATGAGATCTATGCACAGAACAAAACTTCCTTGTTCTCCCTCCCTTCCCTGCCTATAAGTCATTGTTCTTCCCCCTCCCCTCCTGTCATTACCAACGGATGCAATTGTCCTGATCAATTTGTTTCTCAATCATAGCTGCGGAAACAAATGGTATTAAAGAGTCACTCACCTGTTCCTCAGCTTAAGGGGGCATTGCCCTCTGCTCTCCCTTTCATTATGCAAAATCTGGTCAACTTACTCCGTACTCTGTACCCTCCATGCCAATCTCCTTCCAATTGTCTGTCCCCTTCTTAATCCCCTTTACTCCTTATGCCACATCATGAAGGGAATCATGTACTTGCCCATTCACCCCTCGTTAACGGTAGGTATACATTGTATAGTTTGGACATTCAGTAGTAGTAACACTCTCTAGTTACTTGATAGTATTCCCCCCCCCCTCTCCGTTCACACCCTCTCGTGCCTGGCCTGACTCAAATCATTTAACCCTGTTCCTGTGCCTGAGTTCCTGCTGAACGTTTCACTGGGCCCACTGAGTAGGGCGATCACTTATTTTAATCTCTCAATCCTCCGTTTATATTCTTCCGCCAACTTCTCAATCTCGTTTCAATTCAGGTTGCCAACTATTATTTTCACGCACCCCACATCCTCTGAGACTTTCAGTCAGTGACCCTCACCACCATGACTGAGTCCCCGGAGAAGATCTCCATCACAATTTGTGGAGATGGTGGATGCGGTACGTGAACCCTTCCACTCCCCCCCCCACGCCGTCATCATTTACCCCTGAAAATGTTGATGGGGCGATAAGAGGAAAATCCTCCGCTGCCACGTTTCGCGTGTGCATGGTTCTTGTCATCATCTTTATACCCTAGCTTAGACTGATCGCGGTGTAGGGAAATCCTCCATCACTTTGAGATTGGTGCGCAGCCAGTGGATTCATGAGTAAGTACCGACTGGATATTGTGTCACTGCATGCGCAACGCCCACTAATCCAAGTGCCCGGGCCAGGTACGATCCTACAATCGGTAAAAATCCTATCTTATCATTGTCCGAGACACAAACCCGAGACTCTCTAACACGCAAGGGACATTGCAGAAGATTCCTATTCTGTCACGCGTGTTGTGGATGGAGTCCCCTACTTCTTATCCATCACCGACACGGCGGGCCAGGAAGAGTACCGTGGGCTGTGGACGGCTGCCAACCTGAAGTCCGATGCCTTTCTGCTTGTCTACGATATCACGAATCAGTCCAGTTTGCACGCCTTGGATTACTTCATGGACATGATTGAGATCGAGACTGAACAGCGAGCCGAACGATGTCACCGTCTCCGACAAGAATTGGGAGACAGTGCGGCAGGCCTGCAGGTAGGCATGCCGCCTCCCGTCAAAATCGTAGCCGGCAACAAATGCGACCTGAAGGAGAGTCGGGTGATCGGGGCTCCCCAGGGCTTGGAGTACGCCCGTAGGCATGGCTGCGGCTTTATGGAGACCAGTGCCCGCGAGATGGTCAACATCGAAGAGACATTTGCCCGTAAGCTTTCCGTCTGATCCGGTCTCGATGTGCAGCTTCTAACATCATCTCAGTATTGGTCCGCCGAGTGGTCGAGGCGCGCCAACTTCATTATCAAACGACAAACCCGAGTCCTAAGCTTGCTCAAAGCAGCGGCTTGGTTCCAGAAGTAAACTCCACGGCTAGCACCATCGTTCATTCTCCCTCAGTGGAACCGTCCCTGAAGCATGTAGCACCCCGAAAGCGAGGGCTGGAATGGCTTCGGCGGAGGGAACGAGTCCATCAAGGGCAGGCTGCGAAGCATTATGATGACAAGCCCGATTCGAACATGTCATCAGAACGAGAGAAGCGACCCAAGCGTCCAGCAGCCAGATCCTGGCGACGAATATGGTGTTTTTGATTTGGTGTTCGTGCGGCCAGCCGTGCTGGATCTCTCCGCTGCCTGCATTTGTTATTGCGGTTCAATGCGTGTATTATATTCATATACCCTTGTCTTACATGTTCTTACCACGATAGCTGTTGAATAAAGATTCCAGGTTGCTCTAGCCCTTCAAAGACCATTTTACTACGAGTCATTCGAGGATGTTAAAAGTTTCCCCTTAGCTCATGACGAGATGGACAGCATGCAGGCCATTGAGCAATGGGCCCATTATGAGCGTACTGTGTAATAAATGCACCGACAAACACCGTGGCTGCATGAGGTCATAGGTGAGTCCAGATCGTGGACCGGGGCATTGAGCGTATCTTATCGCCGGCATTGGATCGCCAGGTCATCCAGTGCTTAGACTGCTCATGCGCTGATCCGGCCTAGACGTCTTCTTCCTAAGCTGGAGTTCATTTGTGTCTCAAATCGTAAGGTAGTCTCTTTGCTTGAGTGGGACCCCTCGGATAAGGAACGCGGGATGACGCTATGGTTTTTTGGAGAACCACGCTCCATTGGGGCGGGTTCTAGACTCGTAAAGCGAATTGCTCAAGCCATGTTTGTCCTCAACTGCGTGTTTGAGATTGGGGAGACCCCGGGGTAAGGTAAATTTCTAGTAGTTCGTTGATGATTCTGTTTGTATCAGCCATGCATTCCCCAACCTGCCGATCCCTCGTGGGCCGACATCCCAGACACGATGATCAAGATGATAACCCACTTACACATAGATGAAGCATGTCCGATTTACCCAATTAAGAGAAAGGCTGCACGGGTGAATCTGGAGATGATCTTCAACACGCGAGAAAAGAGAGAGAGGGAGAGAGCGATGGAGGGAGGGAGGGAGGGAGGGAGGGGAGCAGTATGGAGGTTAGTAAGGAAGGGAGCCGGGGAGGTGAAGGGGAAAAGTTCGGTAGTCCAAGAGGTCCTTCGATCATTGATTTTGATCGCAAGGCTGGGAAAAATTCAAAGTACTACCCAGGTTGAGACAACGAGACAATCACAATCCATCAGCCATCAATAGTGGCGCAGTGTCAAAGTCAATTTCCACACTATACACGACTCCGACTCCATTCTCCTCCGTTTCCTTCTTCTTTTTTTTCTCTTTTTTACCACCCCACAGCTGCGAACAGCTGCTTGATTGCACCAAGATATGGAAGCTGGAAGAATCCAATCAAGCCAGCGACTGGCATGAACAAGCTTGAGTAGACCTGATTCCGCAATCATGAGGTAGACATCGGTTCGAACTAATCAAGCATGGTAACGTCATGGACTGACATGGTCTCATCCCGTGGTGGAAGCTGGGGGGGAGCAGGAAAAGAAAGAAAGGACTAGTCCACACTCCTCCTGTCGGAGAAAGAAGGCGAAGCGATCGGACTGGAAAAAATAAAGCAGAACAAACCCCCGATCAACAAACGACAGTCTGAAATCATCGAAGCTTATCGAGATATTGGTGGCAAGACTGGGTCAGTTGGCATAACTGCTGCCGGCTTAAGCTTTTCCGACGGATGTTGTCATTTGTATCGTGAGTTAATAACTAAAGAAAGGAAGTTGGTTACTCGGTACAGTAACTACTGAGTACACACTACACAGAGAGATACGACTAAGATATGAACATGAACATGAATGGATAAACGAAAGGCTTTTGAGATCGTCGACCTTGGCAATGAACCCAACCCCGTTGCAGTAAGACATCCTGCATCGAAAGCTCCCGGTTTCTGGCCTGTTCGGCATGACTCTGCCGAAAACTGCCCAGGTGGGCTTCCTCTCAAGAACGGCTGTTGTGCCGTAATGCCGAGCTTATGCAGGAGGGAGATGTCATACCCTGGTGGTAAATCTTAGACATGTTTTTTTTCGATCTCCTGTCATGTATACCAGGTATCGGCCCCGGTAAGAGTCTGGTAATGTTTCCTCTGCATGGATGATGATACCTTAGTTACCCAAGGTGTCAACCACGATTAGATCAATTAGATAAGTTAGCACCATTTGTCCAAAGAACTTGGTAGTCAATTCTCTCCCCCGTCTTGATCTCACCCTGAACTAAGTTGCGCAAGAAGTTCTCGAATAAATGAGTGCTCATATCTTGGGATACACTCTGGAGCCAAAACAGACTATCGGATATACGGCTTCAGTGCAATGATTTTCCACCCGATCCACCGGAACGGTATTGACTCATCTGGGTGATGAGACCCTCACGGGACGGAAGATGGAACCAGAAACAGTGATCATGTAACGGGATGAAGAACTTAACTTATGGGCGCAACGGGGGGGGGGAATATTCTATGGCTCCTCCCTCCCCCAAGTCTAGAAGAGCCAAAGGGATTTCACCACCCCGGGGTCCGAGGCTAGGCCCGCGACACGCCGATTCAGGCAATCTGCCTCTGCCTCGCGCAAAGTTGCAGCTCCCGTTCCGTTATCCGGGATTCGTATCAGGTAAGGATACCCTACAGTGACGTATCGGTGGCATTATTTTATACAACGTCCGAACGAACGACCAAGGGCTATTTGGCTAACGGGAGAGCTGCTTGTTGTACTTGATTGAGTTAGGAGAAGGAGCTCAAGGTGATGTCAGCCTGACCAGCAAATAACTCAACTCACTATCAGCTTAGTGCATATGCAGTCAGTCAGAAATATTCATTCTGTATTCATGATCTTTCAACCTACATAGAAGGCACTTGGTACTGTACCGATGAGAAATTCTCCACCGGAAAGGGGAGGGGGGGCGGGGGAGGATGTGGGTTTTTGGGCTGGTCTGGTTCGGTCACTCGTTACAGCCGTTGCCTGTAAATTGTAAAACGATGGATGACCCGTGCTGGAAACATCCTTCGATTTACTTGATTACTGAGATGCGGACTAGACCATTTCAAATCATTATAATAATGATAATTCTTCCATAATAGCCCTCCTTCCCTCCTCTCCTCTCCCTTCCACTTCTTATGTTTGAATTCTAAAGAGCTTCCTTCTATTCTTTACTTCCTTGAGTTCTGGTCTCGAGCTCATTCCTTTGCGCGGATCCCCTCTCCTACACTACCACTCCAAATATACTTGCCCAGTTAACCCTATCTCGATTAACTTGATTTCCACCGACTCTGGATCATTGCAACCCTACCCAGTGTTCTGGCTCGATCCAACTTATTCTCTCGGCGTTCCATCAACTTATGCGCCTTACATTGGCTCAGAGGCTTGAGGTCGGATTGATTACATCGGTTTTACCTTTACTTTCCCAAAATCGTTATATCATCGGTCAACCTTAACCAACTCCCCCCGGGGTCGACACTTGAACCAGTACAACGTCTACTGCACTAAATCTTTCAGAAGGAGAGAAGACGAGAAGCTAGCGACCTACTCGACTTAACTACCAGATTCTACCACCGGGCTTGGGCGCCGTCATCATCATCCTTCTCGTCTGGTTCCCCCTCTATTCTTCTATCTTTACCTTTTCCTCCTTCATCTCCTCTCTCTATTCTCCTGCGCTCCTTGTCATTTGAGGAGCTCCTTTCGGAGAAAGTATAATCTACCTACACACCTACCAACACACACACACACACACATATATATATATATACACACACACACACAATGACAGCCCGACAAACGTCACCGACCTCAGACCACTCACATTCGGACGGCAACGTTCGTAAGAGGGTTTGTAAGGCATGCGATCGGTGTAGATTGAAGAAATCCAAGGTAAGCTAAGCCATGGTTCGACGCATCAGCTGTGGCCTGATGCACTGACCTGGCGCAGTGTGACGGAGCCAACCCATGTGGTCGGTGTAGGACAGATAATGCCATCTGTGTCTTCGGCGAGCGAAAGAAGGCTCACGACAAAGTGTACCCCAAGGGGTGAGCGCGTTCCTTGGCATTCAGCCTTCGCTACGAGTCCAATTATCCCTGAATCATGAGCTGACTTCTGAGTGGCAGATACGTTGAAATGCTCGAACAGCAACAGGCATGGCTAGTCTACGGACTCCAAGAGCTTTACCGACGAGCCACAGAAGGCGACGGCTGGCCTGGCGAACCTCTGCAATGCGAGCCAAACGGCCATCCGCTGACGCACGATCTACTGACTCGACTGGGGGCTCTGGACCAGACAAAAGGCGAGCGCTTTGAGGAGAGCACGGAGGCAATGCAGCAGGAACTATGGACTCAGAACGCCGGACACATGCAACGCCAAGATTCGTCCGATGGAAGCTCCGACAGCGCGCAATCGCCCACTGTTCCCACTCGGTTTTCCGATCCCTTTGCTCATCAGATGCCGCCCACACCCACGACATTCAGCGCTCCTCGTGCCCAGGGACCCACGATCAAGACCGAACCGCAGATAACCCCATCGAATCCCGCATTTGCAGCATCCATGTCCATGCAGGGGGTGGTCAACCCCTTGGCACTTCAGACCCCGCAACAATGGCCCAGCAACAATTTCGGCTCTTTTGATGACATCGACCTGATAGGGGCCTCAGATTACACGAACCTTTCCTTCGATGAGCAGGTCTCTTCACCTATGTTCAACCGGTCGATTCCCATGAGCTGCATGTTGACCTCATCGTATATGGATACCAAAAACGACTACGAAGACATTAATCAGTTCCTGAATGCAAACGCAGCTGAGATCGCGTCTACTTAGTGATCCTCTAAATGGGGAGAGTCTCAACCACTGTGACGCGGCAGCTGTGTAAATATACAACATATACATGCATGCCCTGTCCTTCCAGCGTCTTGTTCAGTGCCACTGTCTCTTTTCCTGGGATCGAATGCTCTCCCACTCATGGCGGAGAGCAGTGGCCAGACTGAACAGTGCGACTCTTTCTTCTCTAAAGTGGTTGGCCTCATTCGATCCGTTGCTGTGGAAATAACCTACGGCTTCCTTGTTGTTTTTCACCTCGATGTGGTCCTTTTTCTCCTTTTACCTCCAATCTTTATTGTGGCCCTTTTGAATTCAGCCACTTTGAAACTTCAAGGATAACATTGGGTCTTGGTTGTGGGTTGGTTGGATCTTGGGTTTTGGGTTTGTGATGATGATGGTGCCTTGGTGTTCTGGTGTTGGCGTCTCAAAATAGTGGCGGGACTGGCTGGGCTGACTATTCGGCGTGCATTTTTCCTCGAGTCATTTGTTTTTCCCCCCCCCATATCGGTGTCTTGGCTCTGGGTACTGGATATATTGCAGTCATTCTAATTCATATCCTATATAGCACCTGAATATAATTCACCTTCATTCTGACTTTTATTCTTTTTTTTTTTTTTTTTTTTTTTTTTTTTTCACAAAAAATCTTCTAGGTTGACCACCGAGAAGTAACCGAATTATGGCCAGACCCAGGTACAGTACATACACGGAGGTATGACGTTGGGAGCCCGCCCTGACTAAATCCGGCGGTGGAGGACGTCATTATTTTCGTTAGACTTAAAGGGAGGGCTGGATGGATGTCAGCCTCTTCTTATCTCCGTGGCTTCTCTCCGACTTTTTTCGTTTAACTTCATACTTTATACGGAGAGAGCACTGAACCCCTCAATCCACATTTCTTGAGATGACACACGCGTGATTTGTCAATGTTCGAGGTCATAGACCCAATAACGAGGTTGTTACATCCTGCGCTATGTCGAAAGCCGTCCCCCAGGGACGACGAGTTCGTACCAGCTGCAGTACTCAAAATGTTAAATCATGATGAGAAAAGCAAGAGAGGGGAGGGTCCAGTCTCCACCATCGATAGACCGCACCCAGCCCAAGCGAACTCCTGGAGCGATCCTCTTTTCCTTCTCTCTTTTCTCTAATACTCCGTATGTCGCCTTGGCTTGACGGCCTCATCCCTCTTCCAGCCTATGCTTCGTCCCGAAACCCTCACAGTGTTCTAAAGAAAGACACGAAAAGACAAGCGATTGCTCAATCCGTAATGCCGACCACAGTTCCATCAAAGGATTCACCTGCAAAAAACCTTGTTTCGAAAAAATTTCTTCCGGTCTACGGAGGTTTCTCGATCCCACCAGTTCCATTCCCAAGTCCGTGATCCACGTGCATTAGCCTATGTTTGTGGACTTGGCGCCTTTGACATCTCCTTTCCTCTCTCCCTTGGGTCATATCCCTTGCTCCATTAAGTTCCGCACCAGCGCACCCACCCACCTTGGGTTCTCCCCTGATGGGCTGGGCGAGGGACTCTTGAGCATTGATTGATTGTGGACAGGCCAGCTACAAATTGCCAAGGCATCAACGGATTTCGGAACCGGCATTGACAGCAGACTCTTGCAGTAGCCTACCTACACAATGCACTACTACTCAGTAGTTTATTATGATTTGAGACGATTAATAACTTGTCTGGAGCATCATATCCATCTGATTGAGCTCTGGATCATTCTGTCTTCCCTCACGGAAAGTCTACTGTGTAGTATCTCTACAAGCGTTTCCACGTAACAGTAGCCTCGCTTGCAATATGAGTATTCATGTGGTAATGTGGAGATCAATCGGTTTCCACCTCATCAGTTCAACCGAGCCACTCAGGTACCAAGATCAGGCTCCTCTTGATTTAGCGTCCTCACAAGAGAAACAGAATTTCTGGAGAGAATTAGTGAAAGAGGTGAAAATGCGAAAGAACAGGAAAAGAGCCCGATCACATGGTCGATTCCAACCCAATTTCACCGAACGGGCTCGGAGTTTACCGTCTTTGGTTGTTCTCAACCTCAGCATCGTCCTGACTAATCCAATTTTCCAACCCACTGGAAGCTTCCGAATCATTAATCAGCCTCCTGGGGAAGTACAAGAAAGAAAAAACGAAACAGAACTCTCGATTCGCGTCTAGAACAAAGACAAGTCAATTTTCGAGGGTGAAGAGTGATCTTATAGGTGGATACAAAATTAAGAGAAACAGTACTCTTTCTTGACCATCTCTCACCATGCTATTCAGGGAATTTTCACGAAACGGGATGAGCGATTAAAATCCGTCCCTGCAGGGACCAATTGTATATCGAGTCGGCGAGTCGGCGACTATGTACTATTTAGTGTATAAGTTACATGGCCGTGTTGATGGGCTTTTTCGGAGTCCGCAGTGGATGATATGAATGAAGATCCCCGGAGGAGGACATGCGAAGAGCAAGATTGCCTTTACAAGCTTCGCATAGCTTACCTTCTCTGGTGAACATACCTACACTAGTACACATTGTCATAACTATATACTACAGAGTACCTTGATACCTAGTACCTACGGAGTAGCATGTAGTTATGCATGCATGCACTAGTTACAAAGTAAATACTGACTCAGCGGAACAACTCTCGGCACGGAATTCCACACTCCGTAGTGACCGACCCGAGCGGCGACCAGTAAGCCGGCGCTGACGGTGTCCGCCCTCCGAGCTCTATGGATGTACGGGGTTGTACTGTATGTACAACTGTACATACCACTTGTTTGATGCCGTATCGTATGATTTCTGCTCTTGTCGAAATCAGCTCAAGTCTTAAACGCCAAAGCTAAGCCGCAATAGTGTCTGTGATGATGGACGGACGATCAGACACTGGTTGGTTTGTGCAACACATCCAGACACAATGACTCCCTCCCAAAGCGTCCACTCATCTTACTAGGGCTTTTAGTGGAAGCCCCAACGAGTCCTGGTTGGCCTGATCCCAATAACGACTGATAGATAGATGTTAGATAGATAGTCTCTCTAGCACGAAGCATTGATGCTGCGGTCTGGGAACGCTGAGGCCTGTTGTTTGTTTATGCTTGGTTGTTGGTCTGTTTGCCTGAGGCATACGCTCAGGCACATGTTCTCCGGAAGATTACCCGATCAGGTGAGGGGGATGGATGCTTTAGCCTAATTGAAGATGAGTCGTGCGTGAACATCAACTTGAACAGCTGCTGAACCCAGCTATTGTCATCCTTTGTGGAGCTATTTATCCGAGAGGACATGGCTATAAGGAGCCGGTTTCCAGGTACGTCCCTCATGCCCGTCAGTCCTCAGTCCTTACTTCAGGGTCTCACTCTCCCGCCAAGTCGAGCGTCGGGGAAATCAGGCAATTGCGGGGTAAATTGTGGGTGGATTTTCGATTCGTTCGACTGCCTGACCTCGTGGGAGATGAACTCATGTGTACACAGTATCCTTATTTCCTCAGTCGACCTCCCGCCATATAATCAACAGCTGACCCGCCGGAATCTACTCACTACCAATCTACCAAGCTTAAAACAACAGACAATAACATCATGGGTGACAAAACCTCCGCCAAGTTCACCTCTCTGGGCGCTATCATCCAGGAGTTTAACGTGGATGGCCAGAATATCGTCCAGGGATTCGCGACTAAAAAGCTCTACGAAGAACATAACAGCCCCTGGTTCGGTGCCAATATAGGTCGGGTTGCTAATAGGATCAAGGACGGGATCATTCGCAACCTCAACGGTCGTGATTATCAACTAGAGCAGAACGATGCCCCCAACGCCCTGCACGGTGGCAGTCAAGGCTGGGGCCGGCGCGAGTTTGAGGGGCCAACCGTCCTTCAGCGAAACGGCCAGGAAACCTTGCTCTACACCTATCGGAGCTTTCACAACGAAGCCGGCTACCCGGGTACGGTGGACTTGAAAGTCTTCTACACAGTCCGCGAAGAGAAGGAGGGTGACATCACTCGATCTGTGCTGGATATTGAATATGAGGCTGAGTTGGTTGGGGATGAATGCGAGGAAACAGTTATCAACCTGACCAACCACAGGTATGTGCGCCCAGTACGTGGGTAAGACATCTCTCACTCTAACCAACTTCGACGGCGAAATGCAGCTATTTCAATCTAGGCAGCGGCGCCACCACCGAAGGGACTATCGCCAAATTGTCCACACAGGATTATCTGCCCCTGGAGGGCGGGATCCCCCGCGGCCCCATTGAACCGTATCCCAGCCAAGTCACGAAAGAGTTCACCTTTGGGCCAGGCAATCAATTCGACGATGTATTCGTCATGGAGCGCGAAATCGCTGGTGTGCCGCTCGATACGCGCGGACAAGCCCTTCAACTGCAGGCGGAGTTCCGTCACCCGGATTCGCATCTCAATCTGCAGGTGTATAGCACGGAGCCTGCGTTCCAGTTCTATACGGGACAAGGCATTGACGTGCCCGCTACGGAAGGGAACCCGAGTCGCGGGCCGTTTGCCGGTTTCTGCATTGAGCCCAGTCGCTTTGTCAACGCCATCAACGAACCAGCCTGGCGGCACACCGTTGTTCTGAAGAAGGGGGCTCAGTACGGCAGCAAGATCACCTACAAGGCTTGGAGAGACCCGCGATAAACTGCCGCGGCCAAGGATTGTGGACAAATGGAGCTTCGGGGTGGATGATCATGCCACTGATCGGTTGATTTGATTGTCGGTCAATATGGGCTTTGGAACTTTTATTTGAGCCTTGGATCTCGGCAAATACACTTCCATCAGTGCCTGTACACGTAGCTTTTGTCCTCAGGTGCGGAACGAGCTCCGCCCAATCTCTCACAACGAAAAATTTTTTTTTTTTTCTCTTAAGCTATGCCTCGCAACATTCTTGACCTTGGTGTGCCGATTTATCCTTATCACCGTGATATGTATCCGAATCCGCGTGGGGCCAGGAGAATGGATCTCTGCGGTGGGAACTCGACTCCACCACGAGCTGATTGATGAAAGAAGGAAAGACCAGGCGAAAAGGCCTCAGAGTGTCAAAAGCGTTGTAGTAGGAGGTACCACTCGATACGACTAGTATCAGTCCTAGAGGCTTCAATGGCACGCCCTTATGATCTACACCAATTCATAGTTAGTAGTCAAAAATCTCTCGTAGTCGTAGTCCCTTGCTTGCACAGTCGCTCTTTTTCTTATTTTTTTTATTTTTTATTTATTTTTTTTTTCCCTCACTGGAGAGCAGCAGGACCCGAACAATCAGACGCCAAGAGTTTCTGGAAGCTCACTAGAAGCAGTAGCGCGAAGATGAGAGATACGGAGGGGCAAAGGTTCTATGTACTGTGTACCTCTCCTGCATGCACCATGGCGCTGGAACATACGAGTAGTGCAAAAGAGGTGACGGAGTTTATGCTCATAGGGAGTTATGCAAGTCTCTTTACTTCTCCCTTTGAGCTCAGACTGACAGTAATGAATTGTGCGTACAAAAAAGTAGTACCGTGGAATTACCGTACCCATAAAGCAAAAATCCTCCATGGCTACGGAATTACGGATTAATACATGCGCAGCATATATTTCGCGGTTTGTACTGTACTATACATATACAGTACTGTACTACTGCTTCGGAGGCCGAAAAAGCGCGGGAAGACGGAAACATTCCAATCCCGGGTAAAAGCTTGGCGTGCGGATCAGCCTTACTCAACCTGAACTGCGGACTTAATCTCATACTTCTCCGTACTACTCCCGCTTAAGTCCTGCACAGCTACAAAGCAGCTACACCATCCTTCACACTGCCAGTTCAATGGTCGATTCGTTCCAGACGGCTGATTTTCATCAGGCCATCTCATCACGCGACCCTGTGCAGCTCGGAGTGTGAGGGGGGGGAAGGAGGATACGGTGTCGAGCACAATAATGCTCATACCTTGCGCTGTTCAGTCTGATCACAATGCATAAACACTATCTCGTTGCACAACCACAGCTGCATTCGCCCACAAATCTCAAGGTCCCATCAAATGTCTACCCCGCATGTACCCTACTCATCTTCGAATCTTGGGGTTCAGGATCTGGTGGTTTTTTGCAGTTTGGTCATGTCGGTTACAGGTAGGGAGGTAATATATCCAAGGTGGAGACCTGACCACTTATAAAGATGACATGCCCATCCAGGTGGTGTACGTAGGGAAAGATAAACATCTTCTCTCGGTTCTTGTTCTATATTAACTTGGCAGAAATTCTCAAATCCAAATTTTTGCTGCCTAATGATGGAGGATCGGATAACTCACGAGCGGCTCTTGACGTCAACCGTGTCGTGTCCACGGGCTCCAGCTACTAGTATCACTAATCCGGTGGGCGTCAAAGCTCATTCTCCTTTTCTGCGATGACAGATGTCATGATCTCTAGCGCTAGGAGGCTGAAGCTCGATGCACAGGCAGGATCCACGGGTCGACGTAGCAGCCTCGTGTTCGTATTCGAAGTTAAGACATGCGGATACTCCGTAGGCAATCAATTTATGTGCAGCAAGAGCTGGGTCTGGATGATACTAACTAGTTAAATTATCCCTATCAACATTCCATAGTACTCCGTACGGAGTAAAGTTAACCAAACACTGCGTGTCACTAGTTCCACTCTGTTGTGCGCATACCGTATGTATTATATGTACAGTACAAGGTTCCTCGCGTGTATCACGTGACCAAACCCCTTCTCCATCTCCGCTTCCTGCCCCGCGTGGGGTTTGATTCATCATTTTTAGTGATCATTCATCCATCAACTCCTCCTTACCACCCCCAACTCCGACTTCTGACCCTTGATCACAATGGCCGCCAAACACGGTGATCTGAGTCATCTCCTACCCGGGAATTACAAGCGTCTTATCACCGCTTGGCTGGAAGAGGACTGTCCCAGCTTTGACTATGGCGGCTTCGTCGTCGGCGAATCCGAGGGCGAGGCCCGCTTGTTGGGCAAAAGCAGAGTATGTCGTTAGCTTCCTTGGTTAAATTTTCCTTGAAACCGACTCAGGCTGACCGCAGGGGTAAATGTTAGGGTATCATTGCCGGTGTTCCATTCTTCAATGAAGTCTTTGCGCAACTCGGATGCACGTATGTCACACCATGATGTCTCTCTCTCTCTCTCTCAAAACCCCATTGCAACACATCCTTTCCACGATATACATACATACATACATACCACCATAGACACATTCTTTTGCTGGCTATATATCCCCAGTCGCGTTGCTTTGGCAACTCTTTACATTCAGACCAGACACTAAGTTCCATGAAATTCTGTGTTATTGAAACAAAACGAACAGAGTAGAATGGCACCTCCCCGAAGGATCCCCAATTACCACCACGGGACACTCCCGCGACCCCATCAAAACCCACTGCGCCACCGTTCGTGGCCCTATCCGCAAGATTCTCCTCGGCGAGCGCGTCGCCCTGAATATTCTCGCCCGCTGCTCCGGCATCGCCACCAAGTCCGCCGCCCTGGTCGCCGCCGTCCGCCGCCAGGGCTGGACCGGCACCGTAGCCGGCACCCGCAAGACCACCCCGGGGTTCCGCGTCGTCGAGAAGTACGGCATCCTGGTGGGCGGCGCCGACCCCCACCGCCATGATCTCAGCGCCATGACGATGCTCAAGGACAACCACGTCTGGGCGTGCGCCAACAATCAGGCCGCGGCGGACGGCGGGGACAGCAGCAGGGTCTCGTCGATCGCGGCGGCCATCCCGCGCGCGGTCGACGCCGCCAAGGCGGTCGGCGGCTTCGCAACCAAGGTTGAGGTTGAGGTCCGGGATCTGGAGGAAGCGAATGCGGCCATCGCCGTCGGGGCAGATGTGATCATGCTGGATAATTTCACTCCGGAGGGAGTGCGCGAGGCCGCGAGGCAGCTCAAGGCGGAGTGGGCGGGACAACGGAAGTTCTTGATAGAGGTCAGCGGCGGGTTGACGGAGGAGAATGCCGCGCAATACGCTTGTCCCGACGTCGATATCTTGTCCACTAGCTCGATTCATCAGGGTACCGGCATTGTGGACTTTTCCCTGAAGGTCTCTTTGCGATGAATCGGCGAAATCCGAGCCGGTGTGCTGCGGGCCCCCGGGGGGGGGGGGGAGGGGGGGCGCGGGCGGTATTACGATGCTACCTTGTTGTAAATCTATGTAGACTGTGGTGACTCATGATTCATGTCTTACGTCTTCCTATTCTTGCCAGCACGCTTTTCTTTGAAACCCTAGACGGGGTGTGTCATGGGCCTTGGGCACTTGCGAGAGAAAATGATTGTTTCCATTCCGGACCACATTAGACAAGGGGTTCAGCACAGGACCTCAATATTTGGAGTCAAAACACACGCCAATAATGAAACAAAACCCAAGAGGGAGGGGTATCTGGCACACTCGCGCGGGAGGAAAAAAACATATACAACATCCATATCACCAACCTGGTGTGTTGGACAAGCGAAGGAGTTGCGGGAAGAAACAATAAACAAAACTATGATGGGTGCGCTCGATCAAAGAATGAAAGGAGGAGACGGCTCGGAAGGGACGAATGGCATGCAGCCAGCAAGCCTACACCTCGATGTCAACGTAGATGCCCTCCCCTTCACTTGAACTCGGCTCTTCGTCGTGATGGCGTTCGTACCCGTCGCTTGTACCGGGATCCGACCCGCCAAGCCGCCGTTGAGTTGGCACGCGCATATGACCGCCAGCTTCGTCAACTGATGAAGTGCCCGTTGACACATCCTGATGCAGACGCCGTCTCTCCAGCTGAGCGCGCAGTCGTTGGTTTTCCGCGTCACGCTCTTCGAGCCGCTTGCGCGCGCCACTGCGGTCCAGAATCCGAGCCTCCCGTTCGGCCTTGAGTCTCTTCTCCAGTTCACGCAGCCGCTGAATCCACCTCTCACTATTGCCGAGGTCGGCTGATAGCGCTTGGGAACGCGTGCCTGGTACAAGAGCACCGTCCGTGGCTTCGTGTAATGTCGGTCCCCGTGCGCGCGAATGAGACTGTAGCAGATTAAGTTCAGCCTTAAGAAGTCGATTCTCTCCACGGAGCTTAGCGACCTCCGGAGACACCCCAGTGAGGCTGCGGTTGTGTTGTTGAGCGCGCATGTTCATCATCGATTCTTCCAGGCGATCCAGTTTTTTGACTCGTAAGCTGAAAGTGTGTTCGAGTGATTGATACTGTTTGGCTAACTCGCGCTCAACACCCTTGATACGCACCTTGAATCCTGAGACCACGTTCTCCAGTGTCTTGACCGCAAGCAAAAGGTTGCGGCTGAAGCCAGGCCAGAAGAGGATATTGCCAATGACCTCCTGGCTAGGCAGATTGCCATTGATAAGACTATTGGAGTGAGCCCAATCCGGCCCACACATCGAGGACAAACGCTTCCAGATCGCTAGGAGCATTGCGTTCCTTTCACTTAGCTGGTCTTTGAATTGTTGTTCTATAGTGGTGAACCGTTTGCGATCCTGATTCCGTGCGTTTTCAAGGTCTGAGATCCGCGAGTTGTTTTGCGTTATGGTCCGGGACGCCTGATGATGTGACTTGAGAGCCTGGTCGAATGACTGCTTATCGGCGCGGCGAGCCTGGCGCTCACGATCGAGAAGCTCAGCCAGTTTGCGTGACTCCAGACCATGACTCTCCAGGAGCGCATCCCGGTTGCGCAACAATGATTCCTTCTCGTCGAGCTTGGAGCGAGTACTCTCAAGTTCGAGGGCAGTCGATTCGAGTTCCTTTTGCAGTTTCATGATATTGGAAATGAGACTGGAGCGACTGCCAGTCAAATCACCCAGAGTTTCACGCAAGTTGTTCTCCAAATCCATCAGCCGCTCTCTCCACATATTCGTGTCAATCTCTTGTGCTGAGAGGCTCTTCCTCAATTTGCGCACCTCTTCCTTCGCTGTGGACGCTTCGCGATTAAGCTCATTGATAATTCGCTGGACTTCTTGTTTCTCTTTGTTGCCCACAACTTCCCGCTGATGTCGCTCCTCGGCAAGTCGTTCTTCAAGCTCCTTGATTTTGTCGCGCTCACTTTGAAGTGCCACCCTATAAGTCTTGAGCTCTGATTCGAGATCTCCGATCCTGATCTTGTCGCCATCCTGCTCTTCGCGCAGGAATGCAATCTCGTTCTGACTCGACTCGATCTGGACAGTTAGTCGCTGAACCTTGGTGTTTGACTCATATAGGTTCTTTCCAAGAGATTCCAGCTCCCGGTTGCAGTCTTCTAGCTCCTGCTGGACAGCTTTATACCGCTGCAGGTTGTTTTGGGCATCCTCTTCGAGCCGAATGATACCCTCACTTGCTGAACGCATTTCAGCCTGCAAAGCTCTCAAATTCTCATCCTGCACTCTAAGCTCCTCGTTAAGTTGTTGGCATTCTTCCATCTTCTGGTCCAGTTCTTCTCCAACAGCATCTATCTCCTCTTGAGCCTCAGATCTCAAATGTTGAAAAGCCTCGTTGCGCTCTTCAGCCAATTGCAAGGCCTGATCACGTTCCTGCACGGCCTGATCGCGCTCCTGAGTCAAGGCCTCAATCTCTTCATCTGCTTGATCTACGTCTGCTTGGTAAGCCTTGTCAACCGATTCCAGCTCTCGAAGATATTCCTCAGCTTGCTCTCGAACAGCCTGATTTTCGAGCTTCAACGCCGAGACTTGATCACGCAATTCTCCAATTCGCACTTCTAGATCTTCTCGTTCCGCTTCGTCGCCTGGAGATTGACCTGTTCCATCACTAGCACGGGATGAAGGTCTGCCGTGAGCTCGAGATGCAGATCGGTCAAAGATACTGTCGCTCGCGACTGATCGACTACCGTCGCGTCGCTGACCTAGTTTCAGTTCTTCGATCTCCTGGTATAGGCGCTCTTTCTCCCGATTTCGAGATGTAAGCATCGACGTCTGCGCGCTGACTTCCTTTCTCAGCTCAGCATTTTCCTGCTTCAGGAGCTCCAGTTCCATGACCAGAGTAGAACTGGAAGAACTCCCAGTATTTGCATTGCGAATGAATTCCCTTTCAGAAGCGGCCGAGTATGAAGCAACGGATCCAACCCGATCTCGTTGGCTGGGCCTCGCAGTGATCAGTGGAAAGCTCATCATGTCGGTCCTCAGACGCAGCGCCTCCTCCCGCAGTCTCTTGTTCTCCTCCTCGGCCTGCTCACGTGCTGCAGCCTCGGCTTCGAGCATGTCCTTCCACATATCCTTTATGATGAAACATTAGCAAAGGTGACTCAGAAGAAGCTGTTCGCAGAATGGTGGGGGACTGACTCTCTCCTCCCTTGCTCCCACATCCGAACCCATGGACCTGCCGTCGCCCCTTCCATCGCTGAGTGATTTCACCATCTCAGCTAGTCTTCTCTTCTCGCTCTCTCGCACAATGTTTTCTGACCTTAACCTCTCAATTTCTAGCTCATAGGTTTCCATCCTTTCCCTCAGAAACAATATCTCCTCATCCTGTGCTGTGTCTCGATCTTCATCCTCGGAGCCGTCAGCATCGTGATTGACCATGGATTCTTTGTCTGATTGCTGGTCCTTGAGCTGTTTCTCAAGTTCACGAACTTTGCGCTTCAGGTTCTGGCTCTCTTTCTGCAATTTCAACTTATCCGATTTTAGCTCAACATTCTCGGAAATCATCTCCTTGATACCTTCCTCAGAACGCCGATTCAAAGCTTCATTCAGGAAGTGGATTCTCATCTTGAGATCGAAGTTTTCTTTCGAGAGACGGTCGATCGTACTACTTTGCTCCTTCAGCGTCATTGTACGACCGCTTTTGGTAAATCCAGGAGTGGCACTTGTACGCTTGTCCGGAGATAGTGAACGGCTGCCATAATCTTCTTTGAATTGCTTAGCAAATGTACTTGGGATTTGAACATCTTTTATTCGTTCCGCAATAGCCGTATCTGTGGGCAAGGTGATATCATGATGTTTAGCTTTTGGTGTGACGGGCTCCGCAAATTCTGGGCCAGCGGATTGCTCAGTGTTATGCTGTCCATACTGTGGTTGATGCTGCTGCTGCTGCTGGTAAGATGAGGCCGGGCGCGACCTTGAGGGTCCGTCTTCCTCGCTTAGAGTCTGAAGACCCCCTTCTGTAGCTCCGCCAGGCGCCTTGCGTTCGAAAACGGTATCATCGCTGTAGCCGGAGATGCCTGATGCCATGCTCCCCAAGCTCACCGATCGTGCCAAGGTGTTGCGCTGTCCAGTCTGAATACTACTCGTCATGCCAGGGGCCGCACCGCCCGATTGTAGAGCATAGTCAGCCCCCAATGTCGCATCGCTGTTTGTTATTTCTGTAACGTTACTCGTGACCGATGAATATGAAAGTCGATGTGCCGATTGGCGGCTGGTTAGGTACTTTGGCCTGCTACTTCTGCGGCTGCTTGCCTGCGAGCTCGCTTCTAGATCGCTGCCACTATTCTCACGGAATATATTCGCCGATGAGGGTGATGGGTTGCGCGGTAAACTGCAAGGATGCTGGTGCGTTGGCTGTAGCAGGTGGTTGGGCTCGTTCTCGGGGAGTTCATATCGTGAAACATCGCCTGGGGAGATCTGGTTAATATCCGGGGACTCTTCCGCGAACGTGGGAGGGGTTCTGTTGGTTGTCCTAACAGCCACTGCTGCCAAAGATGACGAATGTATTTCCTCGAGTGCTGTCGTAATACCAGGGGTTCGTTCGGGGGAAGCCGCGGATCTCGCGTCCATGTCCCTAGCATCAGCCACTCCAGGAGGCGGGCTAGGGGTTTGCGGAATGGGGACCTCGTCGCCAGCGGTTGTGATGTCAAGATTGGACTCATCTGGTGCCGCAAATGACAATTGATTGATGTCCGCACCGGCAGGGCCAAGGTAGTCATCACGATGCATTCCAACCAGGTACGTATCATGGGCGGTAATGCTTCGCGTCGGCGCGGGGACTTCAATGGTGGAAGTGTCTGGTAAAAAACTCGATTCCATCTCCATCAACCGTCTCCGCATCTCGTTTTCCTGAAGAAATGTTTGATCATCGGCTCGCTCGTGATCGTCCTCCTCGCTCGACAGGAGTAAACTACTGTCGTCATTGTCGGGCAAAGGGGGCAGCGGTAGATTGGTATCCTCGGGTTGTTGCTGTCGCAGGGACGAGGTATTGACCGTAGGGTCAGGTGGACTGACCGGGTCGGGAGGCGCGGTGTCTGCGCGAATATGACCAGCTTCGCCTTCTGTGTTGATGGCATCCATTGTGCTTGCGAGCAGATCTCCCCGCGGAAGTTCGGGGAGGGAGGTGTTTCAAGTCGGTGGATGCGCTCGCATAGGGGGTATTCGAAGAATCGAAGAGGAAAAAGGAAGATAGAATAAGGGACATGGAAAGGGAGAGAAGAATAGGGAGGGGGGGAAGGGGAAGTCCTATGGGCTTCAGGTGTTGATGCGTCGTTGGTCTCGGGCGGGATGCGCTGTTGACTTCTTATTCACTGTCCCGTCCAGTTTGTTTACACCTCAGGCTGCCAAGTCGGGCTCCCGCTTCTCTACTCTCGCTCTGCAAATCCCAAACTACAGAGGGAAATGATTATATCAACTATATGTTCTTTTTTTGCATCTTGTCAACGAGCTTAAGTTTGATCATGCGCCCCAGTCCAAGACAAAGCATAATCCTAAGTGAGTAAGTAGTGAATGCTAAAGGTTGTAAAAATAGATAGAGGCGGAGAAGGGAGATTAGATAAGAAAAGTGCGAAAGGACAATGCATACATAGCAACTGCAAAGAAAATAAGGGTATAATGAAAGCATGAGCTGCGCCATATTGAAGGGAAAAAAAAAACAAAAAAACAAAAAAAAAGAGCAAAAGGGCATTCTAGCTCAGGATCCTGCGCCGGAAACAGGAGACTAATTACTCTTCAGCAGGGGCCTCTTCGCGGGCTGCATAAATCCGATTCTTCTGCTCCAGTGCGCCTGAAAGTGAATCGATATATGTACGAAACTTCACAATTTCACGTAGGAGATACGAGGACTTTCGCTCCCAATTGGCTAGTGCTTTGCCAGCGTTGGGATGGCGCGGCGAGAAGGCCAGAATCATGGCAGAGCGGAGTTCATTGTGCCGCTGCAGCTCGTCTTCAACATTCTTGACATATGCCTGCAGAGCTTTCAGTTGGTCAGCCTCTGGAAGTGCCGAGGCCACCATACTTTGCTGCGGAGGGGCCCAATCGCTGATAAGCACGCGATCGGCTGGCAATCGAGGTCGAATGCCTTGTTGATCAATTGAGCTCCGGATCGAACTTTGAATGCTGGGGCGAGCCCCAGACGAGGAAGGTGGCGTTCGACTGCTCTCGGCCGTGATGAGAGCGCTATTGATGACGGCATCGCTCCAGCCGTACTCTATGTTACTGATTCCGCCGATCAAAGGCTCCTTGGACAGTCTGGCGCTCCAATAATTGGCACTTGATACAAATTCGCGCACAATCTCCGGCGTTCCTACTTGGAAGAGATGTACAGCGCCAGTGGGGAGACTTAGAGCCCAGACATGGGGACGAGACTTCGAGTAGCCGGGCGGTGGTAGAGCGCTGGCAATGGTCTGACGTAGGAGAAACTTCCACATCTCTTCGGCGTTCTCTGTCCAGTTTCCACCTCCCACCACCACCCCTCCTGGGTGGCGCTGTTTGGGCTTCTGCCGGGCGCCTTTCACAGAGGCGTTGAATGAAAACAGGCGCATCCAGCCTTGTTGGATGACAGCAAAGCATTCGTTCCAGTTTCGATCCTTAGCCCTCTTATCAACCGAGTCCAGGTGATGCTTATGCTTCAAGCTGCCTTCCTTGGCCCATGGAGCACCAGCCAGTTGTAAAGTCTCATCCTCTAGAAGCGGGGTGTCCCTCTCGGCATCTTCTATACTGGTAATCGAGTGGGCCGAATCTTCACGGATAATGGCCTGACTTAGCGCATTGGCGAATCCTATCGACTGCTGATAGTCCCCACGCGGATAGTCTGATCCGAACGAATCTACTGATGCGGAAGTCAACTTGCCCGAGGAGTACTTACTCCAAGTACTTGACGCGGAAGGGCTCCAAAGCGATGCCTGATCGTCCAAGCTGGTTCGACTGGATCCCATGGTAGACGGAGGGTATAACCTCGCCCGCGAACGGGGTTTAGATGACCACCGCGCAGTCCCATAACGGGAGTCGGCAGAGCGACCGCGAGGGTAGATGTCAGAGCCACTTCTACTCACGGTACTAGGACTTCGGCGGAGTCCACTGGTATGAGGACCAAGCAAGTTGTGAGCTGAAGGCCGCGGCCCTTCCTTCTCCATCGAAGCGCCATACAAAGGGAGCTTCTGCTTCTGGATTGAGGAATAGAAATCCCGGAGAACAGCCTCCACCTGTTGTTCCCATACCCTCATCGACCCGGTAAAGGGTGTATTGACTAGTGGGCCAGTTTCGGTATCGGGATCAATTGCATGCTTTGCAGACAAATCCGTCCGAGACAGCCGGTTGATTAGCTTTGCCGGCTGGTTGGCGGCCTTATCTATGTCCATGAAGCCTCGGTCGTGATCGGTTGTGGGTGAAATTAGATCCTGCGTTGAGGCTCTCGACTTACCACCAGCAACCCCATCAGGGGCGGCTTCGGCAGCCACACGATGGACTGTCGGCATCGTATTCCGGACGAATTGAGTCTTGGTCATCTTCTGCTCAATATCGGCAAGATGTAGATCGGTGTTCAGCAGGAGAAGTGAGTAACAGATTGTATGCACAACGTCTAAACCGGCACCATTAGTACAGTCAGTTACTCAAAAATGGGGGCTCACGCTACTCGTACCTGCGGCTTTGAAGCTATGGCGGGGGTTACACGCACACCACCTAGTGGAAAAGGCATCGAGAACTCGATCCACCTGCTGGGTTTCACCTTTCAGCACCAGCCGAGTACAAAGACTTCGCAGGGCCGCCAGTATGTTGAGGTTGGACCAATCGAAAAGCTCCATGTACGCTTTGCGTATCGCAGCACGATCGGGGTCCCCGAGCCATGCAGCGGCAGGCTCGTTGCCGACCACTTGTTCTTGACTATCGTACAACATCCTCGCTTGCTCCCGGTCGGAGTCGGTCGGGTCGTCGCTATTGGGACTAAGTAAACGATCGGACTCCTCTCCGAGAGGATCTATGAGCTGTGGTTCAGTTGACAGTGTGGTGGGGGCTTCTGAAGCTGTGTAGTAATTTGAGGTCTCCAAAGTTGATGCCCGCGCGGATCCATTCATGCCAGCCGCAGCGGCAGACATGTTGTTCCCCATCTCAGCAGTACTTCTGTCCACCTCGGTGGGATCCGGTTCATGCGGCGTCTCAGTCAACACCGATGGCTTCTGAATCTGGGATATATCGTCAAGCTTCTCCACGAAGGCGGCACCCGTCGGAGCAAAACTCTCAACCACAGGCGAGAGCGACGAAACGGGGTTATCCTCAGGTTTCAGCTTTGTCTCAGGTTTCAGCTTGGTCTGAAGAGCACGGCGAGGATCCAAACCGGGATCTACTTCCTTACTGTTCGAGTCCAAGTCTGTTGCAAGCCGTGGTTGATCTTGTTCCTGTCGCTGATCCGAGCCGCTTGATTTGATAGTTGACTCATCATCCCCACCATCATTGGCGCACAGGTATGAGGTCTCCGGAGTGTTGCTGCTCGGCGGAACCGTAGGGTAAAGGCTGTATTTGGCCTTTGGAGGCCCCGGGGTGGCTGTGACTAAGCTTCCTCTCTGATTTGGCGGCGGCGAACCTCCTCGTTTTTGGGTCTCCGCAGTTGGGCGCAGGTCCAAGGGTCTACTGCCGGGGTCGATAGCGGACGAAGGGGTCATTCCTCTCCCAACACTGCTTACTGAGATAGCCTCCAACTTGGCTGGTTCTAGTATGCGATGCTGGCCAGTGAGCTCTGGAGGAGAAAATATGGGAGGAGGAGCACTTTCAGCCACGGACTTCTTGCGCCGACGGAAGAAAGAAGACTTTTTGGTCACCACCTGGTGCGTTGCTGCTTCGCGATGCGAATTGATCCCCGGTGCACTATTTTTTAAAGGCTGTCTCCAGCCCCTGACATTGGTCCCTAGTCCACTGAAATCTTTGTAGTCGCTTTCTGGGGTAAAGACGTGGTCGGAATGGCTGTACTCGCTTGAAGTAGCGGTCGACACCCTTGCGGAGCCAAACACACGCCGGAAGAACCCCGGCCGTTCTTTGGCTGCTGGAGCGGGGTCGGGTGGCGCGGTGAAGATTGGCTTGTTGAAGGAAATGGTTGGGCTGGGCGCCGGCGGGTCGAGAGATGCAGGGATCGTCGGCGGAAGTTCGAGTCCGCTTTCCCCGAGGTTGTTCAGATCTGAATGATGGCTCCGAATTGTTGTTGTGCCCAGATTTTCCGGTCGAGCTTTTCGACTAGTGTTCGACCGTGGGGACTTGACGCTGTTTCGGCGCGATGCCATGGGTGTTGTCCGGGATTGTTGGAGATTCAGGGGGTCTGCATATCCGGCCTGCGGCGACGAATGGGATCTGCTTGGTCCACCGGGGACACTCGGCGTCGGTGCTGCATCGAGCGCTCCATATGAAGAGGAGTCCAGGTCATAGACAAGATCTGGAAAGGAGATGAATGGCTGTCTGCTACCGAAGTCGAAACTCGCGGATCGTCTCTCGCCGGTCGCGTCGATCCGTCCGAGCTGCACTGAAGAATTCAGCTCTGCCGGGGGTGACGAACTGCCTCGATTCCCACTCCGAGAAACTCGGATATTCGCCGGGGATGCAATATTCGAACTGGCTCTAAAATCGTACAGTTGACCGCGGGAGCCAGTCCCTTCCCGACTACGAGTGCTGCCGTATCTTTGTAGGCTGGCATGATAGTTCGAGCTGCTGTTGCTTCGACGGCTTCTCGCCGGCTGTGTTGCGTAGCGCCCAGTGCTCTCATCGTACGTACATTCTACCTCTGAGGAAACAGAGGAAGAGAAAGTGTGGCCCCGATACCGGCGTTGAGCTATAGACTCCGGCGAACCATTGCCACATAGATCGGTCTCAAAGACCGAGTTGAACAAGCGATAGTCGTCCAGCAGAGAACCAGAAGCAAATTGGTCTAGTGACAAGAGCATGTTATCCACAATCGAGGTGCGAGCTGCATGTTTCGGAGAAAGCGACAGGTCATGTGGGTCGCGCTCATCGCCTGATTCATCGCTTTCATTGGTGTTATCGGCTGGATTGAAATCGTCCAAGAAGGTCTCTCGTACGGAAGGTCGTGACTGAATCCCCCTTTTCGCGGCCCTGTGATTGCCTGGTTCAACCGGGGGAGTTTGAGGGGGCGACCTGCTTGACTGTGGCGGGGGCATTGTGCGACTTCTAGAAAGAGAGGTTTTGCTCGGTAGAGAAGAGTTCTGCGAAAGGCCGGAGTTCGTGGCATGAATTCGAAGCGAGTGACGGGGCCTGAAGCGAATGTAGAGGCGAACGAACAACGGAGGACAGGAGAGGACAAAAAACAGCAGGATCGGAATCCAGCCGTGAGAGCGACACCGACTGCCTGATCGGAAGCGGATTGCTTGATAAACTGTTGGGCGTCACCGTCCGCCTTGGAGGACTCAGAAGCCCTGGCCCCTCTTCCAATACCAAGAACGTGCCTGGGGCCAATTTGCGGACATTAGATACGCGACATAGCAATGTCCGTATGTGACGCACAATGTAGGTCGAAATTAACCAGTGGTTGGTGATTGCGTGAAGAGTGGATAGAGAAATAATTCTGTGTTGTAAAAGGGGCGGGGGTGGCAGAGAATTGCAATTGAGGTATCTAGTGGTTGAAACCCAGCAAAATCAATGCTTCGATCTTTCTTCTGATCATTAGTCTGAGCGACAGTATGAGAGAAGGTTGGCGAAGGATTGCCCGCGGAGAGGGGGAGAGAGGTGTTTTGGTTGAATGAATGAATGACACGCAATGGGTTGGTAGAGCGGAGAGCGTGATAGAGACGACGAACCAAGGGATTTCAATTCAAATCTCCACGAAGTGAGAGATAGTGGGTGGGGGTGGAGGAGCGAACGGGCCACGAGGATGGGCGAGCGCGCTGGAGGAAGGGGGAAAGGAAAGGATAGGATGATAGGTTAAGTAAATCCGGTACACGAAGTAAGTAGTGGTTCAGGAGATATGCAAAGGTAATGCATGCGCAAGCGTCTTTAAGCAAACATTGGAAATTGAAGTCGACAGGGTAAAGAAGAGGAGGAAGAAGTGGAAGAAAGAGAAGAGGAGGAAGAAGAGGAGGAAGAAGAGAAGAAAGAATTAATTGAATTACTGTGTACTCCGTAGTGTTGTAGTTACTAGTTAGTTCATCAACTCTTGTAAGTTTCATCTAACTTGTTGAGTGAATTATGTACCCTTTTTGGAATCCAATCAAAAAATAATAATTGACTAGTCATGGACCCTCTACGGGATACGGAGTAGTTGACAGTGAGGACCGAGCAGTTCAGGGGCCACTGCTGCAGCCCTCGATTCATGATTCGTTTAAGATGCCACTCCATATACCAATTTATTCAGAATGATGGTTTTTGAACAAATTAGGTACTCGTTAGGTCTTTTTGACCCTGAAGTTATTACAGTACATATGATTCCAGGAAAGCGGGTCGTTGTTCAATCCGCGGCAAAAAGCCTAATGGATTGATAGATGTTAATATTGCTGCTGCTGCTGCTGCTGCTGTTGCTGCTGATGATGATGATGATGATGATGACATAAGATGCGTTGTTTCCTCCATCGCAGCTCAGCTCCGATGGAGGTTCCACTTCCCCCCCATCCCCATCCTCCATCTTATCCTTTGTCTCTTCACTCACTCACTCACTCACTTACTTCCTCCTACTTCTCAATCTTTGATTGTCTAAGAAATATCAAAATTTACTCGTGCGGCGGCTCACTTGCTTCCATTATTTCGGCGCTCTGCCACGCACTGCGTTTGCATGAGTCTCGTTCCTGCTTACCTCCTCCTGCGCGCCCTTCTGTGATCCCTCCTCCTTCTTGCCCGCTCATCTGAGAGATATGAACCCTCACATATCTGTTCCCCGCCAACATGCCAGTCCATCGAACTTTGGCGGTACCGCCCCTGCTAGTCGCAGATCTAGTCTACGGATGCCGCGCTTTTTCAAACGGTAGGCCGTCCGAATCGCTTCCAGACCTTCTAGTACGAGGCATAGAACCAGCCTAGTGCTTCCCAGACGATCCCTTCGTCACTGTCCTCAGCACGTTCCAGTTAACTGACCATGTCTCGTCACTTATCATCCAGGCTCTTCAAATTCCCGCAGATGGACTTTGAAATGGCAATATGGGAAATGACCTCTTTGTTGATTGCGCCCAAGAAAGTCTTCAAGTCAATATACTATCATGTGAGTCGTTCCTGCCTCCAAATTTCAGACAATGTTGGTCGTCTACTGACTCCCCTGCCTGACTCCAAGAAACGTAGGTTGCGTGACTTATGCGCGATCAGCATTTCCACTCAGTCCGTTCGCGGTGGGAAACTGACTGTCCTCCAGAAACCAAAAATACTTGGCATCGCCCTGATCCATCTTTCACCTACCTGCTCTCCTTCTTTCTCCTCCTAACGGCCCTCGCCTGGGGCCTCGCCTATGCGCCCTCGTTCGGTTCTATTGTTCGGCTGTCTTTCATCTTCGTCTTCATTCACTTCATCGGATCTTCGCTTCTGGTCTCGACTTTAGGGTATCTCGTGGTTCCCCGGATTTTCGGCCCTGAAGGGGCCGCAGCCTCATTTGCTGGTTTTCGAGGTAGTCGCGGTCGGCGGCGCGGCGCGGCGCAAGGCTTATTCTCGCAGCCCGGCGAAAAGGATCAGTTGGAGTTTGGCTACTGTTTCGATGTAAGTCGATCCCACCCGGACCAGGAGCAGCGAAGCTGAAACTCACCAACTCTAGGTGTCAAACCGGGCATTCTTCCCTCTTTACCTGCATCTATATGTAGTGCAGTTCCTTCTTCTGCCACTGCTTACTCGCAATCCAAGCAACTTCTTGGCCACGTTCCTTGGTAACACGCTCTATTTGTCCGCAATAACATATTACACCTACATCACGTTCTTGGGATACAATGCACTTCCGTTCCTGCATAATACTGAGCTGCTCTTGCTCCCTATTCTGGCCTTTGCTATCTTCTGGCTCGTTAGCCTGGTTGCCGGTTGGGGTCTGGTTATGCAAGGCCGGAGTGTGGAGTGGTTGGTTTGGGGCGCATAAGCACCGCTTCATCCCCTTCTCTCGCTCGAAATCATTCGCTCCGCTTCAGCCGGACCCTTGTCTTCGTTGCCATTTCCGCGAATCACAGCAAGCTTTCTTACTATTTTTCTGCTCAGCGCTGGCGTATATGTGATCTCGTGTTCATTGGTAATTATATCGTCAGTTACGCATGGTCAGATGCCAATGCCAATGTCCATTCATCTCTTTTTTTTTTGGGCACGAAATGCCCGCTCAAGACCGAAGGCGCTAGCGTTATTCCCTTTAACAAGCCCTTCTTCAGGAGCAAGCGTCGTCCTCAATTGCCGAAACGGAAAGGTGTTGGGGCTGAGGTGGGCGAGGGGGCACCACCTTTGTACTGTACAACATGGCTCCTAGCTACACATGATGCATCAACTTGTTGTGTCCATGTAATCTTGCATTGCTATTTGATTTCGATTGAGGGATCTGAGAGGGAATTCAATGGCCAAAAGTTATTTCAATACCTGTATAGAATATATACGATATGCACCAACAGCAACGGCACTGAAGCTGGGGAACGGAGGCGAGACTAATGATGTCCTTTTTGTGGCATTCATTTTCTCTTTGGCGCAGCTTTCTTCTTTCCACCCTTTGCACCCTGCAGCTTGGTCTCGCGTTCGGCGGCGCGCTGCTTCGCGAGCTCGGCCTTCTCCTCCTTCTCGGCTTCCTTGCGCAGGCGATCTGCCTCGCGTTGCTCGCGGACGAGCGCCAAGCGAGCCAGATCAGAGCGAGCCTCCTCCGTTTTGCCTTCGGCATGAAGCTTTAGGTAGCGCTGTCGCGCTTGATGGGCTTCGATAGCCTCGCGCTCCCGCCGCGAGAGCTGTGATAAATCTCCGTCCGGCTTCTGCGCATCTTCCTGTGTGCTGCTGAGCTGGGAGCGCGATTTGGCCGTGTGATTGGGGTTTGCAGGTAGGTCTTCATCATCACTATCATTGCCCGACCCCTCGGTGTCTGAGGGCGGCAGATCACCGGGTTGAGCGGCGCTCTGCATCCGGCGAGCCTGTGCAGCTTGTTTCTTTGCTTTCGCAGCGGCACGTCGCTCCTCACGGGTCATTTCGGTGGTACCGCTGCTGCTGCCGCTCGCTGCAGGCATGGAGGAGGAACCGGCTCGGGGGCTGTGGGCAGTGTTGTCATCATTATCGGATGACTCCTCGGAACCTGATTCTGAAGACTCCTCTTCCTCGGAGACAGAAAGATTGTTTTCCTCGGGATCCTACATGTGTGCTTCGAATTAGTGAGGCCGAGGTTTCAGGCAATGGCTACACAGACACCTCCGGATCATAACCAATGATGCTGTCGCTACGGGAATGTAGGGGGCAGCCTGGGGCTGACGGTAAGGCATACGAACCCTCCAGAGGCCGACAGGATTTCCATCTTTGTCGACCGGTTGCACATCGCGACTGAAATGTTTTCCACCTGTTCGAAGGGTGGGCAGGAAAATTGCACCTGGTCAGTCCCAGCCCAAATATCCTTCTCTTGTGGTGAGCCTAATTAAAAGAAAGGAAAAAAAAAACCAAAAAAAAGAAAAAAAAAAAAAAAAAAAAAAAAAGGAGAGCTGCCCGCCTCATGCCCTTTCAGGATTGAAGTTGAGGTTTTTGCACATACCTCCTCGTGAAGGCTTGGAAAACTTTCCGCGACCGCGGGGTGCCATGATGAGATTGAGAAAAGGAGGAAGAGAGAGAGCGTATGTATATGCGTTTGTTTGTGTGTGTGTTTGTGTGTGTGTGTGTGTGCGCGCGCGCGTGCTATGTGTATGTGTGGGTACGAAAGAGATCGGAGAGAGAGAAAAATAAGAGAGATGCACAAACAGCTATCAGTCAATGAGGGGTTGAATCAGTCACACCGATGCTTACTCCGAAGAGAAGGCGGGGAGGAGGAGATGAAGAGGAGGAGGAGTGTCTGAGTATTGTATTGTAATGATGTAACCAATTGCCACTGTAACTTACGGAGTATATAGGTAGTATATACGGAGTACGTACGGCCTGTATCATATATCGTACTGAATTACGGAGTAGTTTTAGCTAATTTACACAGACGATTTTGTGTGATATGTAATGTATGTATGTCCCCCTCTACTATATATTCTTTCGGTCCGTCCATCTGTTAGTCAGTTTCCTCTGTCGCGCTGCTTTGATATTCGACATCCCATGGTCATCACCTTCTTCAGGCGCGCTGCCAGGACAGACCTATTTTGCTCGTACGCGCCACAACTAGGGTCAATGTGCCCGCCAGAATGGCACTGCCCATGAACATCTGTGCGTATAGGTATTGACCGCTATCCCGAACCACCAATGCTCCTGCGATGGGGGTACCAATCAGGGCGGCAACCGCCACCACACTCAGCACCATCCCCATCCGTACTCCCGTCTTCTTCAAATCGGTGGTCAGTGTGCTTAGTGTAGCGGGGAATAGAGATTGGATTCCGGCTGCTGCAAGACCATAGAAGGCGCTGAAGGCATATAGGCCATTGTAACTCTCTACCGAGGTCCAGCAGAAAGCCACGACGCCAGTGACCAAGCTGAAAGGAATGAGCATATTCAACGGTCCCGTGAACCGATCTGCCAGCAGGTTCGGGATCAAGCGACCCATTAGTCCTACCCCGTTCATAACCAGGAGCACATCAATCGACGTAGACTGAGATACGCCGATAATGTCCTGCGCAAAACTGCTAATATAGAAGAATCCCACATATAGACCCCAAAAATTCAGAAACATTCCCAGAGCAAAGAGAGCATACGATGGTTCCCGAAACGCGGCCAATTCGACAAGTGGCCCACTCCGACGGGGTGGCAGCCTCTGCTGAAGAAAGATCAAACAAGGCGTCAAAGTGGCTAACGAGATGAAGCCCAATGTCCGTACCGTCCATCCGTACCCTATTCGCGGCAGAAGCCGCATGACCACCGCCGGAAACACCAGCCCTCCTGTGGCCGATCCTGAGGCTGTTATGCCGATGGCGATGGCTCGGTTCTTGGTGAAATACGTCGGCATCAAAGCGATAGTCGGGCAAAACATGAGCCCGCAGCCTATTCCCTGGCCAATGCCCTGGGCCAGAAACAGCTGCCAGTATTGAGTGCACAAGGAAGTCATGAAGATGCAAACCAACTCGAGTATCGCCCCACATGTGAGGATAGCTTTGAAATAACCGGCGTCGGTAGCACGTCCAGAGAGGGTTCCGATAAAGAACAGGAGAAAAATTTGAACGCTACCAACCCAAGATATATCGGAAGGTGGCCGCCCCAGGGTTTGCGTATAGTAGTCCTGAAAGACACCAAAGCTATTGATATAGCCCCAGGTATTGAAAATAACGAAATGGGCAAGGGCCACTTGCGACCAAGCCTTGAAGCCACCATCCGGAGGGGGCCCCGGGTCTTTTCCTGAGTCCCTCGTTCGAACGAGCGTCAGACCTCGAGTGGTCAGGGCTCCGACATGGCTAAAATTGGTGGACAGCTCCTTTAGCCGTCGACGGTCAATGGCCTCTTCGTTCCCCACCCACTGATCTCTGTGGAAGACAATCTGACTTGCGGTTTGAGTATGCTGACTCGCCTCTGGGAGACTCTTTTCGCTGCTTGGCTCGGCGCTGCAGGGTGGCTGTGACCTTGTCTTCATACCGGTCTATGACGTTGGATATCTCCTTTGCAGCAAGAACATGCAACTGGACTAGTCAAAGGGCTGACTGACAAAACTCAAGAGAACCGGCGCAGTCGAGGGCAAGACACCACGGAAAGATACGAAGAAGCAACACAGAAAACTAACAATTGCGGTGGGGAGGGGAGGGGTTGTGACAGTTCAGTGCGGAGTATGCGCCGAATCCCCCGGATTGTGAAGAATAGCGTCTTCCCCTGTTGGGGTATTCTTCGCACAGAAGACCGAATCAGACCGACAAGACACCATCCCTCGGCTAGTTAGGGTCGAACTCATGAGGATTTGGTTTGTACTCTCTCTCTCTCTCTCTCTCTATGTGTGTGTGTGTATATATATTTGCTGAGTGCGTAATACTTCTAAACAACAATAAAGAAGAAGAAAGGAAGCACATCATCTTCACTTTGACCATCTATGAAGGAATTCACAAAGGAAGTCGTATCAAAGGCTATCGGATTCAGAAGCGACAGAAGTAGAGCCTTTTCTCTCCAATGCCCCGGCGAAAGTCCTTTCCCCAAGTCGCTTGGAGCTCTAACAGGTCACTCAATGTCGCTGCTCCGCCCTCAACGCCCGGCGCGGAACACGAAGATATATAAGCATGAACGCGAAGCTAAAGTCTAAACGAAACAAACAGAGAATAAAGACATCCCGGGTCATGAGAGGAGCCTCGAGCGACTTAGTACTCCTGGGTGGAACAGCTGTTATTCAACATCGAGATCGTTTCAATCACATCCGCAGGCTCGAGCAGATGCCAACTGGCGGATGTTTGCTTTGAACTTGCCCCGACAGTGACCGAGTAAACATGGTCTTGTGGCAAGTCGAATTCTTGCAAAGCACGGAACATGTCTGGGAACAACAAACGTAGTCAGCAATCGAGCATTTGCTGGAGGAAGTGGCACTGAGGGCCAGATTCGTGTTACAGGACAGGGGGATAAAAGCGGGCGTACCTTCGTCTGTAAAATCGTCCCCCGAGCAGAAGATGAACTCGGGTGCATCTCCTGGCTCGGGACCGTACTCATTGACTAGGCGAGCGGCGATGAAACCCTTGTTCACAAAAGTCGGGCGCACCTCCAAGTTGGCTTTGCCTGACATGACCTCAACCTCCCACCGCTTGGCCACAGTATCTTCGAGCGCCTTTCGGCACTCGCGGGCTTGAAATGCACCATATTCAGGATCGGCACGCCGGTAATGCCATGTAAGAGCGACCCGCTTTCTTTCTATGAAAGAGCCCTGTGTTCGTTCAGTAAAGTGCTGGAATGTTTCCATAACCTCCTTCTGCCAGCCCATATTGCTTCGCTCGGCCAAATTTTCCCAATCGTCAGAGTGGGGCTTTCTAATAAAACATCCATGCTCGGCGCTCAGTCCCAATTCAGGAATATGACCCATCCACTCATCTAAGAAAGCCTGATCGCGACCGCTGATGATCCATACTGCATTCCGTGGGTCGGCAGCAAGAGTCTTTAGAGTGCGCAGAACGCGATCCGATGGAATAGCTGCTTGGGGGTCCTTCACAATCGGAGTAAGGGTTCCATCATAATCGAACATAAACAGCCTCTTACGAGCTCTGCGGTACTGCTTCAATAGTTTGATTCTATCGAGAGCTGGCGTGGCCACCGACTGATCAAACGAAGAGAGATTTGTGAGCAAGCGGGTGATAAACTGTTTAGACCAGGCTGAAACGGTGTTGGCCGTAACATGCTTGTAGAGCTTTTGCTGCTGTGCCGTTTTTTCATCGGGAGACATGCAGAGAGCTTTATTGATCGCGGCAGCCACACCCACCGTGTCCCATGGGTTAATATGAATCGCATTGGAGAGGGTTCCCGCAGTACCCGAGAATTCGGAAAGAATCAAAGGACCATTGTTGTTCTGCTGACAGATGATATATTCCAAACTCGTCGTGTTCATTCCATCACGAACAGTCGTGATAAGGCCCACGTCAGCCACCCGCAACAGCGCAAAGTACTCGTGTGGAGAGAGATACTGGGGATAATATTTGACGGGTGAGAAGCTCAGGGATCCAAATCGTCCATTGATGGTGGAGACAAGATTGGAAATTTGGCTGGCAATCTTGTTTTCTTCCTTCTGCTCGTCGACACTGGTAGGACTAGTCACCTGGATCAGAACCACCTTATCACGCCATTCCGGGTACTTCTCGAGGAATACTTCAAAAGATTGCAGCTTCTGTGCAACACCTCGGACACTGTCTAAACGATCGCGGCCAACAATAATCTTCTTGCCGGCGTACAGCTTGCGGATTCCGGAAACCGCTTGTTCAATCTCGGTAGAACCAAAGGCTGCTTGTTGGATAGCACTGGTATCAATACCAATAGGGAACACATCGACGGCCACATGGGCACCGTATGCGTCCACTCCAGCTGAATTGGAGTCGAAACCTAGGACACGGGTGCAGCACGAGGAGAAATGACGAGAGTAGGAGAAGGTTTGGAATCCGATCATGTTCGCACCGAGGACCCCGGTGAGTACCTCCTTTCGCTTAGCGAGACAACGCATAAATTCGCTGCTGGGAAATGGTGCGTGCAAGAAGAAGCCGATGTAAACATTTGGTATGCGTTGTCGTAACATGCTCGGCAAGAGAAAAAGATGATAGTCGTGAATCCAGATAATGTCACCCTCCTTGTATTCTTCCACGATACGATCCGCGAATAGACGGTTCATTCGAACATAGTCGGTCCACCACGTGCGCTCTGATCTCCCATCGGTAGGACCATGTTGCTTATAATGAAGCAGAGGGTATAGCTCCCTTTCGGCATATCGTCTCCACCGTCCTTGGTCTTCCAAGTGGATGGTCTCCTCAGCGACATCCGACTCAGCTGATAGCCAGACAGGGGCGATTTTACCGTAGCGAGTAGAGCTCATTTGCCTATCGAGTCGATCCCGGTCGGCTTGGCCAACCCGGAGTCCTTCCATGAGGAGGTGGCTCGGGGGCCGCTGATTAGCATCAACGGGGACTGGAGCTGCTGCTTTATTGAGGGGAACGGCGGTTCCGTTCACAGCGGTGGGAATCTTGGCGCTGGTGTTGAGGGGAATCTGCTGCAACGGCACCGCCGTCTCTTGGACTGATTCTACCTCACCAGTCCAGCCAACGAGGGTGTGAGACCATTTCGAGTCCTGGGAGCCGAGATAGGCCAGAGAGTCGAACAACGCAGATGTTCCCGGGCGTGGTTTTAATTCCTGAAGCCAAGTCAGTTTGATTTCTGAACGAGACCGACATCTTTCAGCCAGAGGAGGTACGCGAGCTGATGATCAAGAGACAACATACCCAGTCCGAACCAGATCGCATGAAGAGTTTATACGGGACACAGAAGGCAGCGCTGATAATTCGACCGGTAAGGCGCAGACCTGGATATTGCTCACGTGGATCCATATCTGACAAGGTGGGCGTGCCTACGAGGCTCAACCGACGGAGCAGTTCACGTCCTGATTTCACGTCTCCAGCCGCCTGGGCAGGGGTGGAAGGGGAGGCAACAGATGAAGTGGCAGCTGTTGCATGGACCGCACCATCGGTGAAGTAAGATTGAGTATCGGAGAGAACAGGTTGTTTCGGTTCATTAGCCAAGTCTGGTGTGGCATTAGATGCTTGTAGAAAAGCGTCTTCGCCCAGAACACTCAAACCAGACCCGATCGGACTCGGATTGGGCTGGTCATCGGGCACATTGGTAGAAACGCGTTGTTCGGAGGCCATGATGACGAAAGCGGACAAGGACGGGAGACCAGATACTGGAAATGAGTATCCCGGATTAGTGCTGGCTCAATGCGGGTTTTTACTTTTCCTTCTCCTTCTTCTCGTTGTTCTTTCTTCTTCTTCTGCTTGTTCTTCTTCTGTTTCTTTTTCTTTGGAGTTGGGACCAAAAGGAATGGACCTTGAATTTCACCAAATGCGGCGGATAGACATAGAAAAGGTTCAAGGGGAGTGGCGGGGGAGGATATAATTCATTAAATGCTAGAAGGAAGAGGGGGTTGAGTTACCTGGGAGGGAGAGGGGAGAGAGAGAGGGGGCTGGCGATTGAGGGAGAGATAAGCTAAAAAGTAGTAGTAATGGTGGATTATAGGTGTTGTAGGGTGTGGGGAGGGGAGGGAGGGGGAGAAGAAAGCTCGATGATAACTTTGTGCATCAAGCCATGAAAGCAAGGGAAAAGGCAGGAGTAGGAGGAGGGGGATGAGAAGGAAAAGGAAGAAGAAGAAGAAGAAGAAGAAGAAACAACAGGAGAATAGGAGAAAATAAAACAATCAGATCCAAGGAAGTCGGGGAAGTTATGAATTGGAAGGAGAAAAGCAGAGAGTTCACTTTGAAGAGGAAGATGTGTCGGAGCCTGAGGCGGTGAAGCGCACGGGGAGGGGTGAGGGGGTGAGGAGTTACGTATCGGGATTTTTTTTAACCTCTACCCCACTGCCCACTCACTGAATCCAGACGACGACGACGACCATGATGATGATGATGATAATGATGATGATGATTGACTGACTGACTGACCTTGACCGCCTAGCTAGTCCAGGCCAACTCATCAAGCAGCAGATAAAGCAGCAGAATCAATAATTATAGCGAGCACCGTTGGAGATAGTCTTCCCGTTATAAGCATGTTGACTACAATCCAAAAAGTTATATACCTATGAGGCATATCGTAAATATACCGAAAAAGAAAGAAAATATTTACAAATAGGTCGGTTTGGCAAGCAAAAAAGCCAGCGGACAATCAAGCTGGCCCCGGTGACTACATGTATTATTATTGGAAAGGGGTTTGCTGCCATCGGCTTCTAATTTCCAATCCTTCCTGCACGAGTGAGGTAGAAAGACGAAGAAGGGGAAAGAGACGGAGGGAAGAAGACTATGAGGCATGGGATGGGCCGAAAAGGTTCCAGGCTCCGCGGGGCGGATGGCTCGAAAGGGGAAGAAATCATATAGCCCGACGAGTGGAGAAATACAATATGAAGTACGTCCTGTGTAGTTAGTAGTGTGTAGGCTGGAGAGATACGGAGAAACTTAAACAAAGAGAGAGAGCGCAAGAGGGAGAGAGCCTGATGCACAGAAGAAGAGAAACCGGTTCAGGCTTTCAAGCCCACTGGAAATACATCCATCCATCATAGTGGGCGGGGATTTGGCCCGACGCACCGAAGAGAAGAATTACCCACGAAAGACCAGCCTCCATCCCTACGTCATGATCCGAAGCTGCAGGTAGACCTAATAATGGTCGATTGTGACACCCAACAACAGGCCCCTCCGTGGGGAGAGTGTTCCTTGTCCCTGAACGAGTTCGATTGTCGAAGTCTCCGGACGTGCATCGAAAATGGTCGGGCATGGAGTGCAGGGTCTCATGTCCCGCGTAGAAACCCGACGATCGATCCTACGAGATAATTGTCTTCCATGGATTTGGCTGCATTTTCCCTGGCTTGCCTGGGTGGACCGGGCGAGGAATGACCGGAAAGTTCCCCACTGGGAGAGAGGGTCTCGTCAATAATAGTCTGATGATGATGAATGAACATCATTGTTATTCCAGCCTCCAGGGAGAGTTGGGTGACGGACAAATAAATGGCCCTTACCCGATTCAGCGCGGGTGAGAATCGGTTATAAGTTTAGTTGACTCAAGTGATGGATAACGTACTTGCATAACTAACTAAGCTAAGTCATTATCTACACAGAGCTTACTCATCTATACTCGGCACATTTTACACGATCGAATCATGTGCTCATACAATCACGTGATTACTCCGTGACCATGGAGCAAGTTTGCAGTAACTCAGTACTTCGTACCTCTGTACTACATACTCTGTAGAGAGTGCGATTTCCTTCCCATTCATGTTTGTTTTACACAATAGCGTTATGAGTTCTTCTGTCATTTCTGTTGCGCTACCATGGCAACCCTCCCATATCGAAACAGCCCTTTTACACGTCTTACACATCTTACGCACAGAAATGTGTCTTGGAGCACCCCTCGCCTGACAGTGTCTGGTCGACACTTGCATCAGACCGACGGCTGCAGTAGCAAACGTGCAAGTAAGCAGAATACCGGCATCACACCAGCGAGCTGCAAAAACGATGTCATTATTCCGGACAGCCTGGAAAAAACCCTGAATGCGCACCGCAACGCCAATCGCGCAAGCCTTGTTCGCAAAGTCCCCGTCCGAAGTCGATTGCTCAAGATACCATCCAAGTCACGAGAATATCAGCTCGGTGGTAAACTCAGTCCCACTGTCAATCAGGCATCATCCTCCCTGGAAGCTCCCGCGGCCTCCTCATCTTCAAAGTGTCCTGAAGATGTCGCCAAAGTCCCCGTCCGTGATGAAAGTCGATTCCACAAGATACCATTCAACTCACAAGGCTCTCGGCTCGGTGGTGAACCCGGTCACACTAACAAGCAGACATCATCCCCCCCTCGAGCTCCCGTGGCCTCCTCCACTTCAAACTTTCCTGAAGATGCCGCCAAAGACGCATCAGGCCGTTGTTTATGGTGAACGCGGGTGCCTTCAGAGCAGACCTTCGTCGATGGGGGTTCGCAATTAAGTGCGGAGATTCAGGCTTTACGAATTAACCTACAGGTCACTCCCGCCGAGCACACCGAGAAAATTCGAATCGTCGACGATATCTGCCGCACGCACAAAGAAATTATACCTGGTCGGCGCAATGCTTCGCTAAAAGTCTCAGACTGTCACGATACTGGACTTGGGTCGATTCTCTCCGCTATATATATGGCGTGCATATCTCCCTTCTCAAAAAAAAAAGGCCCAAAACAAAGTTTACCAAATATCAAGAGGACGAAACAATGGAAAAGCTACAAAGATTACTTAAGGCTCTCCCTCAAGATGCAGGAGGTACTTCACCGTTTCCCGGATCATGAAATAAAGAACCTTTCTCAAAAAGATGAATACAGGTATGGACCGCGCCTCATGGTACACGACTGGAAAACACGTGTCTGGCTCTATTTCGTATGGCCCGATGATTGCACGCTCTCTGGACCTCTGGATTCAGCGCTGGGTGAAGCTGTATTCGTCGCTTGAATATCTATTCATAGCAATCCGCGCTATCCTGCAAACAAACTTTCTGTACGGGAGCACTGGTGCGGGTGTGAGACGTGAGGCGCTCGCCGCCCTCATTGGGCATTTTCTAAGGAGGAACCGTGACCGCTTCCCGGGAACGACGACTAGGGCAGCAACTTCTTGCGTTTTTGCACTTTTTTTTTTGGAGTGGGGGTCAATCTTCAAACGACTGGAGTCGCCATCGATCGTCTTTCGACTGGCACTCGGCGATGAAGTGCCGCAAACATTTTAAAAGGTATAGAAAACCGAGTCCCCCAGGTCTTCGTGGCCAACTGTACTTCATGGACCTGAAGCGACGTTGCCTTGAAACCGGCAAATATGCTTTGGCACAACGACTATGTGCCCAAAACCCTGCAGAGCTTCGCCACGATCTGGGCCATACGTGCTTGCATACGAAGTACGTGCAATCAAACTTCAGGGAAGCAGTTGAGAGGCTCTACGCCGGCCTCGCGCGTTCGACCTCCGGGGCCAGGACGTGTCACCCCGGCCACGAGTATATTGGGAGAGATCCTCCAGTTCAATTTTCGGGAGTCTGAACGGGCACGCCATTCGATCACAACCAGGCCCGAAGCATCTTCGCTCTGCAGCAACCAGAGTGTCACCTGACTACCTCATACGACATGTTAGAGCTCTTAGTCACCTTCGTTGCTTGTGTGTAGTTAAATCCCGCCGGCTCTCGATACATCCACCTCACCAACTACTACGGAATAACATAATACAAATGTATCATGGAGAGGATAGTGTCATGAAAGAAGGCCCGCTTGCTATGCTTGAGGACAAGTATACCTCCCAAGGCACTGAGTCAGAGGGGCGTGTAATATTCGACAAAAGAGGAAATGCAAAAACGTGTTGTGACCTCATGGTGGCAGGATCCGTAATGCCCTGCGTGCCAAAGAAAGCCCCTTGAATACACAGGCGAGAAGCCAGGCGCTCAATGATCATGCTAGTTGCTACTCAGAAGTCAGAGATTAACCAATAATTGGAGAGCTGAGCACTGGGCACTTACTAGATCTCCAATGGGGAAATTTGATCCAATGTGTAGAGCCAGTTACCGCCTTGTTCTTCCTTCTCAAGCCTGCGTTGAGTTGAAAGGTCAGCAAGATTGAATACGATTGCGTTTGGGAGTCACCGACCAGTCATAAGGCCATAGAATAAGATGACCTTGGACCCGATTCAACAGATCTTCCGCTCGTTGTTTGTCCATCACTTCATCCGCATGGAATTCACGCTTTGAGAGTGTTGTTGCTCGTCGTCTCCGCCGTTGGGACTGACCGGTAGCATTTTTATTTAAAGCCTCGGAATAATCTATGACTGGGGGATCTGATCGCTGTTTCTCGACGTCCTCCCCAGACGAGCCGCTATCCTCGATCCGTCCGGTCTGTATCTGCCCTGATGTTGGGCCAGCTGTTGCTCTCAGAGTAGACTTCTCATCAATAGGGGACAGCCCTTCGTGGATAGTCACATCAGCTTGTTGCTCATTCGGACCTGGTACCGAGTCGCTCTCACGATTGCCAAGCGTTCCAACGTTGGCTTGCTCTTTCTGGTCCACCTTGTGTGCCTCATTAGCCTGGCCGTGTGATGTCAGACTATGCTTGATCTGGGCAGCTGCTCCAGCGAAGCCGGCAGCTGTGCCTGGGGGCCCGGTTTGTCGCTGACTTGAGGGCTGAGGAACCTTGACTCCTGGCTGGCTCTGCATTTCAGCAAAACGATCCCCGTATGCAGCGTACTCTTTGTACTCCTTCCAGGATTTCACCTCGCTATCAGGCATGCAGCGGAAAACACTACGGAAGACCTTTGTGTTCTTTTCAGCAACGGCAGACCAGGTGTCCAGGTAAAAAAGGTCAAGTATAGGGTCCCTCATGCAATCTTTGTCGATGAAGACATGCTTCACTTCCGCAGCGGACAGGTAAGACTTAGCGTTATCACCAATGTCCCGTATAGCTGCAAGGCCGCCGCTGTTACTATTTTCTGTCTCATGTTCCGGGACTAGTGCTGGGTGTCTGATAGTTGGCACTCCTTCGACGAGCTGTGCACAATCATGCGACTGCACAGCTAGACTAGAACCCGGCTGGCTGATACCATCGGTGTTATGAGGAGTTTTATGCCCCACGGTGCGTTCCGAAGGACGCTTGGGGCTTTGCAGCGTGCCCTTACCCTCCGGTGCAATGGCTGAGACCAGAACCTCCGTCTTGTCTTCCAATATCTCAGAATCGCGACCATTCTCGAGGCCGACCTCTTGGGCCACTTTGTGGTGATCCGGCCCAAGCCCGTCCACATCTTTCTTGTGCTCTGGGTTAGAGGTTACTCGCGGGTCTGTTGTGAGTTTCCTATTCGACTTGAGATTGGGATTATTACCCTGCTCCCAATCTACGTCATGGTTGAAACTGTGCATGTCTTCTGATCGAGATAAGAACTCGTCCTGAATCCGATGACGGCGCTCTATCATGTCTCTCTCGTCCCTCTTCTCCATCATCAGAGACTCGGAGTCAGGTACCTCGCGAGATTCGGGTGGCTTGGACCCCTCTTCGGCAATCTGAATTCTTAGCAACTCTTCCTCAGTTGCCATAGAATGCTCCATTAATTCGTCAACATCGACGCCAAGATGCTCTCTCATGAGTCTCATGCGAAGCGTATGCGGAAAGCGCCCCACGAGGTAGGGACGGCCATTCATACTAGACCATATCATGTCTGTATCACGGACGACCGCCGCAACTTCCGAGTCGCGGGATCCAAGCATCGACCGCTCGTTAATATTTGCTGACCCGATGATAGCCGCACGGTCATCAACAACCATGCATTTGGCATGAATGTACAGCTGCTCGGTTACGAGCTGCTTTTGCGGACCGATTTTACCCCATGATCGGAGGCTGAAGAACTGAATGTAGTCCTCAGGCTCAATCCCCAAGGCACGTAGTCGTCCAAAGATTGACGTCTCCCCACGGCAGATGCTGCGATACTGGCACATCATGATCAAACGGACGCTAGTTCCACCCTCGCTGTCTACCGTGTTCTGAAACCCAGGCATCAAGGGAATGACAATCACCGCACGCCAGGCTTCTTTGTTTTTTGCAGCCCGGGTGATGCGCTCTACTAGTGCATCACCGATCAGATTCTCAATTTTCCTGCCGTCAATCTCGCAGGTGCTGATGAAAAACTGATTCTCGATATAAACAAAATGATCGGATTCTTCGATCAGTTTCACATAAGCATTCATGATGCTGTGCTCGGTTACGTCCGGTGTGCCAGTTGACCACATGCTACTGGAGCGCAAAATCTGGACCTCGCAAGTTCCATCCAGACCTAGAGCTTCCAGATCTGCCGCATCAAAATCAGGGGGTGGAAGCAAGAAAGGTGTCGGGCGGGTTGGCTTTCTTTGGCGCAAGATGTAATTCCACCTTTGGACAAAGTGGCGCGTAAGATCGCGCGCCGGCTGACCTACTACATGCATGGAGATATCATGCCACGGCATTCTGGGAATGACATTCCGATCGTACATTTCTTCGTAGGGTTTATCTAGATCGTAGAAGTCTTGGATCCGAGGGTTTGAATAGTCCTTGCCGGGCCAAAGCTGACAATGGTCTGCGTCCTTCGGTCCATCTCGTGTTTCGAAGCCGGTAGGCTTATCATCTGTCAAGAGGTGTTGGGGAGTGTCCCACCTGCCAAAACACAAATCAATGCCCCCAACGAAGGCCAAAGTATGGTCGATGATGCATAGCTTTTCATGGTGCGCCCAGAAAAAGGTATTCTGCCGAAATTGGTTGGGTGATCGTTGAACGAAGACATTCGGATGAAGATCGAGAAGAGAGAACTTGGAATACTCCGAATCGATGGGGATGGCGGAGTTGATGTTCCGATACATGATGACGAAAATTTTCACGCCTTCACGCGCCTTGCGTTGTAATAAACGATCTAGGCGCCATTTTTGACTGATAGCGGCGGGTCGACGCATGTAGAGCTCAGGACTGAGCCACCAGTCATGGATGTAGATGACATCTTTGGCCTGATTGATTGCGCGGGACACAACCCACATGTGATCACGAGCGTCTACTAGCCATTGCGCGAAGCACTTCTGCCGTACGGGGGCGAAACTTTCGAATCGATTTGGCCTCGCCCATGGGGTGGTATTGACCATGAACCGTATTGAATCCTCAAACTGGTGGAGTTGCCGCTCATTCCTGGCCAGCAATCTAAGCTTTCGCTCTGAGTTCTCGAGTCTCAAAGTATGGTGTTGCGGGTGTCGAGCTGACTCTGTTGCAGACTTGGCAAACTCCTTCGCTTTCTGATTGCGCAAGCTAACCTTCTGTGTTTGGAGTTTGAAGAACGGGTCGACCAGGAAAACATCGTATATGTTCATCTCCTCGGGCGAATCGACGCATACAACATAGCTGTGCCTTACAAGGAACCACTTGGGTGAGTGACGCTTTTTCACCATACCTGGAGTCAGAGCTCTCCGAAAATCGAGACCCTTAGACGACTGGATGACAAGGTATCCTTCTTTGCCATGGTAACTCCCTTCGGCCGCAAGACGGACTCCCAGTGCCGACAACTCGAGAAATTTGCACAGACGGTTGCTATCTGGCTTGAAGATGAGGAACCGAATAAGTTTCTGTAGATATGATTCCAGCTTCTTTCGTTGCCTCTCTGGGTAGCTCTCTTTCTTGATAGCCAACCCAGCTTCCACTGGTCCGGAGACACCTGCTTCATTCTCTCCATCTGGTATTGTGGCACTCGACTGTCTGCGAGACAGCCCACCAGACGGGCGCCGCTGTGCTTGCTTCTTGCCGCCCCTTTCGTTGCCGCTTGTTGCCTCTGCAGCGGTCTCATACCCACCTTCGTCCTCGTCATCTTCCATGTCACTCTCTAAGCCACGAACACCTCGAAGGTAGGGAAACGCACTGCGAGGGAAGCGCGGTAGATTCTGTCCACTCTCGGTGTTCCGCAACTGGATGTACTTCTGCGTTCCGAAATGCAGCTTATACTTCAAATGGAGATTTGCAAAGTCCCTCAAGGTTCGATGGATAATCCATTTCATTCGTGTCATCCCGCTTCCGTACTCGAGTTCGATACGAAAGACCAAGTGACGATCACCCGAGTGTGAGTCGATCTTGCTATCAGTGACTCGCACCTTGAGCTGTTCAAGTAAAATTGGAATGCGTTTGCTGCCGTGCTCGTCCCTTTGGAACATACTGGCTAGAATGAGGGCGGCCGGTACCCCAGAGGTAAGTTCTGCCAAAAGTTCTGCTGATTTCGCATGATCGACCGTGTTATCAACCTTGCGTCTCTGCCCGATCAACTTGAGTCCAGCTTTGATCTGGCGCCATTTCTGAGCGCTCAAGCTAGAACCACGGTCGGCCCGATGGCGTCGCCAGGGTGGCGTGGTACCTTCGGTATTATCAGATGGCGCAGCCAGACCGGTTAATCTTCTGAGGTTGCTCGGTCTTCTCTCGTCGGGGTTCGTCGTAGTATCTGGCTGTCGTCCGCTATAGGTTAGTCCCCGCGCATTCGCAAGCCAGACACTTCTTCGTCTCCAAGCTGTATCTCTGTTCAGACGGTCGCGACCCTCATCCTCCGACACACCTTCCCTTTGCTGTGGGATAAAATTTCCAGTGCTACCTCGCCGTGGGAAGAAATTCGACCGATAATTCTCAAAAGGTGCAAATGAGCTGGACAGATGAAACGACGGGCGACTAGTGGTCTTCGGTGTATTCGTCTGCGTTTGCGGATCTAAATCGTCTATTTGGTGTCGACGTTGTTTCTTCTTCTTTCTCGGCTGGCTGATACGACCTTCTCCTGCGCTCTCCTCCGCATCAGCGTCGATGTCACTCCCCTCTTCTTCCAACGTGTTTGGAAAGCGAAACTCGCCCCGTTCTGAGCCGGGGGTTGCCAGGTCGTTGTTAGTGGTTCTGAAGTCACTCAGAGTTGCGCCACTAGCTGAGCGAGAATGCGATGCGAAAGATGGCGAAGCTGCGAAAGACTTCAACTTCGTAAGTAGAGACTGTTTTCCTTTCAGTCCAAAATCCGCATCATCCCCTCTGATGGATGGTGGCCTAGAGTAGGACAACTCGGTGAGAGGGTCGACTTCAGGCGGGTCTCGAGTGAACTGAACACTTGGTCGGCGGCTCGCAGCTGACTGTGGCTGCTGCGGCTTCCTACTCCCGGGAGTCTGCGGTACTTCAGTCGCCTCATTCAGCCGTCGAGGCACCAGGGAGACGGGATCATCGGCAATTATAGGGTCGCCCAATGTCGTTCCCTCTTGAAGGTAGCCAACAGTCTGTCCTGTACGCGTTTTGAATCTATTTCTGGGTGTAGATTCCCCCGAGTCTTGTACGGGTTGAAGATCGTTCAACTGATCTTGTTCCTCTGCTAGGTGCTGTGTATCTCTCTGTGCGGTCGAAAACGAGGGCGAAGGGACTGACGCGGATAGCTTGATTCCATCTGACAGCGACATAGGCTCTGGTCTCCTCCAATGATGGCGACTTTGAGTGTTCTCCGAGCTCCTCGGCTCGGAGGGCTCAGCTGTGGAGTCTGTCATGCTAGGATTGAAGCTCGAGCGTCAGTGAGTGGGCAATGAGAGGTAGAGGAGAGGCGTCAGCTAGACATACATGCAAGATCAAGACAGTCCCGTCGAAGGCGACCGCGGAGCTCAATATGCGCGGGTCATTCTAAAATTTGACAATCTCAGCCAAAATCAAGGTGGTGAGTGAGGGAGTGATGTGGTCAATGCCAGAGTCCGAGGAAGGACTACCTATGATAAAACAGAGGAAGAAAAAGAAAGAGGGAGGTGGGGGCGGGGAGACGATGGAAAGAAGAAAGGGGGGGATCGCAAAGGGGAGAAATGTACTCCGTAACTAATGGACGATTGTTCGATTTTGGGAAAGTCAAGGGATATGGAGTAAAGGAGGGTTCTGGGTTCCTTGAGCCGCCCGCTGTGGGGTACGGAGTACGGTAGACTAACTAATTATTCTGAGTATGAGCTCAGTAACCAACTAACTAACTAACTACTGTGTATACATATTGACTACATAGTAAGTCATGCTTTTTGCCTCATAAGGTACGGAGTACTCAGTCAGTGTTGTGATAGCAGAATTGGACGTCACTCATACATCTATACATACATATATCCATCCACTCACCACTGCGGAGTACTTCTGCATAAATTAAGAGCCGCCAGTATAACAAACATGTACGGAGTAGTTAAGAGGGAGATGATTCTGTTTGTAATTATACCAAGAATACAGACAAGGTTTTAATCCTGACCAAGGGTCGGATAATTGAAGTACTGAAGAGAAAGTGTAGGATGTTCGTCACGCAGATACCAAGCTTGTACGAAGTACATGTACGGAGTCGTGCGTATCATGTATGTTCAGTACAAGACATAGTTTTGGCGTACCTCGGTTAGGCTTGTTCCATAGCTCAAAGACCATCGTGTACAATTACGGACGGAGTACGTACTACGTATATATAATGTATCCCTCGTCCTAAATCTCCAGATATTAATAAACCTCACCCACCCCCCTCCTGCTTTTACCCCACAGACGGACACGTCGGACAGAGAAATTTCCCCCCACCTCTCATGATATCAGCTTGCATCGACCTGCAAAATCGCAATCTTTAGGAAGAGAGTGACACACCAAGAGTGCCTCAAGGGACAACGAAATAAACCTGGAGCATCAACCCAACCGATCATTTGAGATCATGGCGGACCCTTTCAAGACTCTGGATGTTGCCTCGCGCTCCGAAATAGTTGACGCCAACGCTCCGTTGTCTGTGTCTCAACACCAATACCACATAGCAGGGATACTCACGACAGTTTTCGGTCTTGACGAACTGCCATCGGAGGGGTCAGAAGTCGCCTGTCTCTGGCTACTACATCCGAGGCTGGCTAGTCAAGAACGCATGACTAGTATCGCCACGGCAGTCATCGCCGACTGGAACGCCAAGATGCCTCGCTCCGAGTCTGGCTATACCCGCAAAGGCCTGATAGCTGTAGCGTTCGACCAGAGAAACCACGGGACAAGGCTTGTTGATCCCCTAGCTAATGAAGCTTGGAAACAAGGGAATCCTCGTCACGCGCAAGACATGTTTTCAATCTTTCGTAAGTGTCATACATGTGATCTGCAAGAAGAAAACCTCTAATGTCTGCCGCGTAGAGGGTACTGCTCGCGATGTATCCCTCCTGATCGACTATATTCCTTCTTTTGTCTTTCCCAAGTCAGAACGCCAAATATCCGATAACCTGGTACTGGGTGTCTCTTTGGGCGGGCATGCTGCCTGGAGCTGTATTCTGCATGAGCCGCGCGTAAGTGCGGGCGTTGTCATCATTGGCTGCCCGGACTATGTAAACCTCATGGCCGATCGCGCAAGATTGTCGAAGCTGCCATCGTGGACAGAGAGTGAAGCTCCTGGCTCCAAGTTTCTGGGATCCGAGGATTTCCCATTCTCGTTGCTGGACGTGGTACGTAAATACGACCCTGCAAGCCTGTTTCTGAATCAGATGGGCCCAATGCTGGGTATCAGTGCTCTCCGCAGCGAATCGTTGCCGATGCCTACAGAGAGTGAGCAGGCCTCTCTACGCCCTTTATTCGAGCGGTGCTTGGCAGGAAAGAGAATCCTCAACCTGTCTGGCGGTGCGGACAAATTGGTGCCTTACCATCGGGGAAGCGCATTTTTGACTTGGTTGAAGCAAGCAATCTCACCTAATGGCTGGTTTGCTGGTAAGGCGGTTACCCTCGAAGACATTATTGATGAGAGCGCAGGCCACGAGGTGACTCCGAAGATGGTCGATGAGGCAATCCGGTTCATTCATGAGACGCTCGAGACCGATAGCGCTGGTCCTAGAACGGGCTCCGTACGAGAAACTAAGATATAGGTATACCACAATAGACCAGAAACAATTATAATGATATTACCAGGGATTTCTAGTCAAAACACAGGTCCGCAGTCATAGTAACAAAATTCGAAGAAAGCGCCTGACTAGCATGATTTTACCGGAATATATGGTCATACGCGATGGGGAACAATATCCGCTCGATACTATAGTTCTCATGTGGTGAGCGTGACTATGCCTCTGTGAGTGGCAACAAATGACCTTGTATTAGCCCGTACACCCGAATCATGATGAGCACAGCAGGAGTCAGAAGATGAGTCAAACGAGAAGAGAAGAAAAATTAGAGATTCAATCCTCCTTCATGGTATTGTTTGATAAGATTTGATCGTCAGGGTATCTAGCGGCCTTTTGAAGCTCGTCAAAGAAGACCCTTTCTTTTGTAGATACACGGACCAAGGTGCCCGATCCGCGGCCCCATTTGAAGTTTCCATCACCAGGGGAGAAAATTGACCCTCTAGTGCCCTGAGCCGTAGCCAGCGCAGCACCTGTCCAAGTCTAATCCTTCAGGTAGAACGCCAATTCCCATACTTTAAGCAACAAGCTCAACAACACCACCAGCCTCCTTGATCTTCTTCTCGGCGTCACGGCTGAAGTAGCGGGCGCGGACGACGATGGGGACCTCGGGAAGACGGCCCTTGCCCAGAACCTTAGAGTAACCGAGAGAAAGGAGGTCGATGACAGGGGCGGTGTCGGTCTTCTGGCCGCTCACATAGGCATCGCGCTGCTCGGCAGGAACGAGAGACCACAGCTGCAACACAAGCCTCAGTTAGCAACTTGTTACATTCACACGGCTACCACTTTAGTTCCCAGTTGAAATCTCCCATCTTCTTAGGGTCTAGTGTCCGTATTCACGTCGCTTCCCCATTCTGCGAACCAGAAACTCCCGTGGGCCGTACCGAGTCTGATCTTTATTATCAGGGTAATGCGCGACGTACCTTGTCGATGTTGATAGTGGGCTTCCAGAACTGCTGCTGGGTCTTGTGGAAGTATCTCATTCCGACCTTACCGAAGTAACCGGGGTGGTACTTGTCAAGGTTGGTCCGGTGGTGGTGCTGACCACCGGCCATACCACGACCACCGGGATGCTTACGGTGCTTGCCAATGCGACCGTAACCGGCGGAAACATGACCGCGGCTATATAACGGAAGTTGTCAGCTTTCTGTGTATTGTTGTCATTTTCGCGTGAGGTCCTAAATCGCTGAATAGAGCATAGGTCTGTCGCATTCCACCACGAAAAGCGCGAAATCACAATCGGGAGGTATGAGGCGAAGGGGAAAGGCATTTTCGACTCACGCTTTCCTTGTCTTCGAGAAACGGGTAGGCATCTTGTCGACGGTGCTGAGCTCGACAAGACCGGTCTGAGAGTTTGGCGATGGGGGGATGCGGTCGTGGGTGCTGGGCTCAGATATTGAAATCAAGGCTTGGGGGAGGGGGGAGCGGCTAGAATGTGCGCTAAGCTGCTTACCCTAAAGTAGGGCTTCTGCCCTTCAGGTGAATCTTGGCATTTGCGCGCGTGGAGGCAAGCCACGTGACTTTATGTGTGGGACCGCCAGTTGACGGTTCAGTGCGTAGCAAACCATGTACTACGGAGTAGTACTTTTGGACGAAGGAATAGTGGCTTTGAATCTATGTCTTTAGGTATTATATTTTCTTTCTGAAAACCCCTTTTGGCTCATTGCTTGCTACCCTGGAAGAAATCGGACAGGCTTTGGATCGTTCTACTTGCAGGCTGATTCATGGAAGCAGTAACCATACTTTGTCTGATCCATGCCGGAAGCTTACCACTGATGTTCGCTTTATCATATCGTCTGTCCATCAACACAATAGCCGCATAGTCATTGCGATGCCGGATAGCTCGTCCAATGCATTGGTTCACTGCTCGCATACAAGCGTTTTCGTAGTAATCTCTCCCGGCAGCTTTGGCGCTTGACCGCCGGTTGGCTTCAGAACCAGTTGCTTGATCAAACGCTTTCTGTTCAACATACTCAATCTTTGCCTGCCAGACAGCACTTCGGATGTTTGGGAATGGGAGTCCGATGATGAGTATGCCACGTCCGAGTCGATCAGAGAAATTGATTCCTTCGGATAGCTTTCCACCCACTATGGACAACAGAAGTGCACCACTGTTCGAATCGATGAGTTCGGTATACTTCTGAAGCAATGTATCCGTTGAGTCAGCCATCTCTCGAGACTCGAAAAGAACCGGCTTTTTTCTGTTGATTAGCTCGTATAAGTTTTGGCCGCCCTCGCCCACTACATGCCTTTTCCACACATTCACAACCTGCCCTAGGTAGTCATAACTTGGGAAGAAAGCAACAACACCATCAGGTATGACGTTGCAAATTGAAGCTATTGTCCGGCCAAGGTCAAGTATCTGAGTGATTGCCCACAACAAGTCAAGCAGGATTTGGTTAGATGACAAACGCTTCCCCGGTGACTTAGAAAGAGATGACTTACCATCGCCTCGGCGTCTCGCGACTCATATCTGAACTCGAGATCTGAGCCTTGTACTCCACGTCCTAGCGTGTGCACAGTCAGGTTCTTGGATGGAATGACATGACCATAGCTGAAGGTGCTCAGTCGATCAGAGGGAACATAGGGGAACAGATGGTTCATGTAATCAGTCAACTATGAACGCTGTTAGAAATCCGGATGATACTTGCTGGGGTTCGCGCAGCAGAATCTTACCGGAGACATCGTTCCACCAGCTAATATGACGGCTCTGGCATCATCAACTATATCACGGAACTGATTTGTCGGATCAAGTAGCATATATTTCAACTGGATATCACCCTTGTCTTTCACATAGAACAATCGCCCTTCGGCAGACGGATTCATCAATGAAAGCAGGAACCCTTGTATTTGGAACAATACAGGTGTTGTAGTCTTCTCAGAAGCCCTATTTCCAGCCATCTCTCTCGAGAATTCGACATAGCCATCGACTTTCCTCGCGAGTTTACTCTCCTGGAGATAGCGACTTAATTTGTAGGGATTGATCTGGTCGACGCCTTTCCCAGACATAAGGTCTGAAGGTAGGACAGGTCCTTCAGATGGCCCACTGCCGGTCAGCACAGAGCGGAGATAATATGAAATTGAGCCAAGGAGTCGGATGATTTGAGCGATATAGCTCCTATTTTGTCCCTTCAACCGTGTCTTGAACTTGCGGGCGTAGGTCGTCAATTGCGAGATAGACAGCTCGAATTGAAAGAGCGTCACGGTTGTTGAATGCATATTAGAGATTGCATCCATCAAATTATGGGCTTCGTCAATGACAACGATATGACCTTTGACCGATATATTGAGTGCTTCTCTTGCTGAGCGCTGAAGCAAGAGAGGATATGGTAGAGTGACAATCTGCTCAACTTTAGTCATATGCAGACAAACGTCTAGGGGGACACTTACCTCGCTGTGTTTGATGACTGAGCGAGAAGCATAATAAGGGCATATGCCGATTTCCCTTCCGACTTTCCCTAAGTCTTCAATATCTTTAACTGTCGCAAATGTGTGATCTCGGAACTGGATAGAATGTGTCTCGTCTTCTTTTGACGGCAGATAGGGGCACTGGTGTTCTGTCGGCACGCCAGGTTGCTGCAATTCAAGACAGCGTTCATTGATTGCTGTTGGATTTTCAAGAAAAGATACCTGAGTATTGATGCAAAGATTCTTTCGGGATCCAAGGGAGAGGTGTCTTATACGTTCTTCTAATGTATTGCTTCCACTTGATACCATATTTTGCGGAATACTTGAAGGCAATGTAATGCGTCGCAATTCACCGGCAAATTGAGATAGTTGAGAGTGTGTCCGAGAACAAAAGAAGATCTTGATCTCATTTTCTTGCTCGTCGTCTTGATCGCTTCTCACAGATGATTGCCCTTGGAGCCTGCGCAGCAATTCGAGAGTGCTGGAAGATAGTTCACCGTTGGAAGGCGTATTCTTTGTGGATGAACTTGGCTGGTCATCGCTACTGTCGTATTCATCTATGAGGAATTGATCTTCGTGCAAAGTGGGCCCAGTTGACGCTCTACCCAGTTTCTAATATTTCTCAGCTGCATAGTTCTCTGACTGAGACTACAGCATACATACCTGCTTTTTTCGACGTCTCTTTGAGTCGCCCTCGACATCCCTTTGTTTCTCTTCTCGAACTCTAGCCCTCTCTAATTGCTCCTCGAGCCTTTTCCTTCTCTCGAGAACGGAACGACTCAATTCATCTTTCGCGTAATCCAACATCCAGTCGGGCTCGCTCTGGTCATTACCTGCTGCAGCAGTCAGAGACAACAGGAAGCATGTTCGACTGAATGCATATTCCTCACCCAGTGCTTTATCAATGCTATCCTGGAAAGCAGAACGTTTGTGATCACGTAGCCAAGTCAAGGAACCACATATCAAACTCAGAGATTTGCCCTTGAGGAATCTGTTAGTATTAAACAGTTTGCAAGAAGTCAATCATATCTTAGGTGAAGAGGAAAAAATATCTGCATTGAGCCTCTCGGAAATCCCAGGCCTCGCAAGTCCTTAAAGACCTGGGCTACGCGGCGTGATCCGGAGCCATTGACTTACAGTGCCTACCAACAACACCTAGTTAGCCAGTGTCAAGAGGCTTTTGCCTACTACTGATTGCACCTCACCGGTTGGGGATTCGAAAATAGCCACTTTGCCCTCCTCAAGACATGTGTAGAGTGCTTGCATAAACTGGATTTGAATGTCATAGGGCGTGTAAGGGTGATGAAAGTTCTTAGTTTGCAAATCCATTGTTTTTGAGTGATGAAATGATGGTGGCTTGAAATGTCAGTTTCAGGGATTTGATCAAGGAACAAGATGAGATGAACTTGCCAAAGAAGTTAGATACAAGGCCACCCAAGAGGTATAGATTTTGGAGCAAGCTGTCGATCTGATACGAGTACGGAGTAAGCAAGGGTCCCCTTCTTAGTAAGTTCTAAGTAAAGTTAACTTAGTTAACTACCACGAAGAACATCCAGAGAACTTTCTATGGCTAGAAAGTCAGGTCCTGGGACCCACACTTTGAGTACATGTTACGGTATTTACTGTGTATTATGAGCGGTCTGTCACTGTATGGACTATGGAGTAGGTCCTTTTTCTTACAGCTCACAGGCACTTGCAAGTTGCAACTCTGTGATGTCCAGTGCACTCACTGTAGTACTGGAACTTCAGACCATGATAGGCTCTAATAAGATGATCGATTATTGCCCCAATTATCATTATAAGACCTCACTTACTCTGGATATCGCATAGAGTAAATTACAATTCTAATTAGTTTAGTAGACTGACTCACCAATCCCCAAGATTTTAACTTACCCAGTCAGTATGACTTAACTACGTAGTAGTTACAGTCTTACAGAGGGTACTGAGTAGTACCCCATACAGTAACTACGTGAACTAATGCACATTTGATTGCCCTTGGTGCTTGCACTATCTGACGGACACTACTCCGTATTGAAGCTAACCATGTAGATTGAGCATGTCAGATGAATAGTAGTTTAGTAGACCTCACTCGTACTATTAATAGTCTCAAGTCCTGGGCCACATGGTCCGAAAAGGGGGAAGAGGGGAAGTGTTCAACTTTCCTCTCCCGCCGACTCAGAACCCCACCTCTGGACCTCTGTCAGTCGCCCTACTGACTACGGAGTACTACTCAGACTCATAAGTTAGTAGTTACTCCGGAGTACCTGAGAATTCTTCAACAATCAATTATTTGACAGTGTCAGTGCTCGGTCATCCAGTGCAGGATATCAACGGAGTAACTTACAGTACGAAACTGGTTGAAATACGGCAGTTGTCCGTGCTTCCTTCCTCTTCTCTTATCAGTAGAACTAACTAGTAGTAACTTATTGCCTAGTATATTCAAGAGGTATGTACCTCGTAACTAACTTACTGTGTCCGTAGGCTATTAGTGGTTACTACTAACTACTCCGTATTGTTTCCCCTATCACCCGCACCTTCGTTCTTCTGGCCCCTCCTTTTCCCCTCTCCCCCCCTTAGGCTAGGAAAGGTACGAAGTACCCTGTAGAAATGAGTAAATTAATTTGCACTGGTTCAGCTAGAGGATGACGGTGACTTCAAGAATTGGCTAACTTACTCGTTACTCGGCAATTTTGATTCCGCTTTTTGCTCGCGCTCAGCCTGGATCTTCTTTCTTCCTTTCTTCCCTTCCCCCACCATCCTTTGCTTTCAATTTAACAACGTCTTCTAACTCGTCAGTCCAAAAGTTGTTGCCATACATTACTGGCTTTGAAGTCTGAAACCAGTTTAATTATCAGGGGCAGGTGACAGCTCCAACCGTTACAGTCAGCAAAAGAAAGGAGAAGGAAGAAGAAAAAACAAAACCAAAAAAAAAGACCGGAGAAATACACTGGCCGCGATGAATAGGCCACCACCCCAAGGTCGTGGTCAGCCACGGCTAGGTGCAACATGGTATCCAGGGGGTCAGGATGATTTCTACATGCCAGAGGTCATATCCCCATCTCCTCAAAGGTACGAAATTACCCAGCGACTCTAGATCAAACAATCGATCAACCACTCCAAGCGTCCATCCATTTGGTTGTGTTGCTAATTGATCGAACTATATCCTTGTTCTAGCAGAGTCATGCCCGAGGTACCGGAGAACATGCAAGACAATATAGCGCAGCTTGAGCACGAAGCTCGAAACCCGCATCATAATCCGCACGCTCCAGTGCAGTATGACCGCTCTCGCTTCCCCGAGCGCTCTTCGTCCGCCTTCTCACAAGACCAGCCTCACCCGTCCGCCTATGAACCTGCCGCCTATTACGAGCAGCAGGACGCGGCTCCCGATAACATGGACGCTCCGAATTTCTCCCCCTTTCCTGTCCTGCGAAACCCTCCACCAAATGTTCCCCCAACCGATGAGCAGAGGGAAGCCAACTTGGAAAGAGCACGAATGGCGGTGCTTTCCTCCAATGATCCGGAGATGCAGCTAGCCTGGGCCCAAGACGCGCTCGCTTTTGTCGAGGTTGCTATGCAGAATGAGGCCCGTCTGTCTTTAATCCAGCCACCGCGGCCACAAACTCCTCCCGTGGAGCGTCAACTCAAACTTGACGCGATGAACATAGTGAACTTCCTCGCGGAACAACATCATCCCAAGGCTGAGTTCCTAAAAGGCATGTGGCTCGAGTTTGGGAAATTTGGATATCGCGTGGACAAGAAGGAAGCTTTCCGATCTTACTCAAGAGCGGCGGACAAAGGATATGCCAGGGCCGAATATCGCATTGGCATGCAGTTTGAGAGTTCCGGGGAACCAGAGAAAGCCATTAGACATTACGAGAAGGGTGTTGCCCTTGCAGACTCTGCTTCATTCTATGTATGTTCGCTCTCGTTACCACAAGGGCTTACGTTCCGTGCTAATGAGATGTGTGACGGTAGCGCTTGGGGATGATGATCCTGCTGGGTCAACATGGTCAGCGTCAAGACTACCAGATGGGCCTCGAATACATTAGCCTCGCGGCGCAGTCCTGCGATGAGAATGCCCCTCAGGGAGCTTATGTTCGTCTAGAATCTCTCTATTCTGCTTGTTGCGGGAAAGCTAACGTCTCTATGCACAGGTTTATGGCATGCTGCTGGCGCGAGAGTTGCCACAGGTCAATGTCCCTGAGAGCTATCTCCCGCTTGATCTTAATGCCTCCCGCGTCAACATCGAAAAGGCTGCGTATCATGGCTTTGCCAAAGCGCAAGTCAAGATGGGCGCAGCTTATGAGCTGTGCCAACTGGGCTGCGACTTTAACCCTGCCTTGTCCTTACATTACAACGCATTAGCTGCACGTCAAGGTGAACCCGAAGCAGAAATGGCCATTAGCAAGTGGTTCCTCTGCGGCCATGAAGGTGTCTTCGATAAGAATGACGAGCTGGCGTTCACATACGCCCAACGTGCCGCTCAAAGCGGATTTCCTACCGCCGAATTTGCCTTGGGATACTTCTACGAGGTTGGAATTTTCGTTCCAGTGGATATCAAGGAAGCTAGAAGCTGGTATGCCAAAGCTGCCGCCAATGGGAACAAGGATGCGACCGGCCGTATCGATAGTATCTCTCGCTCCAAAACCTTGTCCAGGAAGGATCACGAACAAGTGGCAATCGCTCGGATCAAGTCGCGCTATGGATCAGGTCAGCGAGGGGGTCAGCTGAAGCCGACTCCGGAAAAAATCGAAATGCCTGATCCGTCCAGGTTGACCCTCTCGGACAATCCAGCGGCCGCTGCTCCCTATCCCGACAGACCTTCATCCCGGGCCCGGCCTGTATATCCACCTGGGTATGGAATGCCTGACCCACGTCCTAGTTCTGCATTTGGGATCAACCCCAATATCCGCAACACGGCTCCTACCTACAACCGTGCGGCATCATACGGGCCGGGACCTATGGGCTACCGGACTCCAGGGCCCAGTACCCCATCCACTGCCAGCCCCACAAGCCCAGCCCCTACAACTCCCAAGCTTGATATCGGCTACTCGGCACCGCTCGATAACTCCAACGCGGACGCCCGGAGACGCCCTCAGCGGCTTGACAACATGCCCCCAGACCGTAGACCACCAAGAGGTCCTGCCTCGCCTCACACGCACCCGATAGGTTCACCTCGTCCAGCTGCTTCCTCTTCCACCACGTCATTCCCTCCACGTACGGAGTCTATGCCCATGCCAAATACTCCAACAATGTCCAAGCCTCCGCCGCATTCGTCCACGCCGAAATCCTCTTCAGCCGCATCCACCCCTAAGCCTGCTCCGCCGACATCGAGCGCTGCCGGCCAGAAACCTGTAGCCGCAGCACCCGTCAAACCGCAACCTGGTCTTCCGGGCAAGGGGCCCAAGACTTTTGAGGAAATGGGGGTTCCAGCTGTACAGAAAGACAGTGATTGCGTATGTATTTCTGCTGTTGCAGCCGCCAACCGAATACCATAGCAGCTAACATTGCCTAGATCGTCATGTGATACCCCTGCAATATCTGTCCCATGATACCTTCTCCGCTTGTGCTATCTTCAGAATGTCTTAGGAAGAGCCTGTGCCATGTTAATTCTTCCTTGCCTCAAAATATCCAAAAGGGTTCGACTAGCCTGGAGACGAATACCATGGAGAGGCAACTTACGAACCTAAGTTTTAGTTGGAGCTTTGTATGTTCTTGAAGAGTGATCATGTGCTAGCAACTCGCCACAATCTTTGGACCGCATAGTCTTTTCCCCTGTGGTATCAAGAATGCCATTGTAGAATGAATCAGCGATCTACAGCGCACCAAATAATTGTTCTTGAGAGGACCCTGACGGTTACGGCCTCTTTTTTTCTTTCGTGGCCATGCCACTACGGGTTACGGATTGTCTGGGCTTAAAGCGTGTTTCCCCTTTCACTTCCCTCTAGGGAAAAAGCGAGGCCATGCACCTTCTGTACTGAGTGTTCGTCCCTTTCCTCCCTGCAAACACGTGACAAATGTTGGAGTCACTCCCATTTTCTTGTGCCGCAGACAGGTGAAGAAGACTTTCTGTTCCTTCCGCGCCCTGTCCCTCGCAACTCCCAGCCTTTCTACAGTACATCGAAGCCCAACCGAAACTCCAGAGTGATGATGCAGAAGAAACTGAAAGGGCCCGAGGCTACTCGCGGCAAAGGTGAGTGAACCAGTTTCGTACGCAGATGCAGGGGTTGCTAAGTCCGTGCTTGGAAGGAGCTGCCGATGACAGCGCTAGAGTCATTCTTGATTACATTCGTGCGTACATATTCCAATTCCAATATCTTGTGGGGACATCAGCTCCTGACATAGGGTTTAGGTAGACAAAAGTACGTCCAATCTTCCTAGGCACATCTGCTCCTAGTCAGTCGAAAGCATGTCCGCTAAATCTTGCCATAAATCACGGATGTAGTCGCCCATACTCGGTACGAATTCAGATGGGAATACTATGCGCGAAGCGGCCCGACGTTCTCCGTGCTGAGACAATGTAGGCCATTGAGATATCGACCAATCTACACAAAGAGGTCACCAAGGGTAAGTCCTATGTCGAAGACTACTTGACGTACCTTGGACTTATTCCTCATGCAATGGCGTTCTCTTTGTGCAGCACAGGCTGCCAGAGCATTACGAGACCTATGGCATAACAAGCAGATCGAAGGCCGAACAGCGGGTAAGTGTACCGGATTCTGGATCTATAAGATTCTACAGCCACTGGGCTCATTATCTTGCCTGATCAATAGGGAAACAAGTAGTGTATCACGCTTTACAGGAAGCTTCCGATGAGGTCACATCGAAGATGATCGCAGCCCTAGATGAATCTGTTAAGCAAGCTCAGGAGAAGCTTTCCAGCCTTCAGGCCCAGGAGAAAAAGACACGGCTCGAGTTAGCAACTCTCAGTACAAAACCCTTATTTTCCGAGCTTCGCCACGACATTGATCAACTGGTTCATGAACGAGGAGTAGCCCAGGCACTTTTGCCTACGATGGCGCGGAAAGACTCGGCGCACGTGCCCATGGAGATTATGAGAGCAGGCGCTGAAGAAGAGTGGAAATGCTGGCAGAAGCACGCTAGCAGTCGCGCTCGCATCTGTGGTGATCTATGGCAAATGTGCTCCGAAGCATTACTAGGGGACACGGCTAGGGGGGAGCTTTGGGTAAGGAGGGCACCAGGAGGGGGGGCTGTGTCCTTGTCATTGGGAGTTTTCAGCGTCCTTGGTTCTAATCACCGATTGCCGCAGGAGTCTTTAGGGTTAGAAGGGCCTTTGTTGGGTTGACCAGATGGTCACTCCAGCTCGGGAGCAGATCCTTTAGAGAAACATGGTAACTAGTCATGCAATCCTCGAATTGAGTACCAACTCTTCTGACATCTAGCATTGCGGACGAAGGTGAACCCGACGGCTACGTTGAACTCGATACATTACCACCAAAGTATATCTACCGGCAGAGCGCGGAGGAAGAGAATGGTGTCGATGATCGGTCATCGATCCACGGTCTGGAAAAAGCGCGTGCGTGCACTTAACACTGGTGGGAGATGCAGTGAACAAATGCACTAGACCAGCACCCAGCCTCAATCACGACCTTGTAGCAATGATCAGACTCAGAGTCCTGGGGTGAGAGGATGTTATCCAGTCAGATAGACACCTTGAAGTCACCCGAGCATGTTGAATCCCTGATTCTGCGCTGTAAATATCAAGGACTGGTCAATGGAGGGGGTTAGAGGGGAACTTGCATACGAAGAGGAGTTGAACACCATGACGCCACCGTCTCCTTTCCAGAAGAGCTTCCTGTGATAATAAGGAATTGTCCATGGATTGTCCATGATAGTACTCCGCGAAAATCTGCAATTGAAACTGTGTAATCAGTTCAATACGGAGTAAATACCCTGTGATTATCCAAAGCAGCTACTATTAGTAAGTACAACAGGTACTTCTCCCACAGTAAGTTAACTACTAACTACGGAGTACTCCGTACTAACCTACTAACTTACTCCGTAAAATCAGCACCTTTTTACTGCTCACCGCCCGCAGATCCCTCTCTCTCCCCCTCCGCGCCCCCCCTCTCTCTCCCCCAATCATCCGGAAGACGGACTTCATCCAACCGCACACTGTCTCTGTCCGGCTCTCGTCTCCTCCTCTCTCTGGCTATTGCGCATACTCCCTGTCCCGATAAACTCATCCGGAGTTTCGGATATCCTTGCGTGTTGCTGCGCTGCCATCACCTTTCCTCATCTTGGCGATGCAGCTGTCGGCATCCCGCAGTCCTCCTCCGTCTACTCAACCTCAACCTCCCTCCTCTCCTCATCCCAACCCTACCACCACCACCACCACCTCTCTCTCTCCTTCTCCCACCGTCACCAGCGCTGCGGTTCCACGCCCATCGGTTCAAACCCCATATCGGTTTTCGAGTGACATGAAAGGTCGCGCGCCTCTTCCGGTCCCCTCCGGTCCTCAATCACTCCAGAACGGCCATTCCCGCAGTCCTTCCGGCTTCGACATGGCTGCCCGCAGTCCTCCCAATCAGAGCAGTAAGTTTTGCAGACTGTTTCTTTTCCATCCCTCCGCACCACGCTCGCTCATACGGCCCCGTCTCTCGCTGTCCACCTATAGAGCGTGGCTTCGAGCCTTTTCACTGAATACACTCATGGTCCTTCCTTCTTGATTGAATGGCTTTCTACATGCTCATGGACTATCAATGGCTAATATGTCCTCGAACGTTCCGCCTCAGATACCAAACATGTGCCTTGCAAATTTTTCCGCCAGGGCGCTTGCCAGGCCGGGCCTGCATGCCCCTTTCTTCATTCCACGGATGCCGCAATAGATTATGCGCCTTGTAAATACTTCACCAAGGTACTTAGATGGGCCATCTTTCCTGAGCTTTGCCCGAGCTTATGTTCTCCGAGACCCTCTTTTGGCTGATAGTGTGAGTTTTGGATCTAGGGTAATTGCAAGTTTGGAGCGAAGTGTGCGCTGGCGCATATTCTGCCCGACGGCCGACGTGTCAATCGCCCCAATCCAGGAATGGGACTGGGTGGCGGTCATCTGAATTTGGGCGGCCGTGTCAATCCTCAAGCCTACGTGAACCAGGACTCTGCTTTGACCAATTCAGTCTTGTCGCAGCAGCGGATGAACGGACATGATCCAAGATATGCCCCTCAGCTTCCGTCCCAGGACGAGTATACTGCCTTACAATCACCACCGCCGCCACCACCACAACAGCTGCCCTATGATGCAATTCCTACTATCGATACCGGGTTGACGTCCGACACGAATTCCAAATACGGGTCCCCGGTGGACGATGTACGATTTCCGATGTCACCAAGCCATCGCCATCTCACCGCCTTGGATGCTCCTCTTCCAGCGTCTTTCGACAGCCAGGGTATCTCACATGCTGCACGCTATGGTCCGGTAGCGGCCTCTATGCCGTCGAAGTTCGGTTTAGAATTGTCTCCTCCGGCGCAAAGAATTGGCGCCCCACCAGACGCCCTTCGAAACCTTCGAGACGCAGCTTACGGGCCCGATCTTAGGAAATCATCCTTCATTGGCTCATCGCCGCCTACCCTACCGGAGGACGGAATGGGGCCACGCTTCCTTCATTCGCAGCGCCCCATCAAGACACGAATGCTCTCTGCAAGTGTGCCACGGCCTACAGCTCTAGATGACTGGGACGACAGCAATTTTCCAATGGAAGAAGACTATTTGCCGATTAATTTGCACGACGATGTTCTTACTCCGCAAGAGCGACTCCGGCGCCTGTCGCGCACGGATCACGACCTGAGTTCCAGCCATCGTGAGCTCAGCGGATTAGGCATGACTGGCACCAGTTTCTCCAAAGTTGGCTCTCCCCTAGCCTCTAGCCCATCTCGCTTTGGGGCTTTGTTTGCCAAACAGCGGCAAAAGCGAGAGGAAGATGCACATGGTTCTTTGACACATATTGGCTCTCCGTTGAGGGAATCTTCGCTGAACCTAGGCACTAGCCCCGGTTTGGGACCTATTGGCAGCCGGCAAATTTCGGGAGACATCTCTCCGTTCGTCTCTAGTGCCCCTCGCCAACCATCGATGTCGATGATCTCCCAGCAGCTCAGTGGCATGTCTCTTCACCCCGGTCCTCCTCGCAATACGGCGTCTACAGGCCCTAGCAGCCGCCTGGACCGTACCATTTCGTCGCCGGTCAGTACCAGCAGAATTGACGAAGAGCAGAGCGATTTAGTCTTCTCGATGGAAGAAGAAGAGAACAACAAAAGAAGCAGCAGTTCATGGGATTCTCAGAAGGCGGACTCAAACAGCGACGTGCCCACCCCCACGAGCAATGCAGAGTTCCAGCCTTGACCCGTTGAACATGCCATCGCAACTCGATTAATTTCCGATACTTATAGCCTCATGCTACGTTAATCCCTTCTGATGGGAAAGAAGGAAATCTTTGGGACCCTAAAATTGACACGCCGTTACGCCAGAAGAAAACCATAGCATCTCAGGTGGGTACCTGTTCATGAATGAATATGTCCACTTACGTCGGCATTCAAGATTACACCAAAGTATTTGGAGGACGTCTTGCATAGAGCAGTTGATTGAATTCCGGAGTTATACTGCATCTGCGTCTCATGACGCTAGCATGTCTTGCATTATATGATTTCTTTTACAAGTAATGGTGAATCTGTAACGTGGCCGGGTCTTCCCTCGTTTGTTTTGAAAACCCTACTTGGTCCTACTCTTTTATCACTCGACATTTCTATCTTGAGCCTCTGGTCTCACTGACCTATTGATGATCTTTCTTTCCACAGGGTCCGAAGCAGGAGCAGAAACAACGGCCGGAGCAAAGCAGAAGCAAAGTATCACTGTTATCTTCATCTTGTGTACATTCAACTGGCATTGTCCTGTTCTTTTAATCTCTGTGCCTATCTCTTACGTCTCGTCTATCTCTCTGCGACAAACGTGCCTACGGCATGGTCAAGAGAAAGAACATGACCTGAAGATTTTTTGTCAATTCTTTTCTGTCTTTGTTCTTTTCTCATACATTTTTTCCAACGCTAATGCTGAGATGACCACTATGTAAATATGAGTATGGTGGGGGTTTTGATAAATGTACGGAATTTACCTGTCCTTCCGGGTACCTTACAAGTGCAATCAATTTTGCTAAGGTGACTTGAGATTTATCGATTTGGAGGGAAAGGAATATATGCATACTCCTTTGGTTAACCGATACAATAAGTCCAACAGACAGGGCAAAGACTTTCTGGTTTCTGTTGTGATGATGCCTAAAACTGCGACAGTGTATATGAGCTAATCACCAATCTCGAAGCTCAATGCAGCCACTTCTCATTCAGCCACGGTTCACTCGACAGAACCAGTCTGAGGTGTTTCATTTATCACCAAGGACATTCGCCGACCCACAGAGATTATATTCGCCGTACACCAGCATAAATATATCGTTCCCTTAGTTTCTCGGGTCACCATCAGACATATACATGGCATTACCTTTTGAGACTGATAGAAGAAGCAGGGTCCTGTAAGTGAGCCTGGATGTGCGTCGTCTTTTCTCGTGAGATATGATCGGCCGGTTTCCGCTGCTCATGTGCCCTGGTATCCGCCTGCCTGTCACTTTCTGCTCCGTCTTGATATAAAATGTCGTAAAGCTTGTCTGTGCCTGCCATGATTTGACTTGCCATGGTATCCAGAGCCTTGACTGTGAGCATCTCTACTCGACTCGCAAGAGCAACTTTCTCATCCGCTCTCTGGCGCTTGGCGGCCAGTTCCCGTTCCCTTTGGTCTTGAGTTCCCTTGCGTTTCTTGGTATCAACTAGTCTGCGCCGTTCTTCCTTTGCAGCCAAATATTTGAGGGAGTGTCCTAGTCTCTGTTGGTACGATGGGATGATGTCTAGCGGTGGGATTGAGAAGAACAAGACATGGCCTTGGTCATCACAGTGAAATTGTTCACGGACATTTGCCGGAATGGCAGCGTTTGCAGTATCACTTAGGTGAAATACTTCGATGGGTCGAGGGGTATTAGGATTTAAGGATGTTGCCGTCGACCCATGCAGACGGTTTCCTTGATAGGGCATGTAAGATGTTGTTGTGTGGGTGGCTTGAAAGGGATTGGACACAATCGGCGCTTGATAAGCACTAGAGTGCGGTGTCTGCGGCACGAGTCCGCTAGAACGTCTCGGTAAACCATTCTGGTAGGATTGAGTCGGAGGGACTTGAGGCTGAGGGAATGCCATCGGCGGCCCCGGGGCTGGCGAGTCCCGGGTCGGAGGCAAGGGTGTGGCTGGAGAGCGGGCGGTAGCAGGCAACGCGCCCGCCGCGGCACCGGTACCTTGACTCTCTACACTAGACCGCGGAGGAATCTGATTAATCGATGATTGCCGAAGAGGAGCTGGAGGCAGAGTGGGTTGTGGCAGAGATGGGGGTGGGGAAGGGGTGGGCTCTGGAGGTGGTGATTCCTAGAATCAAGGTGGAAAGGTCAGTCTTATAAGCACAAGGCTAAGTTGAAAACTTGGCTCACATTCTCATCACGCGGGCGGCGATGAACCGCGCCAACAACAGGCGGTGCGTTCTCTGCCCCCCAGGTCGGCTTTGGGAGGTCATCAGTTTCCTTTGCATCGCTCTTCAGTAGATGTTTGATCGGGCTTGGAACCTTCTTGATTCGCCGGGGAACGTCGAACAAATCCATCTCATAGTCCTTTTCTCTGACTTCATCGGGCAGACAACTAGCCCAGGTTTTGATCTTGTTCAATTTATGCTTCTCTTCATTGTAGCGGGCTTCGCAAACGTAGACATCTTTGTTGGGAGGCAGGCCCCGGGGCCGTCCTCGATTGTAACGCGTGAAGAACATGACGAAACATCTGTCAACAATCTCTTCAACTCGATGATCTCGGTACTGTCCTGTCTTTACCACTTCGTTGGGGTAGAAATGCTTCTCCACATGGTGGACTGTTTGTTCAGGGCGATAGTACCAGCAGGCATTAATCCATTTCTCTCCCTCCGAGTCTTGCCATGTACGATATATCTGCGCAACGATAGGCTTCGTCACGTCATTGAGATTCTGGATATGGACCCAATCACCGACCCTCCATAACTCGGATTTGTGAAGAATGCCGTCAGGTAAAGGCAAGCGACCATCCTCCATCAGGTATTCACTGTCTGGCTTCTTCTTCTCAAGATCAGCAAGTTTTCGCGCTTCCAGTTGCAAATCAACCGCATCTTTATAAATTTGGCTGTCAGACTGGTTATAGGCCTTTGCGTTGTTGAACATGAGCTCCATGTCTCTCATGAAATGGTCTACCGAGTTGTATTTCTTTCTCTTTGATTTGCGCTTGACGATGTCGATGGCAATGGGTTCTTTAGTCTCGATATAGTAATCCGGATACATTGCCTTGTCGGGCAGGCGTTCGAAATGGCGCACTTTGAGCTGATTCCCAGGCCCTTTCAGCTTGCGGATCCCCTTAAGAACTGCTTTGATCCTTGCCTCCATGGGGGTATCAACACGCGGTGGTCTGCCTCTCTTCTTTCTCACTTCCGGATCATTGAACTTCTGGCCGTCGTCTTTAACCCCGTCACGTTTGGTGCTTGCGCGAGGACCCTTTTTCTTTTTGCGTCGACTTTCTTCGTCGGAATCTTCTTCCTCATCGTCATCGTCATCGTCGTCATCTTCTTCTTCATCCTCGTCAGGAAGTGGATCGGCTTCCGGGATCTCCCCAAGGTCCGGTAGTTCGGCTTCTTCTGCGGTAATGATACCTTGTTTGACCAGTTTCTCAAATTCTGCAACGAAGACGTCCTTAATGACTAGTGCATCTTCATAAGCTTGAGATTTGGGACGATTGTATGTCTGTGCATTATGGGGAATCTAGTGCGATAGTCATGTCAGTTTTCGACAACCGGCGACCTCCTATAAAACAAAGTGAGGCATGCATGGGGCATAAGAATGACATAATACATACTAATGCGCAATCGCGTACAAATTCGGAGAATCCTTTGTATTCACGTTTGTTGATCTTTTGTTTCAAGATGCTGAGGGCCATCGGTTCCTTGATAATGTCATAATAGTCGGGAACGAGGCGCTTATTTACACTGCGCTGAAACAACTTAGACGGATCATGGCCACTATATTTGTTTCGAAGTGGTCGGTTGATTAGCTGAAAGAATGGACAACAATATTATGCGGTGCAAAGCGCATCAGTGGTGGAGAAAGCTGCAATGAGAAGCGTTGGACTCACTCCTCTTCTCTGAACTCATAGATCGCCATGACAACGTCCATCATGGATCTGAATTGTTCGTCTGACACAGTGCTGGTTGCGACCGAACCATCGTGTTTGGCTTCATCCTCAATTGACTTCACAGGCTCCTCAGCAGCAGGTTGCGCTTGCGACGGCTCGGAGTTGTTTGTCTCCATCATTCGATGATAGCCGCAACCACGGGGCGAGGGAGCGCAGATCAGGACCAAGCAGATATTTCCAAACTACCACCAACGTGAGCCTAATACTTGGGGTAGTTACGGCAAATGACGGCAATACGGAGGGGACGCGACATAGACCAAGGAGAGTGAACGTAAAGAAGCGAGAAGGACGAGACTCAAGTCAGCGAGTATGCTGAGTCAGCTGCTGTGTATCAGTACACATCATTACGTACAGTCGTAACAATTACTGTGTACCGTACTCCGTACGTATCCGGTAGTGAGATATCTTCTTGAGTACGATAATGATCAAATTCCATAGCTTGCTTCCTCAACCTTCAGCATTATTCCGAGTGATTGGAACCAGATGTTCGTCTCAACATCTATACCTTGCGGATTGTTCAGTTCAAGAAAGACAATCATACAGCTCAAGTCTTGGCAGTCTCAAATCATCTCCCCAGGAGCCTCTGCGTGCCTATAGGGCCCTATGGGTATCAGGCTTCATCCCTCCTAAGACTTCCCAGAGAAGGATGAAGGATCAACAAGCATGCGCGCAGCAAAGCTTTGTGCTAAAATTCATTTGGATTACTCTTCCTGGCACATCTTGAAGGACTCTTAGCCCTGTGTCAGGTTGAATAACTACTGTACTCAGTAACTACCTAGTTAGCTTGCCGCGAGCGACATCTGGCGCGCTCGCCAGCTATGCGCCCCCCGCCCCCCTCCCAAACACCCCACAGCACCTTCCAGCCGATCAGCGATACCTACGGAGTACGTACTCACATAACAACTATCTGAGCTTCCATCCTTAAAATTTATGGCAATCGTCGTCCAACTCGATCTAGTCCTACAGGCTGACTTACCAAGCTATCAGTCAAACGTCACATCACTCACATTCACGCAGAAAGACAGACAACGCAGTTTATGAGGTCAGTCCCTTGTCCGTCCGTCTTCAGTTGGAACCACAATGAGAATCCGAGTCCGCGGCCCGGCTGGACAGTCAACTATCTCGTTAGACAACGATGCAACTGTCGACGTACTCCGCAGACAGATCACAAATTCAACGGGACTGTCACACTATGAGGTGAAATACGGTTATCCACAAATCAGGCCTCTCAATCTTGAGAGCTTTCCAGCAAGCAAGAGGCTTTCCGACCTGGGATTGACTCTAAATGGCGAACAACTAATTATTACAAGAAAAGATGGCGGCATTCTCCCAGAGACTAGTCAAGAGCAACGCGAGAGCACTACAAGGCAAGAGATATTGAGAGATCCGTTTGTCGAAAAGGTTTCGAATCAGGGTCCCGATGACCCGCCGGAAATCCCGTCACCAGAACATCATGGCACCTTTGTGCTCCGGATCATGCCTGATGATAACTCATGCCTATTTCGTGCCATCAGTAGCGCAACCATGGGAGGGGTAGATGTGATGACCGAATTACGATCTGTTGTCGCCCAAACGATACAGGCGAATCCAGGTTTATATACCGAGGCGGTGCTGGAAAAAAAGCCGGACGATTATTGCCAATGGATTCAGAATGAGGACGCTTGGGGCGGTGGGATTGAACTCAGTATCTTGAGTAAACATTTTGATATTGAAATCTGCTCAATCGATGTGCAAAGCCTGCGGGTTGATCGGTTCAACGAGGGATCCCCAATGCGGTGCATTGTAGTCTATTCGGGAATCCACTACGACACGATTGCTCTCTCGCCCTCAAATCCGCCCTACACTCATACAGATGTCCCCGCGGAGTTCGATACCAAAATGTTTGACGCCAATGATCCTTTCGTCCTCGAAAAGTCACTGGCACTGTGTAAGGTTCTGCAAGAGCGGCATTATTACACGGACACTGCCGGATTCCGTCTCCGCTGCAATACATGCGGTAGGACCTTTGTCGGCGAAAAAGGCGCTACGCAGCATGCAGAACAGACGGGACACGTCGACTTTGGAGAAGCCAATTGAGAGCCAGAAAACTTGAGGGAGGTATGGATTTCTTTATGCCCGCCATGCTCAAATTCAAGGGATTCCCTGGCCACCCACTGTGGACAAATAGATACTCTAGGGTTGCTTTCATTGCAAGTGTTAGACCTTGCAATCTTGGTCAGCTTAGTCTGTACTTGCCGAGCTAGTTGTTTCATTTGTGCATTCTCACTGGCAGCCCTTTTTCAAGCTGCTCATTCTCCTCTTTCTATCGATCAACGCAGGTGTGACGGCCCCGAGGTCAATATGTCTGAAAGTCTACAGGTGGCCCAGTAGCTAGTAGTCTACTCATGGTGAAGCACCGGTGGGCTTTTGAATACTCTTTGCTATGCCATTGCCATACATAATTCTTCCAGGATATATTATATCATTGCTACCTCGTCTGCTGCATCATCTGCTTCATCATCGTCTTTATCACCCTCCTCGCCGGTATCTCCGCTGTCATCCGGATTCCCGCCCCATTCCACGTCGTGATCTATGGGGTCAGCAAAAAATTCGTGTTGCAAGGCTTCTTTAGCGCTGAGGCGCTTGTAAGGGTCTAATTCCATGAGCCCAGCCAATAGACGAGTGGCTTGTTTTTCACTCTCGGTCAGCTCCTCCACGCAACTCGCCCATTTCACAAGCTTCTCCCAGCTGTAACCCTTTTCTCCAATAGTTGGAATGTTGGTTTCAAATATTTGCCCATGCATTGCTGCCGCATGCTTCATGCGACGTGTGCCGAATATGCTGGCCATTTCGATCATAGCGTCGACATCATCAGCCGAGTTGAAGAATGGAAATCGACGACCGAGTAACGTCAGAAGAATGACACCGGCCGACCACATATCAATTTTAGTTGTTTGTGAAGTGCATTTGAATAGGACTTCAGGCGCACGGAACCCCCTGGTTCCTGCTCGATTGGCGCGCCTTGAAGGACGGGAGTCATTTTTTGGATATCCTAGAGATGCAGTATGCTGAGACGAGACACAATGGGTATAGTAATAGCTTTGAAAAAATCTATTGCGACGTATTTGGCCCGAATTTGCACACAAGCAGGTACCGGTATACTCCGAGCCCTCGCGCTGTGATGGTAGATCAGCACTTGAACCCCGTGCCAATGATAATGAGAGTGCGCCTGTACTTACTTCGGCAAGACCGAAGTCCACCAATACGCCCTCTCGGAGTTCAGGGTTGTAGAGAAAATTACTGCAAAAGCCAGCGAAGTGATCAGTACCTTCATCAGAGCAGCCAAAGGACGTGGCCATTGGGGGTAAGTATCGGAACATGGGTCCTTACGTCGGCTTGATATCGCGGTGGAGAATATTATGCTTGTGAACCGAGTGTAAAGCAGTAAACAAGGATCGAAAGTAATGTCGCATGTCCGCAACCATGAATGTACGATATTGAATACGAAAATCGGTGTGCGGAAAGAAGGGCAAGACTGCTACGACCTGGTCCTGATAGCGAAAAGCAGTAATTAAGGGACATACCGATCGACAGCCTCGAAGATCGTGGAGCAGCTCGAGTTCATTCTGTATGCGAAGAGGACTGCTCGTAACATAGATCTTCTTCAAAGCAACGTATCGCGGTCTTCGTCGCTTCGCAGAATATGTCGGACTTTTTTCTCCGTCGACCGAACGTCGCTTAGATGGAGGGTTCACCCAGTTGCCGTCTTTACTGTCCTGAAACGTGTCCCAGTCATTTTGATAGTGATCATACAGGAGATCCTCTGCTTTGTAGACCGTCGAAAAAGTCCCTAGGTCGATTTGCAGACCGGGTTAGAAGGATTCTCAAGTGTAACCGCACACAGTAGGATAACGACAACCAGTTCACACCATACCTTCACCTATGCGGTTGACCAATCGAAAGCGATCAGATATCCCTGGGAATGTTTCTTCTAGTCTCTTCATGTCCTCTTTCACGGAATCGTCAACATCCTCCTCATCATGAGGGTCAAACTGCTCGAGAGCATTCCCGTCTGCCATGTTCTCCAGTGAAGATTCGCTAGTTGCCATGGTGCCATTTTGGGTCTCGCACTCTGACCCTGAGCGAGACAATTCTGGCTGCTGTACACCGGAGACCTCGGCGGGCGGAGCGTGAAAGGCGGACATGACACCAAAGCGCGCGACAACGGGTTGGCGCAACTGCGAAGTCCAGGTCGAAGTTATCCTGGCATGCAGGCGTCCAAGCTCTGAGAGAACGACAATGGCAAGGGTACCAAGAATCGACGTCGCGTTCGGCGATTGGTCTATCTCCAGCAGTATTGGCTACATTCACCAAGCTGGGGAGGATTCGGAGTTGCTCGAGGCTGCAGGGCCGCGGTACAAGAATACCCGCTCCGGTAACACTCTTGTTTATTGTTTACGGAGTACGGAGTACGGAGATATACCCAGTGCCAGTAATGTTTAGTCGTACCGAAAGAACCACCGCCTACCCAACCAAGACTAGTCACGCGGATACGTACCGGTAGTTACGTGCTGTGTTGATAGTGACCCGGGCGGTACCCTTATCAATACCTCAAAGCGGAAAATCGCAAACAAACTACGGAGTACTATCGCCTGTTTTCTTCTGCTCGCTCCCCTCCCCTCTGACCTCAGCTCTCTCCTCCCATTTCCCCATAATAACGCCGCCCACCTTAGCAACATCTTCTTCATAATTTTGTCCTCCTGCTGCCCGCACAAGTCGCGTGTCCTGCGAGGACTTTCCTCGCACGTCACTCAAAATGGAAGATCGCGTTCAGTTTGACATCAATGAATCGCTCAAATTCTACTTGAGCGATCCGGCCTCCGTGCCTACGCCCGATGCCGACCCCGAGCTGCTCGACTGCGAAATCGATCCAGACCAATTGACACAAGTCAATATTGATAACGTTCTTAATCCGATCGTGGATGCTGTCGCCGAGAACCCGGAAGGGCTTACCCGGGGGTCATTTTATGATTCACTGCAATTTCTGTTGAAGTACGTCCTGGGCTCCCTACCCAAAAGCTCTTGATCTTCCGGTGTCTATTTCTGAACTCTTGAAACGCCAACAGATTTTCTGCCTTCTCCCCCACCCGAAATCTGAGTAAACTCCTAGATCTTGTCGTATCCGGTCTATCAATTGAAGCAGATATAATCCATGGCGATCTCGAATCCGATGAGCAGGACACAATTCAGCAGCACAAAAGTTTGCTGGAGATGTATGGGTTTCTATTGCAATGGGCTCTCTCGGCCGTCGAGCTGAAAGCTGCCGAAAAGCCAACGGAGGCTGCTCCCGCTAGGCGAGGCGCAGGCAAACTTACTAAGTCCAAAACTAGTACCAAGGATGGGAACTGGGACTGGACAACGCAAATCCAGGCCGCAATGGAGACTATGTGTAAAGTGATGAAACTCAAGCTCGGCAGGATTTTCCTGACGACCTCGGACCGGGATACGTTCATAAATTTGTTTACTCGCTCTATCTATCTGATTCTCGAGAGTGAGCAACGCGTCAAGAGCATGAATATTCGGATGCATGCCTTTAAGGTCCTCTGTATTGCTGTGAAACACCATGGACATGCATTTGGTAAGTTTCTCATCCCAAAAGTCAAAGCCGTTGCTGATGGGAATATCCAGGGGCGCAGACATCTATCGTACAAAGCCTGACATATTTTGAACACTTATCCGAGCCTATGGCAGAATTTTTGCACATTCTTGCCGAGCAATACGACTACCCCCAGCTCTCGGATGAAATTTTGAAGTACATAAATGCTATCATTATCCGTCTTTGACATTGGCTGACTGAAGCTAGGGAGCTTGGGAACAAGGAATTCAACTCCAACGATACTCGCGGACCCAAGTCGGTGTCCTCTTTTATCATCAAGCTCTCAGAGCTGGCACCTCGCTTGATCATCAAGCAAATGACTCTTTTAGCTAAACAGCTAGACAGCGAGGTTTGACCCCTACCATGAACTCACAGCCGACTTTACACTGATACGGTTCTGTTCGCAGTCCTACACCCTCAGATGCGCAGTGATTGAAGTTTGCGGTAATCTTATATCCGAACTCAGCCGTCAAGAGGAGAGGGGCGACAATTACAAAACGCAGATAAATGCTTTCTTCGACGTTCTAGAGGAGCGCTTTCTCGACATTAATCCTTACTGCCGGTGTCGTGCTATTCAGGTGTATATGAGGATCTGCGATCTGGAACAGAAATTTCCAAAGCGGCGGCAAGCCGTAGCAGAGCTGGCTGCGAGAAGCCTAGAAGACAAAAGCAGCAATGTAAGACGGAACGCCATCAAACTGCTTGCAAAGCTGGTATCAACGCATCCATTCAGTGTTATGCATGGTGGGCAGCTTTCACTTACGGAGTGGACAGCTCGACTCGATGGGGTGGACACTGAGCTGAACGCGTTAAGGCCCCCCGAAACACAAGGCTTCGAAGGTGGTGATGCATCCCATGTCGACAGTGCGTTGTTGGATGACGCAACCCAGTTACCTGAAGATTCCCCATCTAAAGCTACGCGTTTGACCGAGGAAGAAAGGGCAGCAGCAATCAAACATGCTGCGGAGCAAGCTGCGACGTCGGAATTACTCACACGCCTCCAACTTACAAGAAAATACTACAACGAGGCTGTCCGCTTCATTCAAGTCCTTCATTCGGCCTCCCCCTTAGTTGCTCAGCTCCTGTCGTCGAGGAACAAGAGTGAGGCCATTGAAGCTATGGACTTCTTCGTTGTTCTTGATGCGTATAGGATTGAGACTTCCCGTAGTGGGATCCGCCGAATGTTGCGACTTATTTGGACCAAAGGCAACAGCGACGAAGGCAAGGGAGTTCAAACACATCTGATAGACTGCTACAGGGGACTTTTCTTTGAAGCGCCGGACTCATTCAGCCCTAATGATGCCGCGAACTACATTGCACGCAATATGATCAGTTTGACCTTCGGCTCGACGCCTGCTGAGCTCACTTGCTTAGAACAACTATTGAGCACGATGATGAAGGCGGGCCACATACCGGATACCGTCATCTCAAAGCTCTGGCAAGTCTACGGCGTGCAAAAGAAGGATATATCGAAGACCCAACGTCGAGGTGCCATCATTGTTTTGGGTATGCTGGCCTTGGCGAAACCCGAAATTGTTATCAAGGAGCTTGAGACCATGCTACGAATAGGCCTTGGAAGCCTTGGAAAATCCGACCTTGTGCTTGCGAAATATACATGCATTGCTGTGCGGCGGATGGTGCCCGGTCGTCAGGCAAAATCCAAAGATATCGGCATACCGAAGTTGACCAACGATCATCCCGTCCTTACGAACCTTGCTGCTATTATAGAAATTGTGTCCATGAGCAAAGAGTGGTACGGAGTGGCAGAGCAGGCTATTAGCGCCATCTATACATTATCGAAACATCCAGATGTGCTATGTTCAGATATTTTGAAACGGAAAACTAGATTTGTCTTCCAGGCTCATGCTCATAGGTCTTACTCCAAATCACCCCCTGAGCCACAAGAACAACAGCCTGATACCGCTTCGACTGAGAGCCAAGCAGCCGGACGAAAGACATCTTCCGCCGGTTTGTCACAGTTGCTATTTGTCGTTGGCCATATTGCAATCAAGCAGATCGTTCATCTAGAGTTGTGTGAGCTTGACTTCAAACGCCGTAAGGCAGAGCAAGAAAAGAACAAACCTGCACACCCCTCTATCCAAGAAGATTCCAAAGAAGAGGATAATGAATTAGATCTTATTGGTGGGACGACTGAAGACGACTTTACAGACGCTATGGCTCATATTCGCGAGAGGGAATTGCTCTACGGGGACAATTCGCTGCTTTCGAATTTCGGCCCTTTGGTTACAGAGATCTGCGCCAACAGCAACATTTATTCTGATCGAGATCTTCAAGCAGCAGCGACTCTCTGCATGGCTAAACTTATGTGTGTTTCCGCGGAGTATTGCGAGAAAAATCTCCCCCTTTTGATCACAATCATGGAGCGGTCCGACGATCCTATAGTTCGCAGTAACGTCGTCATCGCTCTTGGAGACATGGCAGTCTGTTTCAATCACCTAATTGATGAGAATACTGATTTCCTCTACCGACGATTGAATGACGACGATGCCTCCGTGAAGCGCACATGCCTCATGACCCTCACTTTTCTGATACTGGCGGGCCAGGTCAAAGTCAAGGGCCAATTAGGCGAAATGGCCAAGTGTCTTGAGGATGAGGACAAAAGAATTGCCGATCTAGCGCGTATGTTCTTTACGGAACTGGCCACTAAGGATAATGCTGTTTATAACCACTTCGTGGATATGTTTAGCCTGCTAAGCGCAGAACGTAGCCTCGAGGAAGCTTCATTGAAACGCATTGTCAAGTTCCTAGTCGGATTCATAGAAAAGGTAAGTCTTTCAGCACTATTTTCACGTGTCACCCTTGGTCGCGGAGGAATACTAACTATGCCTCGCAAAATCAGGAGAAACATGCGCGACAACTTGCTGAGAAACTAGCTGCGAGACTGCCGAGATGCGAGACTGAACGCCAGTGGAGTGATGTTGCTTATGCTTTGTCTCTGCTTTCCCATAAGAATGAAGAAATTACCAAGACAGTGGCTGCAGGCTTCAACAAGGTTGTTACTGCAAATGCCTGAGCTGATTGAGCTATTTCTCGCAGTAATGCCCCTTCATTACTCTACCGAATTGCTTTTCTTTGTGAACCTTATTGTTCTCACAAATGTGTACTCTGGTTTGGATGGAGATGTGAGAGATGAAAATCCCCGATATTTGGCCTGGTACTTCGATAAGGCGTTTCCAGGGCAATGTTTTCTTTTTCCTTTTTCTTTTTGGCTTCTCGAGGGTTTTTGGTTTGTTGCTGTCCCGTGTCGAATGTCAATTTTTACCGCAATATACCTAGTCTCCTGCATAGCTAATTAAACACGTTCAATGATCAATCAAAATAGCGTGGTCTGCGAATACTTTGTCTGGCTCAATGGAGGAAACACAGAGCCCGGTTCCGGTTCGAGCATAGTAGCTTCACCAACTACTACGATGAAATTAGAAATGTCTATCTAGCTAAACTAATCCTTGTACTATATATAATACTCACAGACTTCACAATTGCGCAGATAAAGAACAGATTAACGGGCACCCCGTATCGCGTATTCGATGTCCAAGTAGAATAGAGTCTTGATGTTCAGAGGAGATGGCCAACGCATCCACAGTATCCAGCTGTCGGGATGATGATGTCATTAGACAGTTGACCGTTCTTTTTGAGAATCATGCGCCTTTTGTTTCACCCTCTTGCAATTTATAGTCACGATGATGTAAACCTTCGAGTACCCTGATTCCTTCTTCGGTCAATTCAGGCTTACCCAAAGGCGTAACAGCTCCAGTAAAGAACCGAGGTTGCCATGTTTCGTTCATCTTCTGACGCTCAGCGGCCTTCTGTCGTTGGCGTTCTTCTATATCCTGCTTGAGTTTGGTTGCCTGGCTATATCTTTTGTCCAAAATAGCTTCAGTGACAGCCGACCAAAACTTTCGAGATTCATTGGAGAGCTGCTCCTCCTCCGGAGGCAAAGTCTTTGCAACCGGAAATAGAGGAGTGATATCGATCAGAAGATTCATCTCATTGGAGCCAGCCAAGGTGTAGAAAATCTGCCCATGCCACGAGCCGCCGATTTTGGCAAGAACATCCCCATGAGGTACATCTTTGATCCTTGTGACAGTGTCGTTGTCAGGATCGTAGCGGAAAATCACGCCCTCAACTTTGTTTTGAGCGCGTCCAATCCAACCCTCTTCCAAATATTGCAGAATGACCTTGATACGTGTTTGAGCGCACATGATGTGGCATGTATCTGAAACCGTAACGGCGAGCGCTCCTCTTAACAAGCCACCCAAATGAGCTGCCGGATGAGTCAAGTGATACTCCTCATTATCCCTGCTCTGAACATTGATGAATATTCCCAGGTTATGTTGTCCTGGAGTGACTCTAATGCTGGTACCTGTAAATTTGGCACTGATTTGATCAAAGCCACGAGCCGTAACTCCTCGCACTGGACAATCGATGTAGAACGCTGATACTGGAGGATGGTGCGAGGTCTGTTCTGTCAGGTAGCATACTGTGATGGGCTTGCCAGTGCTGTGATTTGAGCTGGGAGCCGTGTCTATCGGGATCGATGTGAAACCAGGCGATACTTCAGGAAGTGTGTTTTGCACGTCCCAGGTGCACTAAGATATGTACCCCAGGTCAATATATGTAATTAGACACTTGTGTCACGTTCGGTCTGACGCACCCTAAAGAACTCTCCGAGTGTGGAATTATAGGGCTTGCATGGCTTGCCCTTGATATATTTCTATAATGTGAATCAATAAAACTGCCGACTAAGCTGGCCAACAATTTGGAATGACACATACCAGGTCCTTAGTGAACCAGAATCTCAGAACCTCGAGCATTCGTCCCAGAGGATCTTCTGACTGCCCGATACTATTATATCCTGTCAGAAACAAGCTCTATTGATGGGCAGGCTAATTTGCTGACCTTGCAAAGGCCTCCGGTCTATCCAAGTAGTTCCAGTACTCTGGTCATTCACAAAAGAAGTCAGCGAGATGCTCAGTATGGAGAGAGAGTTCAGCCATGCGGAGAAACGACGACTTACCCAAATTGGGAGTCGGCTCCAGAAGATGTGCGGGCAACGAGAAGCGAACGGAGGCAATGTCAGCCACTCCGACAAACCTAGAAGTGCAAACCCAATTGTCAGCGCGTACAACCCGAAAGACGAAGTTGGGCTCAAATACTTGCGAAGAATGGATAAAAACGTCTTCAACTTGGACGAATCATCTGGCGTCTTCTCGGACGATGTAGAAGAGGCTATAGAGGACATGCTGAAGGTGACGTCTCGTAGGATTGCGAGGTAGAAGATGAGATGAGGAAAGCGATGTCCTGAGTGTGGTTCGTGTGGCAAGGACAAAACGAACAGGGATAGACTATATTTGGATATAGCAAGAAAAGGAAGAGATATTGAAGGCTTATTTGTCCTAGTCAACTCACGTCCGAAGGTCTTTGGGTCAGTAGGCGACAAGAAATCAAGATAGCTGAAGAGTGAAAGGAAGAAGTCAGCCGAGCCAGAGCAAGTGCTACTTCTAGAGCAGACGAGTACACATAGACCAGCCAGGAGCACACGAGATTTAGAGCAAGCACGAACGAACAACAATAACCCCCTTTGCACCAAGGTTTTCTTATCACCGACGGCGGGCGCGCACTGGACTCCAGGCGGTGACATTCATATACTGGTAGAGCGGGGGCCAATCTCCGGCGGTCAGTCTGTACGTCACCAGTGATATTATATAATCAAGAAAATGCCAAAAACAATCGACAAGTAAATAAATGGAATAGATGAAAATAGATTGAATTCGAAGAAGCTAAATCAAATGTATAGACAAGGGAACTCTGCTCGTCTAAAGGATGCAAGACATTTCACAGTGGAGATAATTGGTGCAATTTATGAATTGATCCCAAGATCACAACAACTTTTCAATGACTTGCTTGTGGGCTAAGAGTCGGAGCCATGTGCGAATAGCAGGACTGTAATCGTACCTCCGACCCTCTGCGTAATTCTCGTCAGCCTGCCGAGATTGCTGTTCTTCACGGATAGACACTCGTAATTGACGCTGATCATGGGTAAGCTTGTTCCATAGAGATTCTAAGTCCAACATTGTACAAGTTCGATACTCCTGCTCTCGACTTGCAGGGATGGCCGCTCGATCGATCATGTCTCTGCACAGTGTGTAGGACTCATCAGCCTCCAAGAGCGTTTTTCCGAGATGATTGACAGCATCGAAGGCTAGTGCACCGCCCGTGGATGTCAAACGCTGGTTTATCACTTCGAGAGACTTAACATTAATCGCCAGCTCAGTGAGCAGGCCAGGGAGCGGGTCTTGGCTAAGACTCAGAATCGAAAACTCGATCTGACCTTCTTCGTACTCTCTCATCTTTGTAAGAATATTAGGCTTAGCTAGGGCCAACCAGTCATCGTCAGGTTGACAAGTTCCTACAGGTGCATACGGTCAGCATTGTAGCGTGTTGTGGACACCAGGCTATCGTACCAAGCACTTGGGGCTGACGTTCCAGCCCGTCGAATTTCCAGACTCTACCTAATGCAGCAACATAGGCAATAAAATGGTAGATCGTGTCAAGATCTTTTTGGTCGACTTGGTTGCGAGATCGCTTTGATGTTGTCTCAGTCTTGAGCTGGTGATCAGCGTTGAGTATATCCATTTTCCTGTTGCTGGTTTAGAATGACCGTTTGAAACTATACATGGGGCTTAATTTATGAATACCTTGCAAATGAATTGTGTATCCTCTTGATAAATTCATAGTTACTGATTGCAACGCCCCGGAGCGCCGGTGTGAAGGGCATAGTAAATTCTTTGAAGGATTGCAGATTATCTCCAAGGTCAATGTCTTCAACATTATTGATGATGTTCAGAAGAGCAACAGTGGCACAGGCATTCGTCGCTGTCTATTTTCATGATCAGTCCTGATAAATCTGGCTATTGACACGGGACAAGTTAGAGCAACAGGCAGACCTGATTTGCGAACCACAACCCCTCTGGGCAACTTGCTTCTTGTTTTTCTGGGTCATCCTCCCGCCAGCGGGACAAGAATATCAATCCGTACACCGGCTTGCTATCAATTTCATGAGTTGTTCGTGAAATAAGCAGTACATTAGTGGCAGGACTCTCACTTCAACGTCGCCATCATGTCCTCATCCAAAGATATAACCTCCTCAACCTTGACCCCCTTGACGCCAAAATCCCGAAGCATGACATTGAAGAGCGCCTGAAAACGGTCGATTAGCCTGTGCCGTTGAGGACGTTGTCCGGATACGTACAGGCTCAGATTCTAGTTCGCAGAATCCCTTCCAATCATTCACCTCAACCATGCTAATCTGCCTGGAAATGGTCTTTAGTAGCTGTTGGAGATTTTACGAAGAAAGTTGACCTGCTTGAAAGGTAACTCGGAAAAAAAGGCTGCGAGTCGGGATGATCAAAGAGGAAGTCTTCTTGTCCCAGAGCATTCAAGATTGTGAGTGGTTCTGTAGCTGAGCTCTGAATATACTGAGTAAATCTTGTATGTACTAACTGACTGTACTTACGTTTTCGCTAAGTGAATAAGAATGATTGTGTCAGTCAAGCTAACACCAGGCACACGGAGCACAGCAATGGTTGCAGCCTCAAGCTTCCAGACAATTATAGTTTGTAACTACATTTCACTGGGTAAAGTTTATCGGTGCTTTAACTACTGTTTAGGTCGTAGTGTTTTGTAGTATTCCTATCATTGCTGCGATAAAAAGAAGTACTGTACATACATACATGGTCATGCACTTGTTCTCTCAGCAGTACAGAGCTGTATCTGGATGATCACCATACGTTCTGTCTACAGAGAACGGAGTACTGTGTAACCATTGTGTACTGTACGCAAATGATGTTAGGTACAATACTGTAACTATACAATTATAATACATGTTTCATTGGCACGGAAGCCAATTACATACTATACTTGGTCTGCTGTTTTGACCGCCCAACCCATTGTTGCTTAGGTCCTGCAACAGTGCAGAAGCATTCCATCAAACTGAAGCTCATATCTCGCCCTCTCCCAGGTATCTTGCGTCGCAACTCGAATAGCTCGCCCAAATCCTTTTTCTGAGTTCCAGGCGCATCGCGATACCGGGCAGGTTTCCATTTCTTGTGTGACATCACACTTACCCTCGCCTCACCAATTCCCAATTCTCAACGCTTACCTCAACTTTTCTGCCATAACTTGCATCAGAGCGGGCGCGAGCCTGACAAGGACGAGAAATCGGCAACACACAAGGTATCCCTGTTCTGAGCCGGCTAAGATCTTCGACTACAAGTCACGAAGCAGAAACTAATATTCTTTCCTTTCCGGTGTAGTTCATTATATCTCATATTTTTATGATTGCAGCATGCCATGAACGGCACTCCCCGGCTCCGGTCTGCTTTTCCGCAGACACCTCAAACTGCTTCGAGATTCAGAGACTACAATAGTCAACCCCCGTCCAAGCCTAGGTTCCCGAATGGGGTAGTTCAAAACCCATCCGTCAACGTTGCCAAAAGCCCGGCTGTTACGAATCCGCCTCTAATACCAGCTACTGTTATTGACGCCCCGTCGCAGCGATTATATGTTGCCGCTTTTTACCTGCTTCTTAATACTTGGCGTGTATACGAGTCCTGGACTGCATCTGACGATCTTGATTCTACTTGGCTATTCCTTAAATGGGCAGCTGTCGATGGAGTCTTTCTTTTCGGCTTGCAGGCGCTGCGGATCCCCTGGTTAGAATGGGCTTTTCCTACAACACTAGCGGTCTTCTTGCTTCATGTTGCTGGAAACATCTTCCTCATGTTTCAAATCCCAGTACGCCTCTGTTTCAATGCCTCGCACGACGACGAAAAGCCGCTGACATCTTTCTAGATTCCCGTAGGTGCTTGGGTCGGAGGGGCAATCAAGCTAGCCTATGATAGGGAACTGTCAATATCCGAACGGAGTGTCAAACCGGGAGACATTATTCACAATGCGTCTCTCATTCTGGGCAAGCAAATAGTACATATATTACCGGAAGGGTGAGTGTTCAGGTCTGAAAATGCTCCAACGAGACTAACCGCATTATGCCAGCTCTGCCATCCTAAATCCGGATCATATACCCCTCTGTCTTGATCCACATAAAGCTACTATCGATCTTCCCATACGTGTCAACCAGACAGACCCTATCTTGATCGAGCTGTTGCGTCTAGATTATGACACTGGTGGTAATGAAACCATCTCAATTCCAGCAAGGCAGCTGAAACAGCTGAAGCGCCAAGCAGAAAAATTCCTTCCGAAAACAGGTTCCAACCTACATCGTGATCTCATGTTCCCCGTTAAGAGACCCGGAGTATACCGACTGAAAAGAGTAGTGGACGAGTCAAATCTTGATGTTCATATGAGATCATCAGATGCACTGGTTGCCTCGTGCCCTCGAGCAACGATTAAGGATTCCCCAACCCATAAATGCAGAGGAGAGCTTTCCAACCTAGTCTTGGTAGTTGAGGGCACTCCTCCTCTGAAAATCAAATACAGCAGGCAGGTCAATAACCTCGACCGGGGGTTTTCTTTCCAAAACATTCAGCCTGATCAACTGCGCTCGCCATTATTAGGGCAGCGTACAAGCGGTACTCTTTTTAATGCAAACGAACCCGATCTGACTTGGGCTCGTAGCCAGACCATTGAGGTCCCTCTTAACGAGTCTCTTAGCGTTGGCGGCGATTGGACATACACAATTGAAGAAGTCCATGACGGTTCAGGGAACATCGCAAACTATTCAATACTGTTAGATGCTGCGGATCGACTATCTACGAAATCTCCCTCGCACTGGCATGAATTTTCTGTTCATGAGAGGCCTCGACTCTCTTTGTCCGGCTGCAATGATCAGAGCTTCCTTGAAGTCGCGCAAGGGGCAAGCGTGAACTTACCCCTCAAGTACCATCAGGCGGGGCAAGGGTATGAGAACGACGGCCCCTTCTCTCTAGTTTACACATTCAGTGGTGAGAGCCCAGTGGGTCTTGGGGACCTGCCGAGCAAAATACGTCAGGCATCTCTCGGGAACCTTGATCAAAAACCGCAGATTAAGGAACCTGGTTGGTACAGGTTGAATTCTCTTTCCAGTCAATATTGCTCTGGAGAAGTGCTAGAGCCTTCATCTTGCTATCTACGCAACCCACCAGAGCCCGAGTTGACTATCAAATATGAAAGAGTCTTTGACAAATGTGCAAATAATCCTGTCGGCCTACTCGTGGACCTAGACCTGACTGGGTCCCCACCTTTCAGGCTCCGGTACGTCATTGAACATGCAAAAGGCGTTGAAACACGAGCCCACACTATTGATGGTCTCCTTGCTCAGCTCGATTTTACACCGTCGGAGGCCGGCCTGTATCGCTATCGCTTTCTTGACATCGCAGACACTGTCTACGGTCCTCAGTCCCTCAAGGATAAAGTGCCTGTTCTTGAGCAAGATGTGAAGCCACCGGCCTCTGCGCACTTTCTGGGGTCCAAGGGTATGCGTAAGGCCTGTTTTGGTGAACCGGTATCTCTTGATGTTGCTCTCTTAGGCGAGGGTCCCTGGACGTTACAGTATGAAGTGGTCCATAATGGCAAGAAGACAAAATACACCCTGGAGTCTGATAACGAGCTATCCACTATTGTCACGGAGAGGCTTGTAAGTGGTGGTGAGTACTTGGTTCTGCTCACCAGTGTCAAAGATCGCTCGAATTGCAAGCGAACGCTCAAGGACAGCATCAGGGTCGACGCACGCCCCAAGCCTCCTCATGTCTCATTTGGCGAAATAGAGAAAAGCCGGAGATACTCGGCCTTGCAAGATTCCAGCGTCGATATTCCGATTAGGTTCAGCGGGGAACGTCCCTGGAACGTGAAATACAGGAACTCAAATGCCAGTTCCGTTGTCTTTGAGAAGACGTTTTGGCACGAGAATAGCTTTCTAACCGTCACACAGGATGGACAATATGAACTTCTTGGTGTGGCAGATTCTTCTTGTCCCGGCTTTGTCGATCAAGGGGGTGGCACTTTCGAGGTTTCCTGGATACCTCGTCCACGCATCACAGCTGTGGATGGTTCCCCTGTCCGATTAGATGGTCATAGCATGAAACGAGATGTTTGCCAGGGAGACGATGACAGCCTCGAGCTCAGGCTCTCCGGACATGCCCCTTTTAGCATTCAATACGAGCAACAACGCAAGCCTTTGCGCGGTTCGTCTGCTGTCCGCGTGCAGAATTTGCGGACTGCCCTTCATGCTGCATCCTTAGAAATGGATACCTCTGAAGCCGGTTCGTACACTTACAAATTTACAGAGGTAGGCGACAACCTCTATGATCAAGATCCTGGGATCGTACCAGTGGTCGTGACCCAAAAAGTGAACCCACTACCGTCCGCACACTTTGATTCACCCGGCCGTATCTATGGGTTTTGCAAGGAAGATGTCAGCGGTGAAGAGTTGATTCCCATCACTCTCGAGGGTGTCGCACCATTCTCCCTGGAAATAGCGATCAAACACCATACAAAGGCAAAACCAGAAATAGTATCAATTTCCAACATCAACGCCAACAAACACCAGCTCCCACTTCCACGGCGCCACCTTGACCTCGGGCAGCATGTCGTCAGTATCCGCAAAGTGACCGATGCACGTGGCTGTCAGCAGACCACCGATTACGATGCCTCTTCAGTCAGAGTTGCAGTTTCGGATGTCCCAACCATCATTCCGCTGGAATCGAAATCAGATTATTGCGTCGGTGAGCGACTCTCTTTCTCGCTATCCGGCCATGCTCCTTTCAATGTGTTTTATACATTCGATGGCGCGTCGAGAAAGGCCACCTCCAAGACCACGAATTTCCGCCGCATTGCAGAGAAACCAGGCGTTTTCAGTATCACCGCTGTTAGCGATGGCGCAAGCGGAAAATGTAAAGCGCATAAAAGTATAACTAAGACAATACACGAAATGCCAAGTGTGAGGATCAGCAAGGGCCAAGTGTCTGTCGTGGACATACACGAAGGGAGTGAAGCTGAACTCCAATTCGAGTTTTGGGGCACGCCCCCCTTTGAATTCACGTATGTTATCACTCATTGTAAAACATGACGAACTCCACTAATCACCATTCAGTTATGTACGAAGCTCAAATGCTCGGAAGGGGAAGAAAACGGAGATACTTGACGTCAAACATGACATCTCTTACGAGCACACAAAATCTATCAAAACATCAGACGAGGGAACATACGAAGTGGTGGCAATCAAGGACAAATATTGTTCATTCTCTTCCCAGATACCAATTGGGAAAACAGAAAAGGGGATGATGACCGGTGCATGAGTTGATTCAATGGAGTGGGCCTTATCACTTAGACCAGAATGGAATACCAGAATTGTCCTTTTAGCTTCGGCTCTCTCATTATCATTCCATATCACTTTCTCGACCTCTTCAGTTGTATATATTGGTATGCGCTGTTACATTCGAAGCAAAAGGCATGACTATGACTAGAACAAATTACCGTTAGCCCTGAGCCTCGATGCTGTCAACTATGACGCCGCCCAGCCTCGAGATTTCGTTCAAGATAGCCGGGCGATTGATGACCACCTGATCACTGTCCTCTATATTTTCCAGGTTTGCGGGAGAAGTTGAGTAAGCCATTTTCAATGTCCAAGCTTTAGGTTGAAGAATTTGAGGATTCCATAACCCTGCAACAACTCCAGGGTTCCCATCACTGTGGAAAAAGAGAATATTGGGGCTGTAACACGCCTGCAAATCTCGAACAAAGGATCTGACAAGTGTATGTCCAGAAGCCAGAAGTCCCTCACGTCTATCAGCAGATTTGGATGTGGTTGGAGATGTAGATGCTTTATGCAGCGGCTTCGAACGGAGCTTGATAATGAAGTCGTAGGGTGCTAATGACGCGTGGAAAAGCTCTTTCAAATCGAGCCCAAATTCAATCTCTGGTACCATTGTCATGGCAGCCTTGGCCAGGGTGCAGATACGACCTGCCACAACCTTGGAAGGCTTTTCATACTGAGTCCAAGTCACCCCATCGATATCAATGTCGGAAGCCACAAACAAGCTGACTGTATTCAATGCCGGATCGATCTTTCGCCAGGCTGAAAATCGAGTCCGTATGAGCTCCATTACAGTCTTATCTAAGCCTCCAAAATCGACCAAAAAAGCCTCCTGCTGCCAGTCCCACCGCGCAAGAAGCTGAAGAGTCCTCAAGAATCCAGTCATGATACTGGATGGAGCGTCCCATGGATAAGGCTGTGCAAACACTCGAGCAACCAGCAATTCCACGGTTTCTTCTCTAATTTGCTCCATAAGCATGTGGCAGCTGAACCAATGCTTGACAAGGCGGATTGTGGGCGACAGAAGCGGGAAACGAGTGCATAGGGTACGAACTGCTTGCGTGAGCCGAGGAGCTTGAACAAATTGTCGTTTGTATTCAGATAGAGCGTAAGCGAGTTCTTGTCTCATAGGAAGATGAGCTTCTTTATCTTTCAAGTGACGTTCCAAGAGCATTTGTTCCCTCTCATGATGGATCCTGAGACGGAAGAGGACATTGGAGGAATGGGTAATGTCAAGGTAGGCATTATTCAAGATCTTGCTTGAGACATTCTCCAGCCCTACTTTACATGTAGATGCAGCTCCAGATGACTGCAAATAATCACCGATTTTCACGAGGAAAGCAATCTTCGTCATCTGTATAGCCACAAGGTCATCAGGCCAACGAGCCGAGCTTTCAAATTGGAGGACAATGTCCACGGGACCGCAAAGCACTTTAAAAGCACTTTCCAGATGAAGAGCCGTGTAACGCAATAGTGGGCTGGCAGGTGCAAGATGCCTGGTTGTCAAAGGTACTCCGTCCATGTCCTGAACAGATCGCTGCAAAGAACTGAAAGCGTCGTGAATTGCCTGGAAACGGGGGCTGGAATATAAAACGATGCCATCCCCGTTATCGCGAAGTGTTTCGTCAAATTCATCGCCGACAAATTTGATATCAGAACCTGTGTAATTGAAATGACGGTTCAAAGTATATGATAGGATCTGCGTTATGATAGAGGGCGCTGTTACCAGGTCTGACCAAACCAAGCTCTCCCTGATGCTACCATCTTTGAAACGCCTTAACTCGGCCTTTTCCCCCCAGAATGATCGAAAAGATGCGGCTTCTTCTTTCTGTTCTGCAGCTGGTCCATGATCCACAACACGTGTGGCATTATCTGCATCTAGCAGCAAGCCTACAAGTATGTATCCCTGCGCCGTCTTCTGGCCATGTCTTGTATCGACTGACCAAGGCCCCGTGCTGCAACCACGCAAATGGATGAGCCGGGCTCTGTCGCCCAGTGCCGTAATCAACACTCTGTGGATTATATAGTAGCTCTTAAGGTCTTGGAGACTTTGTCCGGTTGACGAGGCTGGCAGCCGAACCAGCCGATCAAATCTGAGCATTGGTTCGTGCGTTTTGAGGATGAAGACTTTGTCGAAATTGTCATCGCGGGACTCGTTTAGCATTTTCACTGTGGTATCTGCTTCCCGACGGAGCAAGGTGTAAGACCAAGGCGTCATTTTATAAAGAATATTCAGTCCTCGCTTGCCATCATACAGAACAGGGGAATCGCCAGGAGATGACACTTCCGCTGTAAATAGTGCTAGTGGATTTGTCAGGTCTCTTCCGGCAAGAAATTGCAAGGTTGCCTTGAACAGCTGATAGCTGCTGTAAGACTTGAGGAGTACAGGCTTGTGATTTGGACCGCCACCTTCAAGCAGCAATGACATTAGAGCTGCCCACTCAAAACCACCGAGACCGCCTTTTTGATATGATGGCCCAAATCCGCGTTGTCGAAGCCAGGCCCGTCCTAAGATACATGCATCTCTGAAAGACTCGCATTTGCGAATATTAGAGTGAATGTATTTGTGATAGAGTGCTACCGTGGCCTCAGACCGGAGAGACGCATTATAGAACGGAGTAGCGCCTTCAGATGCTGATTCATCAGCTGTGAATTGACGTAAATTATTCCTCATCGGCAAAGTTCGTGACACGGGGAACAGAGTATCTTCAATGGCAGTGATGATGCGAATCCGTACTTTGGAAGATAGGTGTCCAGGTTTGACCGACTCGAGAACGACGACAGGCCGCAGGCTGTCACCATCTTGGAGTGCAAATTTGATCGTCAAATCCTTGACAGCAGCTGCCTTAATTCCAGCGGCAACGGTGGCAATGTAAAATGCTCGTTTGTGGAAGAATCGAAAATTGACATAGTCTTTATCCTGGAATATAGCACTAGGCATTGTCACCGCCAAGTCAACCGTCAAAGGATCAGTACTCTTGATTCCATTTTGAAGTGAAAGACTGCCCACCACGTTGATATTCGTCGGTTTGGCATAAGTAAAAGAATACTTCGTTCCCCTACCGGGTCGCGGTTCGGGAAAGGGCACCGCGATCTCATGTGTGCTCCGCAGCTCTTTCTCTGCTTCCCATGCCGTTTGAGGTGGTTTCTCCGGAATTTGTTCAATGATGCTCTTCAGTTGACGAAGCGTCTCCTGAAGTCTCGCGAAATGTTTATCGTAGTTTGGCCTCAATTCATTCAATAATTCGTCCATCTGGAGTTTAAAGAAGCTGGATTTATAGACGCCGCTTGCGAGCGCAAACTCGGCTGTGGCATTGTGTGTTCCTTGGCTGTTTATGCTTACAGCAGGTACTTCATTGGTTTGAATCGCTTTCTGTAACTTGCTTCCGTGTGTCAACTGAGAGCCTGGACGTGTGGCAGGATTATCGCTCTCTGAAATACGGGGACGTGGCGAAGCATTGTGAGTAGAAGGGCTCAGTCGCCGGCGTTTCACTGGATGGGACGACATTTTAACCCGCCGATCAGCACCGTAACTCAGTTTGATATGTGGTGGGAGGATGAGGGGAACTGGGGTAGTCAGAAAGCGAGTCCTCTAAGTGAGGGTGCAGGTCGAACAATCTCAGATTTGTACCATGCTGGCTGCAAGTTTTGGGTATACCAGTACCATGCATGTATGAAGAAAAAAAAAAGATTTAAGGCTTGTCGGGCGGGACTATGGCTCCGGCCCCCGACAGTGAAACTAGACGGAAGCGACCCTCGCTACATTCACCGCCTTTATCCCAAGCACCTGTATTATCAATTGCATAGTTATTCGGTATGTGAATTATACACTAGTACTAAGTAGGTAGTAGTCACAAGTACATCTAAAGACCGGCGCTGTTCAATCACTGTCATCATACTAGTTACTGAATCGACATTGTATAGTAATATAACTTACACTTACAGGCTTACTTACTTGGCATGTGGGAATGCCCTGTATGTGATCGAGTCGGTACTGTAAGAACCCATGGTACAGAACTTGTAGGCATTCTATGTACCAGTAAATTACAAAATACTCTGTAGTTATAACTTATCTTTCTGACTTAGGTTCTATCTTTGTCTAGTATCTCATATATTGCATGACAGCATCTAGTAACTTGATTACTCTTAGTAGCAATCAACCTAATTTAGATTATGCAGTATAATGTAGTATTGTAACATATACTCTGGGCTAAATACCAAGATGTGCATAAATCTATGCTCTGACTTTGTAAGGTCCCTCATAGTCTCTCTAAAGAGATAGAAGAGTAGTATCTTTCAAAGGTGGAACTTTGCTATATTTAGCTTCGAAAAACCAAGATTCTAACATGAAAGGCTTTTTAAAACACATCCTGATCTATTGAAAATCTTCAATATTCATAAACCTTCACAGGAGATACTAGGAGCACTTTTCCCTGTGAAATATCAGATGAAGATGGAACCTAAGTCATAAAGATAAGTTGTAACTACAGAGTACTTCGCAATCTGCCAGTATATAGAAAGCCTACAAGGGTTTAACCACCGGATGTTAGATCACGTAACATGTTAAATAAAGAAATACTGGAGTGGTAATTAGTGTTCTTAGATCAGGGGAAAGATAAAACTCTGATTTTTCTACTCCATCAGATAACAAACCCAACAACTTAACTTATAGCTGCTGACTTTCTAAATCTGGAAGTTATGTTACTGTCATTCGCAGTAGCTAATCAGAACCTGGAAACTATCTCCGAAAGTAGCCAATCATCGTCCGTCACCCTCGATCAGGCCCTCATAGAGTTGGTTGCAAAGCTACCTTAGCGCTTTGCAAATCAAATTGGTTGATGCTAAGAGTAATTAAGTTACTACATGCTGTCATGCAGTACCTGCAGTACCTGACTACTTGTAACAAAACGAGTCATTATCTGGTAGTTACAGGTCGTACGGAGTACCTTACTTAGTTACAGTAAATAAGTAAGGTACTCAGTTAGTTAGTTAGTTAGTAACTCCGCGCTTAGTAATGGCTCGAGACCGCCCGCCCGCCTGGGGCGGGGACTGCTCAATCACTCAAAGTTCATTGGTCAACCACCAACAGCAGCAGCGCCGAGATCGCTGGCGGCCAACCACAATGACTCCCCGACTTCGTCGGCCTCTAAATAGGTAATGGGAAAACCTCTTTTCATCCATCCGTCTCCCAACAACGAAGTCATATTACGCATTCCAGTTTTTCCACTGCAGTCACAAGCGGCCGAGCTTAGACCAGCCAACCCCCTGTCAGCCGCATTACAATTCTTGGTCGTCAATTCACAATGCTTCAAATCATCGGAGGACCGGTTCCTCCAAACACTGACCATGTACGTGCAGGTCCCGCGAACCCCGCCACCGATCCTCGCGAAAAAGCTTGTCTCTCTCACTATAATTCGAATCGGTCACTCACTCTTGATTAGGCAGTCAGTGTATCACTCCCCACATGGAAAGCAAACGTGGCCTATGAGGAGGGGGAGTCATGGGTGACAAGCAGCATGCAATGCGGCTATCCACGGTTTTTCATACATCCGGTCATCCAAGAACTTGCGGCTGAGATTGTACGTCGTTTTGGTACCCCGAAATATGAGACCGCCATGTTATTTCCGTCCACGACCACCGCGGAGTTGTGCCGTTCTTTCATGAAATCGAGACTACCGGTTGAGCACCACAGCGGGATACGGATTATGAGTTTCAGTCCATCTCACCAGACAGATGCCGGACTTTCCCCCACAGATTTGTTGTTGTCTTCTGTGATATACCCGAAAGAGTTCGCGCCTGTTGCCAAACAAGTGTGGCAGCACACCGGGAATGGCATATCGAGTCGACGTGGCGAATTTTGCTTGGGTGCACTAAAAGGTGGCTTTCTAATCGAGAGAAATACTTCACTGGCAGATACAATATCTCGGAGAATTTGCAAGGGCCCTAGGAGGTACCAGGGCCGTGACTCTATCAGTGGAGTAAGCCGAAGCAATGGTATTCATAACCAGTCTCAAGATCTTCTTTCCACAGGGGAAGCGCAGGATGGTAAAGAATATGTGCAATTCATTGAAGAACGGTTTGGACGCAATTTGAACGTCTCGCTTGCTGATCAGGCACGATTGGCTGTACGTCGAAGGATAGCAGGGGTCCTGACTGCTGATGTGGAGCTGAGTGAGGCCCTTGAGAAGACCGAAGGTGAGGGTCGTGTGGCGGGACTCACGGATGCTGACGTCTTCCTCTACCCCACGGGAATGAGCTCAATATTTAACGCCCATCAGATGTTGCTGTCCTGCAGAGGACAATTGAAGAGCGTATGCTTTGGGTTTCCTTACATCGATTCACTGAAAATTCTTGAGAAGTGGGGTCCAGGGTGCTTGTTCTATGGCCAAGGTTCTTCGGATGATCTAGATGATTTGGAATCACGGTTGCAAGCCGGCGAGCGGTTTCTGGCTTTATTCACAGAGTTCCCAGGCAACCCTTTACTGAAATCTCCAGACCTCAAAAGAATCCGCCAACTCGCTGATGAATATGATTTCGCGGTTGTGATAGACGAGACTGTGGGGAACTTTTTGAACATCAATGTTCTCTCGTCGGCAGATATTGTGGTCAGTAGTTTGACCAAGATATTCAGTGGGGATAGTAATGTCATGGGCGGAAGTGCAGTGCTCAACCCTCATGGACAATTCTATCAATCTTTGAAACGGACATTTGCCCATGAGTATGAAGATAATGTCTGGGCCGAAGACGCTGTTTTCTTGGAACGGAACAGTCGTGATTTCGCGTCTCGGATCGAGAAAATCAACAAAACCACAGAAGTTATTGCAGAGTTGCTCCTGGCATCTCCTTTGAGTGAGTCTAGCTCTATTCTCGTATCAGTCCCGCTGCGATACCGATCGTCAAGGTTGACTCGGCCGAAGTCCATCTTTATCTAACGAAAATCGCAGTCAAGAATGTTTATTATCCCAAATTCAACCCTTCTAAACACTTATATGAAGCATATCGTACCCCGACCGGTGGTTATGGAGGGCTATTCTCTGTCACTTTCCATTCGACCGAGGAAGCAATGGCTTTCTTCGACCAACTCGAAGTACATAAGGGCCCGAGTCTTGGAACAAATTTCACATTGAGGTTGGTCAAAGCTCCGAATGAAAACTTGAGCAGTGAGATCCTTCTAACTATGATCAAGCTGTCCATATACCTTGCTGGCACATTATGGCGAATTAGAATGGGTATGTGTGAATGAACCTTTACAACTCGCTCGACGAGGCCATTTTTCTCGGTCCTTTTCTCCAGTATGGATCACTAACAACATCCTCTAACAAAATCCAGGCGAATTCGTTTGGTGTTGAATACGATCTGGTCAGAATAAGTGTTGGCTTGGAAGAGGAGTCAGATCTGTGTAATCGGATACGGCGGGCTTTGGTAGCGGTGTCTGATATCAGAACACAGTAGACTGTGGTGATTACCATACTATCATGATTCGACCCAAGAACATCGGTTTGCAAGTCTTGAGTTTGATCTATAATAAATGCATGGCCTTCTTGATTCGTGAGACACTGGTTGGCGGCTCACCATGAGACGGCTTATGACAGCGCTTCTGTTATCTAGGTCTGTGACGCAGAAGAAAGAAAGCGATCGTATCAACAAGGCAGAAGTAGACATAAACAGATGTTGTAAATATCTATACATGAGATAATCATTTTTCAAACACGTCCCTAACTTGATTGAGGTCCCATTGATATGAAATCTGTGTTTCACAAAGTACTAATCAACTGACTTGAGATTGGTGTCTTGACGAACGTACCCGGTGTACTAGTCTTGTATGGTGGTTACAAGGCAGCGGCTAGACCTGGGGGCTAATGAATGTAACTTAGTTATGCTTAATGTACTATTATTAAGCTTATCACGGGACTTTGCGGCCGAAAAAAGCTCAAACCCCATCTCAACAGTAACTACCAACCACTATGGCTCAAAAGGCCCTGTGCTTCATCAATGTCTGAACTCAACCTAGCCACATATATTTAAGTGTATGTTTCATAAAGACATCTTTCGACGAGTTGCTTGTCGAAACTTGCTACAAAACAGATGTACTGATGACTTTACGTACATACTAGATTGATTGACAAGCGATTATCCCCTCGATCCTCACACCTCCAGAAATTATTGTATCTTGTCAACTGCACGCAGCACGACCCGGAAAAATTAGACCCAGAATGGCTAGCACTTTCGTTACAGTCAAGAGGCCCTTCCTTACTTTGCCTTTCCTCTTACCTTCGTCATGTGAAGTCTTGTCTCTCACACCACGGCGGTCCCAGTCCTCTTACAGACGTACAAAACAACGCCTACGTGTCAAGCCCGATGCTTCATTCGGATCTTTTTCAAGCCACGTTGAAAGGGAACACATTATCCATAACCCTCCTTCAAGTGCTCCATCGGTTTATCACACGCCAGCAAAATTTCTTCCCAGCGACGACATCCGGAGATCTTTATGTACCGATAGTTCGATCGCTCACGAGGATCCTGCCGCCCTCACACCGTTGAATGAATCACCTGGTCCTAAACGGTATCACTTGAACCCTTCCGATGTTCTGGAGATACGTAGGCTCAGAACCAGTGACCCAATGACATGGAGCCGCTCCAAGTTGGCCAAGCGCTTCGATTGCTCACCACTCTTCATTTCGATGGTGTGCGGAGCTAGTCCAGAGAAGAAAGAAATGCAGAAGCAAGTCTTGGAGGCGGTACAATCAAGATGGGGCACTAAGCGCCGCATGGCTAGAGAGGATCGGAAACTGCGCAAGGAATCGTGGGGAAGAGATTGTTGATGACAATGATCAATTTGTTTGCGCTGAATTTCTTGCACAGTTTATCTTATTACAGGGAACCGGGTGCTAAACCTCTTATTGCCCTGCCACTCATGGTCACAGTCACACAGGCCCTTAACCGCTCATTTTTCTGAGTCTTGTCTTACTAGAAGCTTTCAATTGGTGTCTAAAAATGCAGCCTGTCATCCACCATGTAACTTGCAACTATCCTGGAATAAGTAGCCGTAGGCAGAAGCCTACTCAATGTAGACATCTTGGTCTAAAAGAGGAGTTCTGGGGATCCTGCCCAAGTTGTTGCCAATGCCAACAGCTGAGTCTCGCGTAGTCGGGTCGTCGCTTATTCGCGGGAACTCTAGGCCTCCTCGCTCGGGACGTACCTGTACTGTTCCTAAGGTGGTAATTGTCACTTAATAATATAAATCCTGTTCTTTGACAACGGCCCAAATGCCCCTCCCCCTCCGCCGAATTGCAACGTCGCTTAGAGACTGCAGACCCCTCTTGTCAACTCCTGTCCACAGCAAGGGCCCTTTGACGTCTCAAACTCCTTTTGATTTTACAGCACGCCGCCTCATCTCCCGTCAAGCTTTCTACAGGCATATTAGCGATACAAAGATGGCACCGCAACTTGAGCCGTTTTTTAAACAGTGCGTTCATTTTCCTATTGCCTAATTCTGCCTCTCCCTCTGTTGTGCTTCCCCCATTGGAAGGTTTTCATTACATTTACTTCGTCGGTACTCACAAGTGCTCACAACATATTCTCTACCATTTGTCCCTCCCTGCCATTACATATAAGACCTCCGGCTCTAACCATATTCTATGTTTCACGAGACAGGGTCGACGACCTATCTGGTTCCTTCATTGACAGTATGTACATAGGAACTCTATCCTGTGCTAATGATGTGTATTGACCAGCAAGGGCTACGAAAGGCTGTTGCCATTCCTTCTATTTCTGCGCAAGATGAGAACAGAAAAGATGTTTTCAAGGTATTTCTCCGCAGTCGACCTCCCAATACAATAGGATCGCAGCTGATGTACTGGTGGCTTTCCGTTAGATGGCGCAATTTCTCGCTTCTGAGCTTGAAGCTTTGGGGGCCGAAGTAGAACAACGACCGCTAGGGAAACAACCCGGCAAGGAGCATCTTGACCTACCTCCAGTCGTAGTTGCTCGGTATGGCAATGACAAGAACAAGCGTACCATCCTTGTTTATGGGCATTATGACGTGCAGCCTGCCTTGAAAGAAGACGGCTGGGCGACAGAACCCTTTGAACTAACTGTTGATGATCAGGGAAGGATGTTTGGACGAGGAAGCACTGATGACAAAGGCCCTGTTCTAGGCTGGCTAAACGTAATCGAGGCCCACAAGAAGGCCGGTGTGGACTTTCCGGTGAATCTCCTTTGCTGCTTCGAAGGCATGGAGGAATACGGCTCGGAAGGTCTGGAGGAGTTCATTCAGACTGAGAGCAAAGGATTCTTCAAGGACGCAGATGCTGTTTGCATTTCGGACAATTACTGGCTCGGGACAGAGAAGCCCTGTCTCACCTATGGTCTTCGTGGGTGTAATTATTATTCCGTGAGCGTGTCTGGCCCTGCTCAGGATCTGCACAGCGGAGTATTTGGGGGCTCTGCCCACGAGCCGATGACTGACTTGGTGAATATTCTCTCCAAACTTGTGGATCCCCAGGGAAACATCTTGATCCCTGGCCTAATGGACCTTGTTGAGCCCTTGTCTGAGGAGGAGAAATCCTTATACCCAAATATCAGTTACACTATGGATAACCTCCATGAGTCTTTGGGCAGCGAAACGGGCATCCATTCCACCAAGGAGAGAACTCTCATGGCGAGATGGAGATATCCTTCCTTGTCTATTCATGGTATCGAGGGTGCTTATTCTGCCCCCGGGGCTAAGACTGTGATTCCAGCCAAGGTAATCGGCAAATTCTCCATTAGGACAGTGCCGAACATGGAGAGTGAGGATGTGAACAAGCTCGTGTTCGATCACATCAAGTCAGAATTCGCCAAACTCAACAGTAAGAACAAGTTAGACGTGTGGCTCCAGCATGACGGAAAATGGTGGGTTGCCAGTCCCAAGCACTGGAATTTTACTGCTGCAAGCAAGGCTGTTCAGCAGGTCTTTGGTGTTGAGCCTGATATGACCCGCGAAGGGGGCAGGTATGTGCTGTTGTTGTCTCAAGGCTATTCGCTATTTCTCAGAAGAAGCTAATACAAATGGCAGTATTCCGGTCACATTGACATTTGAGCAAGCCACTGGGAAGAACGTTTTGCTTTTACCAATGGGCAGCTCAACTGATGCTGCGCATTCTGTGAACGAGAAACTTGATAAGAGAAATTACATCGAAGGAACTAAATTGCTGGGGGCTTATCTGCACTATGTCGCAGAGGAACCCATGGACGAATAAGAGCTTGCACTACCCTGCTGTGTTCCAGCCTTCATGCCGGGTAGTGTGCTTGCTTTGCTCTTATGGAACACAGGGCATACAGATTTTCGTCTTGTCATTTGATCTTCCCTTTCCCATGGAACATCTGCCCTGTACATATCGTTCAACAATCCACTCTATCTCTTGACTGATACCGTGCTGAAGCTTGTCTTGGACCGCTGTGCACCACCATCGCGTAATACAGTTAGCATGATGATAACTCATCGCCTTTATCGTCATAATGTGTGAAGTTCCGGCGTTGCATCTTGGAAACCACCGATATGACCTACTGCCATCAAATGGGTATGGGTCCCCATGTATATTACGCTCATGCACAAGCAGTTATAGCTCAGGATCTAGCAGTACCAAGCCTTTTTTGTGGATTTCAAGAAAAGTTTTTGAGAATCTTAGGAACCTTGCATGTCAGGCCAACTTCGCGCAATAACATGAATGGCATTTATTACTTTTTTGCAAGCAGAGTCCACATATACAGCTTTCAGGTAGCCAAAGTACCTACTAGTCAGTACTCCGTGGTAGCGTCTGCCTCTCTCCGAGCGGGGAAGCTGACTTTCGGCGGGAGGCGCGCCACGCGCCACGCGCCTTGCGACTTATCGGCGGCCGATAAGCCTCAAGACACGAGACAAAGGAAATCAACTCCACAATCTGAAAGAAAAGTCATCAGCGCTACTAGCTTTGCGACTTCTTTGTTACATGCATCACTGACCATTCTCGTCAATTTAAGCCAAATTTCTTTATCTGTGGGGTCTCCGCGCACTGGTTGAGTATTCATACCAAGTCTCTCGGGTTCAAGTTAATTCAGTCAAGTGTACTCGATGCCGGCAAGTAAACGGTCCCAGGCTTTCTCTGTGGATTCAGATGAGGAAATACAGTCAGATGCATCTCCAACTGTATGTCAGAATATATATTAGCAAGAGAAGAAATCACTAATTGAACCAGCGGAAACGCTTGCGCGGAAACGCCTCGTCCGAATTCGAAGAATTGACCGACAATGATCTTCACGAGACACTATCCCAATCTATGTCACAAGCGCTTGATGATGACGAGGACGAACTCGAGTTGCGCGCTACACAAGTAATACAGGAAAAATATTCGTTCACGAGCGACGAACCGAACGTCCCCGCTGAACATGGAATTCTGGAGCGTGTCGAGTGCTACAATTTTATGTGTCATGATCATTTCTATATCGAGCTCGGTCCACTAATAAATTTTGTTGTTGGGAAGAATGGATCCGGCAAAAGTGCGGTTCTCACAGCGATCACTTTGTGCTTAGGTGGTAAAGCGTCTGCCACCAACCGTGGGCAAAGTCTGAAAAGCTTTATCAAGGAAGGCAAGGAGTAGGTCTCCCGACCCTTTACGTGTATTGGATCCTAAAGTACCTCAGGAGCGCGACTATTGTGGTGCGCATCAAGAACCAAGGGGATGGGGCTTACATGCCAGATGACTACGGCAAATCCATTGTTATCGAGCGCTACTTCTCGAAAAATGGCACAAGTGGATTCAAAATCAAATCTGAGAGTGGCCGCATCGTCTCTACCAAGAAGACAGAGCTGGACTCCATCATCGACTACTTCACCTTGCAATTTGACAACCCGATGAATGTTCTTTCTCAGGATATGGCTCGGCAATTTCTAAGCTCGTCTAGCCCCAGTGATAAGTACAGATTCTTCGTGAAAGGGGTTCAATTAGAACAACTTGACCAGGACTATCGTCTCATCGAAGAGTCGGGAGATCAGATTGAGGCAAAGCTCAAGAGCAGAGTGCAAGACATCACGATTCTGAAAAGTCGTCAGGACGCCGCAAAACGGAAATTAGAACTATCCGACCAGCATGAGTCTTTACGCAATCGCATTCGAAATATTCGGAACCAGATGGCTTGGGCTCAGGTGGAGGAACAAGAAAGGGTAAGCGCGCCCCCCGAGATTATGACATGAATGCTGCAGTGTCTAATTATGAGCAGATCCAGGACTCATTAAAAATAGAAATGCTAAGAGCCGACGAAGCTATAGCTACTGCTGAGGCAGGACTTGAAGACTATGAACATCGTATACAAGAGGCTGAGAGAGAAACGGCACTTGCGGCCGAATTCGTTCAGCAAGCTACTTCCAAGCTCGAGGATTGTCTGACAAGTAGGGATGAGATCAAACAAAAGATGGAAGCTCAACTGAGTGAACGGCACGGTCTACAGGTAGGGCTGCATTCAAATGTTCTGTTTAGTGTCAGGATCTTTCTAACACATGCGTCAGGCTGAACAACGCCAGATCAGAGAGTATCTGAAAGCTGCAGAGACTAGGATTGCTGAAACTCAGAAGAACCTTGCAAAAGAGCACCAGCGCTTAGCCGACATAAGTGGGGGAAGTTTCATCAGAAAGCAAGAGGAACTCGAGCGAGCAAAGTCTGGGGCAGAAGATGCCCGATCTCGATGCAAGGAACACGACGCTGAGAGAAATCGTCTATATGAACAGATAGGTGATGCCGAGAAGGAGGTTCACTCAGCTGCTGCTCCTTTAAATAGAATGAAAGCCGACATCGAGCAAGCACAGTCGGTCTTGGAAAACTTGAGTAGAGAGGGTGGGGCGAGAAATTCTGGGTTCCACGAAAGAATGCCAGTACTGATCAGAGCGATTGAACGAGAAGGGTCCTTTGGCAGACGGCCTGTAGGCCCTATTGGGCATCATGTTAGCCTGCTGAAGCCAGAATGGTCATCTATCTTGGAAAACTCATTCGGTACGACCCTGAGCAGCTTTATTGTGACTTCGAAAAGAGACATGAACATTTTGTCGGGTATCATGCAGAGAGTCAATTGGTGAGCAACTTGAAAGCCCTTGCCTGATATTGAAGTATTTAACAGTGGCGAAAGTGTATGTCCGATATTCATAGGGAGCGACGGCCACATTGATACATCAGAACACGAACCAGATTCTGCTTATGACACAGCCTTGCGGGTACTACAGGTGAAACACCACTGGAACAAATAAAGTCCGGATAGTCTCTCTAACGCTGAGACTCTAGATCGACGATGAATTGGTCCGTCGACAGCTAATAATCAATCATGGAATAGAGCAAATGTTACTCATACAGAACCTGGAAGAGGCATCCTACATTCTGTTCGATGGACAGAAACCACGCAATGTGAAGAGATGCTACTGCATTGACCCCATCAACAAAAGACGGGGATTTCACCTTTCTTATAGCAGAACTGGTGAGCCGAGCCAGGCGCCGGTGCCAGCCTACAATGGAAGTCCCCGGATGAACTCCGACCTTGCGTCCCAGATCAGGTAACTACAACTTCGCTGTCTGCAGGGTCTAGCGATTGACATTTAGACAGCATGCAGAAAGATGCACTTGCAGATTTGAGAAAGAACCTCAGTGATCAAGAGCAGTTGGTGCGATCCGCTCGATCTACTCTCGAAAGCTGCAAACAGGCACGTGTGAGGCATGACAGGAAAGGCAGCGAACTACGCATTGCAGCACAGAAAGCAGAAGACCTTATTGAGGAGATAATCGAAGCACTTGACAAAGAATCTGTGGAAGATGGACGCATCGATGTGCTTCGGACCACTCTGGAAGAAGCTGAAGAAGAGAAACGCCTAAACGAGGGGTCCTTATATGACGGGATCGAGGCAATGGATGCCATGATGAAAATGTTGAAAGCGACCAAACAAGAGCTTTCGGCCAAAGAGGCAGAGGTTTCTGCTCGAGAAGCAGAGCTCAGGTTGGCTCAAAACGAAGAAAACATGACTATGGAAAGTCGCCGAAGATCAATACGTGAGAAAAACGCAGCAATTGAACAGATCAACGAAAGCAAACAAGGCAGGGCTCGAATACACCAGAAATTGGAAGAGATCAGTGCACGAATTCTTGACTTTAGCGAGAAAGCGAGCTTAGTTTCGCCACGAGTCGCAATAGCTGAGGGTGAAACGGCCGCTAGCCTGGACAAGAAGCTCGAAAGGCTCCATATGGATCTTAGACGATACAATCAGGAGTAAGCACGAGATTCTTCGGTTTCGACTTACAACTGCTAAAAGTTCTAGGTTGGGAGCGACTCGCGAGGAACTTGCCGCTCAGGCTTTTAAGGCCAAAGAAGCCTATGAACAGGCATTAAAACAAGTGGATGAATTTCGAACACTGGCTGAAGTGAGTATGGGACGTTGTCGGGTTCAATAGCCATAGCTAACGATGCCTGCATAGGTGCTTAAAACAACTCTTGATCATCGCAAAAAACGCTGGCGAATTTTCAGATCGCATATTTCCTCGCGCGCCAAGGCACAATTCACATATTTGCTGAGCGAGAGGAGCTTCCGAGGTCGGCTCTTGACGGATCATGAAGGAAAGCTATTGGACCTACAAGTATGCATGTTGAAACCCTACCGTGGCCGAATCGCTCTTACAATCTCCACAGGTGGAACCTGATATAACAAAGGACAGTGCGGGCCGTGGCGCAAAGACTCTTTCTGGCGGCGAGAAGTCTTTCTCTCAAGTATGCCTGCTCTTGGCATTGTGGGAGGCCATGGGATCCCCAATCCGTTGCTTAGACGAATTGTATGTGACCTGACAGTTCATCGTGCGACTTGCCACTGACTATATGAATTCTCATAGCGATGTGTACATGGATCACATTAACAGGAAAATGGCTATTGACATGCTAGTATGATGGCCCTTGATGTGGGTTACGAACATGCTTGCTGACTGTGACACAGATGCTCGCAGCGAGGCGGTCAATTGGACGGCAGTTCATACTCATAACACCCGGTTCCAGGGCTGAGATCAGCCTGGCACCGGATGTTCGCGTGAAGGAGTAAGTCTTCATCTTTCTGTCTGTGAAGTTGATCGACAGCAGCTTACCGGATTCATATAGGTTGGCGGAGCCCGAACGTGGTCAAACAAGGCTTGCCTTCTAAGAAAAAGCAGGTAACTTCTTTCACAGTGTTTAATGCTCAAGGAATAGGAAGCTCCTGTGATGTTTCACAATTTTCATCTCGATTTCTCTTCGGGTGCCTACTGAAAATGAGGTAGAAGATGGAGGTGGGAACGAAGTAAAAGTAGTAAGGCGATACGAAAGGGTCTAGGTGGCCAGGGTACTTTCACTTAAGACATGTAACCTGGATACATGACTGTAATATATCCAGTCCTTGTACTGTGCCTATACCACTGTTAACTATGATTGTATTTACACTCTGTCTGCACAGTACTACTTGGATAGAATAGTGTTAACCTCCCCGTACCGAGTAAATATCTTATACTTTCGAAAGATGTTTTCCGTGACCCTTGTCTATGAGAACTGTTCTCTCAGTAAAAACACCTAGTTTCAAGCCTAGCTCACGGTTTTGTAAAATAAAACGTACCTCGTACCTCGTGAGGCTCGGCCCGTTTCTGGACTACGCCCAAACCGGCCCACACGGAGAGCACTTCGTTCCCAGGCCATTTCCACTGCAGCTCAATCATCCGATATAACTGCTAAGACATCCCTGATCCATCATCACCTCATTCATCAATTCACTCATAACCTCACTCATATCACATTACCACAGCAATTTATTTGCACGCCCTTCTAGTCTTTTGTCGGAGCTTACTATAACCTTGGTTCACCGAAGCAAAAATCTCATTGCTGTCGGTTTGTCATTTCTCTCCTTCCGGCACGCCCATCAATTGGAGTCTAACTGGCTTAGAGCAATAAAACGACCTATTCCACTAGCACCAGAGCGAGACTTTCCCACACAGTAGTCTTTCATCTCCAAACAGTCTACACGGAGCCTTTCCATTCCAGTTCATCGGCATCCGGCGATCCTTGGTGACCACTGTGCCAGAAAATACAATACTCTATCGACTAACATCATCCTTGCTCAACCGTTCAACATGACTGACGCGCTGGCCTCACAAATGAAAAGCACAACTCTGGGGTATTTGACTCGCCTCCCCGAGCGACGGGCTGTAACTGATTAGGTCTGAATCTGTTAGGGATACGAGCTCGGATGCGAAGTGGAAGGAACAATTAAACGTCCCTGCCAAGGACGCGAGACCACAGACCGAGGTTTGGCTCTCAGCGATCAGGTCTGCTCATCATTTGTCTAATCTTCATCCAGGATGTGACTGCTACGAAAGGTTTAGAATTTGAAGATTTCTATATCAAACGTGAACTCATGATGGGAATCTTCGAGGCTGGTTTTGAGAAACCATCTCCTATCCAAGAAGAAACGATACCCGTCGCCCTTACCGGCCGAGACATCCTAGCGCGAGCCAAGAATGGTACTGGGAAAACAGCGGCTTTCGTCATCCCAACTCTCGAGCGCATTAATCCCAAAAGCACAAAAACACAGGCTCTCATTCTGGTGCCCACGAGAGAATTAGCCCTTCAGACCTCTCACGTCTGTAAGACTCTGGGGAAGCATCTTGGCATCAACGTTATGGTCACTACGGGCGGGACAGGACTGATGGATGACATCATCCGGTTGAACGACGCTGTCCATATTCTTGTTGGAACTCCTGGAAGAGTGTTGGACTTGGCGAGCAAAGGCGTTGCTGATCTCTCTGAATGTCCGACATTCGTAATGGACGAGGCTGACAAACTGCTATCACCTGAATTCACTCCAGTCATCGAACAGCTGTTGTCGTTTCATCCCAAGGATCGTCAAGTAATGCTCTTCAGTGCCACTTTTCCACTGATTGTGAAATCTTTCAAGGTATGTACATTATGAGTTGTATCTGCCCTGAAATTCGGCCTTTGACACGCTTTAGGACAAACATATGCGCAATCCTTACGAGATCAATCTCATGGACGAGCTCACCTTACGAGGAATAACACAGTATTATGCATTTGTAGAAGAGAAACAGAAGGTTCATTGTTTGAACACCCTTTTCTCTAAATTACAGATCAACCAGTCCATCATCTTCTGTAATTCTACCAATCGGGTGGAGTTGCTTGCGAAAAAAATCACTGAATTGGGGTATTCATGCTTCTACTCACATGCAAGGATGCTTCAACAACACCGAAACCGAGTATTCCACGATTTTCGGAACGGCGTTTGCCGTAATCTCGTTTGTTCGGATCTCCTGACCCGCGGTATCGATATTCAAGCCGTCAACGTTGTGATCAACTTCGATTTCCCTAAAAATGCTGAAACCTACCTTCATCGGATTGGTCGTTCGGGTCGCTTTGGACATCTTGGGCTTGCCATCAATCTCATCAATTGGGATGACCGTTTCAACTTATACAAGATTGAACAGGAACTAGGAACAGAAATCCAACCTATCCCTCAGAACATCGACAAGAAGCTCTACGTTTATGACTCGCCAGACACAATCCCACGCCCCATCGCGAATCCATCACACCCGCAGATAACTTCGGCGGTCACGGATCCAGCCACTGTGGATCGCCGCCCTACTCATGCAAATGGTGGGCATCATCAATTCCACCGAGGTCGGGGCTCATACCGTGGAGGTCGGGGACAAGGTCAACGTCGGAGTGTTCATAACGACTCGAAGCAATTCAACGCTTCTCAGGGCCATCCCAGCGGCAAACCTCACACTACACCAGTGTCATAAAGATTCTCTACCACAATGATGAGTGCTACGCCCGCGTCTCTCATCTCAGCCCCTCTGTCTCTCATGCTTTTTTATTTTGCCATGCCGTTCTTTTCATATGTTTTTCTTCTATTTTGTTTATTTTTTCCCTTCTTTCTCATTGTTGGTTGTACTCTGTTTCCTCGTGACATTTGGCTACGTTAGATCGCCGATTCATCACTGAGGCACCTCTTTGGTGTGGAATCTCGCTGTGAGCTTTGTCTTTACATGATGAGCTGCAACTCGAACTCGAATCTGCAGGACCACTTTTGTCTGTACGATACTTATCGCACCTCGCTTATTTTATGTATTTGTGTTTCCGATCATTATGTCTCCTACTCGCCTCTAGATGACGAGTCAGGTTCTTTTATCACTCTGCCTTCCTGTACATATGTTTCATCTGGTTCTGCATCGAGATCAGGTGAGATGATCAGGGCGTTCGACGGACATGTTGCACGGGTATCATGTTTCTGGCGTTTCTGGCAGGTTTGGGCTAACATGCAGCTAGTCGGTCATCAAGTTCATTCTAGGCTGCACCATTCTCACCATCGTGGTATATCCAGGTTTAAACCGGTGGAGATCAGCATATGCTACAGCACCGAACAATCTTCTCTCTCGACGTGGTGTGATCCTGGCAATGCCACCCGGCATCTGCATTCCTGGCGCCAACTGCCAAGATCTTCGCAGCTCTTTGTGCGCTTCTGATGTCTGCGGGCTTGTCTTTGGTCACGTCACTTGTTGAGAATGATCGATGCTGTCCGTTCACTTGGCCTAAACGCTGATGTGTCTATGGTCCATCTTCGCGGGGACATTTGGCAAACAAATCAAAATTAGGGCTGGATAAGTCGAAGCTGGGCAAGAGGCAGGATGGCTGGACGAGTGAGTCACAGGGGAAGCAAACTTCAGCGGGTCAAAATCGAAATTAAGTAGCATGTGGGGCGGGATGAAGGCGGATGAAGCAGATGAGGACGAAGAGCAAACTGGAGTGGTCTTCTTGTGGAAGTTGAATGGTCGAGGACGACTCAACGGGAATCAGAAATCAAAGGCTACGGAGAGGACGTCTGAAGGGAGGAAAATGAACAGAGAACAAACAGAAAACGAAACATGGAATGAAAGGGGGGGGGGGGAGAATTAGGCCCTGGGTCACTAGATGCTATCACTGACGACCCTGTATTTCAGTATCTAGCCAAATGTCAAGCTCATTTTCCCAGGCAGACTATGCTTATCTGGATGTACTAGGTACTGTGGTACAGAAAGGGGCAGGAGTTTAGCAGTTCCTTAACATAATCGGTGGGCGGGCTAGCAGCGAGTTGGCAGCCATGCATCATATACAATCTAGCGGATCTATATTCATTCTACTCGTCGGTTCTACTCGTAATTTAAGTGTCTAGACTAGATATCTGTATTATATGCTGTAAGAACATCTCGACGGCTGTGTCAAATAGAGCAGAAAACTACAAAAGCTGGGCTAGCAATGCTCAGTCCTGATGTGCCAACATATATAAATAGTATACCTATCTAAACTTCTCACTCTTTGAATCAAGCATTTTCCGGATATCATGGTAAAGATGTATGCAATTTATATGCAATAGGCAGTTGCCAGCCCACCTATCGATTACATCAAATATGTAACCAGTTAACTACTGAAATTATGTCAGTTAACTCAGCTGATCCAAGAGCACTGCACAGTTAGCTCATGTGGATACCCGTAGGAACAGTACTAAGCAGAGAACTAGTAGCTAACACTAATTAACTGGTTAGTTACATCAGTTAACAACTTAACGTGGACCTTACGCGACTAGTTATAGTTTGCTAACTAGGGTTGAGCTGTGACTCAAGGTTTGACAGACACTCCTTGGCGTGATAATCATCCATTAGACCTGTACCTGCTGAGAAACATTCATCAATGGCGTCCACTGAGAGAGACCACCGGCCAAAGGTTCGTTGATCTCAATAAACATACCATCGAGAAGACCATTACTAAACTAATGACATAGCCTAGTAGTCTGCGATCCATTATCGCGGGCTCTACTGCCGGTGCCGTTGAGATCGGTAATACCTCTTTCTATATGCTCACCTGATTTTCACATTACTGAATCGAATCAGCTATCACATATCCAGCCGAATGTACAACACGACCAATTCCTGATCAAGCAACATGCATTGGCTAACAATCCCTGAGTTGCAAAAACCCGTACGCAACTTAACCGCAGACTCCCTGATGCACAGAAACTACCATGGCCACCCTTCGGTTCACAATGGTATGCAGGGTGCACAACCCTGATCATTGGAAATTCTCTTAAAGCTGGAATTCGTGAGTCGTTCTGTTAGATCCCGATGTGTGTCCCAAGACTGATGCATGGGCTCGGTGAAAGGTTTCGTTGCTTTTGACTGGCTGAAATCACTTCTGCAAGACGAGGATGGCAAGATCTCGGGACCTCGGACAGTTGTCGCGGGCTTTGGCGCGGGCTTCACCGAGTCTCTACTGGCGGTCACCCCATTCGAAAGTATCAAAACGCAACTGTTCGTTAGACCCTGGTTCTGGTACCAGCGACTTCATGAGCCTGGCTTATCATTCCCTGAACAGAAGGCCAGCACTGATATGTTACGATTTTGCCTAGAATCGATGACCGAAAGTCGCAGAAACCCCGAATGAGAGGGTTCTTGCATGGAAGCAAGATCATTTATCAAGAAAGAGGATTCCGAGGGTTCTTCCAGGGGTTTGTTCCAACAACCGCGCGCCAGGCCGCCAACTCAGCGGTGCGGTTTTCGAGCTATACAATGTTAAAACAGATGGCCCAAGGCTGGGTCGCGCCCGGAGAGAAGCTAGGGACCGTGAGCACCTTTGCCATCGGGGGAATAGCCGGCCTTATCACAGTGTGAGCCTGCTGCAGCCCTACCTCGTCAATTTGGCCATTGAATCTCTCTAGAGGCGATGCTAATCCTTGCCACCCAGTTACGTCACGCAGCCTCTTGATACGGTCAAGACCAGGTTTGTGTTGATGTCGTATCATGGGAAAATGCATTCTGACACAGCTATAGAATGCAATCACTGGAAGCCAGCAAAAATTACAAGAACAGTTTCGTTTGCGCGGCACGGATCTTTAAAGACGAGGGCATTTTGACCTTTTGGTCGGGAGCCGTTCCACGACTAGCGAGGCTCATCATGAGCGGCGGCATAGTATTTACTATGTATGTACTCTATCAATCTATGTTTGATGCAATCCACTTGCATACTTAGCTGATGATCAAACAGGTACGAGAAGACAATGGAGGCGTTGGACATTTTCGACCCGGAGAGGCATTATATCTGAGGCGATCTGAAGCTGCAGGATGTATATATTTCAATTGCCTATGTGTGCACAAACAAGACCGAAGTGCAATGGAATAGATGCTGAATATTTGCTCAACAGTGTAGTGCTTATGGTAAGGCTGCATGTGCTGTATTCAGTCATGCATGCTGAACACATTGCTATGTCTTATGCTTGCTTGACTGATGCTTCTGCCGCCATGACTGCAACTTCGCTGTCACCAAGCCATCTCTGTACACTATCCATTACAGACTCCAACCCCTGGCCACCAGCCAAGACGTCGTCTAGATTGTGTACAGTGAAGCCGCTACGGTGGTCTGTACAGCGACTTTGCCCATAATTGTACGTGCGAATCTTATCGCCTCGGCCCATTCGCGCAACGCCACCCATCGCTCCTCGCCTGAGCGCTACTAGTTCCTGTTCTCTCGCCTCTCGCCTCTGTTCAGCCAATTTTGCACGCAGAACTTGCCATGCCTTCTTTCGATTAGAATGCTGTGACCGCGAATCCTGCATCGAGACTACAATACCAGTCGGTAAATGAGTTAAGCGGATGGCAGATTCAGTCTTGTTCACATGCTGTCCACCAGCACCACTAGCTCGCATCTTTTCCGTGCGGACTTCCTGTGGGTCAATGTAGTAATCGCTACTAGGGTCATCAAAACCAGGGGGTCCATGGGTGTCACTCCCTGTCTCCGGAAAGCTAGGAAGTACCATCACACTCACAGCACTAGTGTGTGTACGGCCTTTGGCTTCCGTGGCTGGGACTCTCTGTACCCTGTGCACACCTGACTCGGTCCTCATGGTGTCATATGCACCTTCTGTTTCTATCTCCAGAACTGCTTCGCTCAGGCGGTCTTCAGCCGATCCCTCTCCACCCTCTTTCTTGATGATGGTGCAACGGAAACCTCGGCGAGAGCAGAACGCCATATACATCTTCATCAGCTCGAAAGCGAACAAGCCCGCCTCGTCCCCACCAGCCCCGGGCCGGATCTCGAGCAAGCATGGCAGCTCTGCGAAAGGATGGCGAGGAATGAGTGCCTTTTTGAGACTTTGTGCTATGCCGGGCAACAGAAGCTTGCTACTTTCTAAGTCTTCGACAGCCAACGACTTCAATTCAGCCTCTGTTGTCGGGTCTTCCAACAACGCCTGTAGCTCGGATATGGACTGCGAGTTGGTCAGCGCGAATGGGCCATTACGAGGACTGAAAAGTCACTTGCTTCAGTCGTACTGTCCCATTCTCTCAAAGTAGTCGCAACCTGTGCTAGCTCTCCAATTCTTCTGGCGACCTTGGCGTCGAAGGTATCAGCTAATTGCGTGGTGAGCGCAGCGTGCTCAACAGCGAGCGAGCGTGCACGTGTGAGAAGAGCTGGAGATAGATCTGATCCTGCTCGTTCCGACATCAATAATGGTCCGCGCTGGTTAGGTATAGGTGTGGAACAAACAGACCCGTCTTGAACGTCCGGCTATGTACAAGCACTCGTCGATTGAAAGAAGTCCCGGCGGACCGCCATAAGCACCGAGAGCAGACCCAGGGTATGCCAAGCATTTCTATATCAAGGTCAAGCAGATGTGAACAATGACGGCCTTGCTGCGCTGTGCATGCTCGATAGTTGAATTTGCTTAGTGAGCCTTGAACAGCGTCACGTGTTAGGCGGGCTGGCATCAATAAAGTGCCAATCTGGTATTGTACATTACGGTATGAGACAATGTGCGGGACCATGTCAAGCCGCCCGGTTCGTATGCTCATTTTCAGGGATGTATGATGCTCGCTGTAAAATACCGTAACTCAGTACAGCGTTGTAAAGGCCAGACTGGAAGATCGCTATCCCGCAACAACCACCTCAATATTAAAAGAACGCAGTCAGAGCTGGCTGTTATCAATATTCTTCAAAATATGTAACCTCACTCTCCAACCATACAACAGGTCTTTATTCTTTTGTCGCAGCTTGTCCCTGAGACCGCATCTGGTCTACGACGTTCTAATTACATACTAATATGAAATTGTTTCCATAACATCCTACCTTTTCCGCCGTCCATACTTATCGTTTGATGTCTCTCATTTCCCATAATGCTTGTCTCTCTAGGGTCTCTTACCGTCGCTCTGGCGGTTTTACCACTCGGATATGGCCTGCGGTCCTCTTCGGTCTCTCCCGACATTCCACTTTCGTCTTTAATTGCTTCTGCGAAGACGCATCTTGCCGGGGGTTCGCCCAGGGACGCTTTGCAATACTTTGATGCGGCTATTTTGAAGGACCCTGCGAATTATTTGGTCCTCTTCCAAAGAGGTGCGGCCTACCTTTCCTTAGGGAGGAACTCTCAGGCTCTGGCCGACTTTGATCGCGTACTGCAGTTAAAGCCAGGCTTTGAGAGTGCCCTTCTGCAGCGTTCCCGCCTCAAGGCTAAATCTGCTGATTGGGCTGGGGCTCTTGGGGATCTCAGTGAGGCTGGGAAGGAATCATCGCCTGAATTCAAAGAGCTACAGGCCGCGCAGGATTCTGCGCTGCTAGCCCATGAGGCGGAAAAGATTGGTTCTTGGGATACTTGCGTTAGTCAGGCGAATGTAGCTCTTGGAAAAGCAAGCATGTCCCTGAGTCTCCGACGAACCCGAGCTCATTGTCGGTTCGAGCGAGGGGAGGTAGAGGAAGGCCTGAGCGACCTCGCCCATATTTCTCAAATATCTCCAGGCTCGTTAGAGCCTCATATGCAAATCTCATCCATGTTATTCTACTCGCTTGGAGACTATGATCGCGGCATCTCTCAAATCCGCAAATGTTTGCATTCAGACCCCGACTCGAAAACCTGCAATCGTCTTTACCGCAGGCAAAAAAACCTTCTGAAGAGAATACAGACAATGGAAGACGCTGCGAATTCTAGGAAGTTCAACAATGTTATCAACATGCTGATTGGAGTCGTTGATGAGAGTGGTTTGCTAGACGATGTACAGAATGATGTAGGGGAAGGAAAGGCGGCGGGCTACATCCACCCTGCCGCACCAAATCATCTGTATGCCTCATTGGTCGAAAGAACATGTGAAGCCTACCAAGAGGTTTGTCAATGGCCGTCTCCCGTGAATACCCGGCAATTGCTAACATTTCTGACTTAGACACAGATGCGTAAAAGCGCAGCCTCCTATTGCTCTCAGGCCTTGGAGCTGAATCCAATATCCCTGGCAGGTCTTCTATACAGGAGTCAAGTGGCTCTCGACCAAGAGCGTTTTGAGGAGGCAATAAGCATACTGAACAAAGCAAAGGAGCATCATCCAGATTCTAGGAAGGTTCAGGACTTATTACAGAAATCTCACGTCTTGCAAAAGCGCTCTAAGCAGAAGGACTACTATAAGGTTCTGGGCGTTGGCCGCGATGCTGATGAGCGTACCATTAAACGTGCATATCGTCAATTAACAAAACAGCACCACCCCGACAAGGTCATCTCTCGTGGAGTGTCCAAGGAAGAGGCTGAGAAAAAGATGGCCGCTATCAATGAGGCCTATGAGGTCTTATCCGATCCCGATCTAAGAGGGCGCTATGACAATGGCGATGATCCCAACGATCCCGAGTCACAGAGGAGTAATCCTTTCCAGTCCGGACCATTCGGCGGTGGTCAACAGTTCTTTTTCCAACAGGGAGGGGCCCAGTTCAAGTTCTCTGGACAGGGGTTCAATTTTCCTGGTGGTGGGTTTCCTTTTCGCTGACGGCTGGTTGGCTTGCTTGTTAGTCACTAAAATCAAGCGTCGCGCTTATTTCATTCCCGCCTATCATAAGTCCCTCTTTGCTTGCCCTTTCCGATATCATAGGGGCACCAAGGCTCGTAAAACGGATTTATTGTCCTATTTAACTTTTCTTGTATATTTTTGTATACATCCAAGGCAACTGCAATGAATTTCTGTCGCAAATTACTGTAGACTTCGCGCGAGGGCTGCGCTTTTGCATCAGCCCGGTCAGGGAGATTTTGTAGACGAAGTATGATCATGCCTTGGGGCGATCTGTCAGAGGAACATAGCTGACTTGGAAGACCTTCTCTTTACTGACAGAGCCGTCCACCTTCTTATCGACAACCCATATGTATTGTCCACCGCTTGACCTCGGGCGCCCGGTAGCTCCGTCGTCATCATCACTCTCCACGTCGACTGGGATAAACAAACGCCCAGGCGCGCGAAGTTGCTCGATCAACACAGGGTGTAGCCGATCGGCAGCTGCGCCAACATGAATTGCATCATACGGCGCCCCTTCAGGCCATCCCAGGCGACCATCGGAAGCGATGAATTTCACCTTTCCAGACTCGAGGTACTTGCGACCCTGTTCTGACTTGCTCATGTTGGCATGTGCTAATTTGACAAGCTCTGGTATGTGGTCGATGCCAATGACTTGGCCACCCAGTTGATTGCCGGCGGGTGATTCAGCAACGAGATTGGCAAGAACATGGGTCAAGTAGCCTGAGCCGGATCCGATATCCAGGACACGCGAGCCAGGCTTGAGGAAGTCGATGAGATACTCACATGCATGGCCATGCATATGGGGCGCAGAGATCGTCGCAGCATGCCCAATTGGTTGCGGTGAATCCGAGTACGGCCTTGAGGGCGCGTAGTGGGCCCGGTCAACCTTGCACACCTATCTGTCAGATTTCAATCTGCAAATTGGACCGGCTAGATACCATTCGGTTGTTTCTCTTAATTACTCTTGACAGGGTAAGACTCCGAGCTCGAGGAAAGGGCAAGAATCTGTGGTGGTTAAAGGAACGAGCATGGTTGCTTACATCTTTCATAGCATCTCTCACCCTCCCACTTTTGATGAGGCCGGTTCTGTACAGATTCTCCACCAATTCGCTGTTGGTCGATCCAGAGCAGTACCAAGCCATTGAAACTAGTGTCCGCGCAAATTGCGTGTAAGCTGAATTTGAGGCAGGAATCGTAGCGAGCATGTAAGACAATCTGTGCCCTTGCAACGATGACTACCGAAGATGCAGGCTTGCTTGCAGAATGGCTTTGTATTATTAGAGGCAAGTGCATAGAAGGTACCTACTTGCAAGGCTGTATGTATCCTTACAAGTCAGAAAGGCTTCGGCCATGACTTTGTGCGTATATGACATCAATACGAAGTAATTAGAGATCACATGGTTGACTTACTCCTAGTCACTGTCTGTGGCTTGGAGCTTCAATTGGAGCGGATTTGGTACGAGTGGGTCATAAATGCCAAGACCATACACTGACCTCCCCTGCTGTGTAGACATTTTCAATCACGTGAGCTTACAGAAACACCTCTAAAGTCCTCTTCTTATGTTAGGATTATTAGGGTTTCTTGGGACCGAATATCAGGTTCTTACGGAATATATTAGGATTCTAGATTAGGAAATTTCTTCAACTGTCTTTGTTTTTTGGAATGATTGGGTTTTATATCAACTCAAAAATAAAGGAACTTTGAGCTAAAGTCATTCTGGACCCCCTCTGAAGTCACATTCTTTGACTTTGTTCTCTTGCACTAATTTTTGACCCCCTGCTGGTAGCCCTGGAACCCGTTCACTTACCGGTGTTTGAGTTGGCTAGTTTGTTACAGTCACTTAATCTAGTAGTTAAAGTGAGTAGGTATACTGACCATTCATTGGTTCTGCCGGCAGAATCTGTGATCAGTCAATGCATCTCCCGATTGACTCAACTGTGGTGTAGTTGGAACAATTAGAGAGGCGGCGCTGGTGTCACTTGGCTGGCAGGACATTTGTCTTCTATGTGTTCTTCAATGATATGGGTGATAGTCCCGACGTACTGAAATTCTAGGCCTGACCGAAATATACCATCATTATATAGATCATGACATGAAAACATATATCTGATTCAATTATAAGACATACGTATGTTGAACCTAGTACCCTTTACTGATAAAAACTCAAAGCCTGCCCACGAGCAACTCGCTAGCTTTAACCTCTTCTCATTGACCAATAGACCTGCCGCCTGAACAATACACTGATTGACAAGCAGAAGGCCATTGGCATCAACTGCTCGACCTAGACTCATGTATGAGTAGGCTGGAAGCGGTATGACAGAGACCGAACCTAAACCTCGGTTTTGCCAGCTGCTAGTTATTCCAACAGTAACAGTAATATCTGTGCATGGCAGATTTGATCCAGGGCGCGAAAAGGGCATAGCGCGAGCATGCCCCAGTCACTTGCACGAGAGCCTGATTGCCTATGGGTATTAGGTACGGAGTACTACTAAGTAGTTGTCATATTCTATTAAATGCTTCTCAGGTCCTCAAAAGTAGTCAGAATACTCCCAGGTTATAAGCTAGTGCCGAGCATGACCGCCTACCTAGAACAGAGCCCCAAGACTCCCATCATGGATGGCAGGTTGGCGAACCTGAATGGCAGCCTCGGTTCATAATAATCCAGTCGATGCACAGTATATAGTCGACTGCAATCACTTCCCAACAGACAAGGCAGTGAGTTTTCTCACTCGGATGCCTTTAATACGTAATTATGGAATGTGAAGAAGCAGACCCAACCACTCAAGCGGAGGTTGATGTCCTAATATTTGATTATCTTCTCTGCACAACAATCAACCGACTCCTGTGCCATGGAAAAGCACAGGCCGAAGGACATAGAGGGGATCACCAGAATATGAACTGGTACCTCAGAACCATTGACAGTATGTTCATTAAATCGTCATTGCCGCTACACTCGGCTTGGTCGAAGTCTAACAGTATGGTTGCGAAAACAGCGATGAGAAGAGTATTGTCAGAGTCAGATAACCTCACAAACGACGTTCGTGCCAAAGACCGACTATTGAGGTTTGCAGTTCTATTCTGTTGCCGGTATAATCTACTACAGAATGGTGCTGCGCAGGCAACGGCACCGGCATTAATAGCACACTTCCTCGCGCTCCACGAAGGAGTAGGGCGGAACTTGACAGAACTCAAAGATGCCATCTCGGCCCATCTAATTATGGAGGCCGCGACAGAGGAGCTCGGGGCGGCCGAGAGTCAATCTACCCCGAGGTCCGAGGAATGTATTCATCACGTGCAGCATGCCCTCGCCAAAGATACGATGGCGAAGGGACAACAAGGCTACCTGAGATATTTCCGGCCACCCCGCGGTCTTTCGCTAGAGATGCACCTAAAGAATATGTCAAGCATATTGCCTGCAGCCCAGCTTGCTCATGCTGTAATTGACTACCTGGTCAACATGATGAAATCTCTAGACCCACCCATACTGTTGCAATTGGAAAGAGGGAAACTCGATGGGCTTACCCGTGAAGAGACCAGGCTGCTGAAAGCAAGAATAGGACTCTGACGGTCCAAAAGCCGGTCGTCCCAATTCAAAGGTGACAAAGTAAGCTACAAAAGTAGCTGCAACGATGGGGTTCGCTACATGTGTGGCACAGACTGATTGTGATGACTGTTTTCTAAAATGAACGTATACAAAGCAATGTTCTACACGCCAGGATATCAGGAATAGGTGGAGATATGGCAGTGAACCCTGGGCCTCCGCTCTCATCGGTACACAAATCGTAGCATTTGACTCAGCCCAGCAGCATGCGACGCGGGTCCTCGATATACTCCTTGACCTAGATGTAAGTGGCGAAATTAGCTTCTGAGTGGAAAATGTGCTCCAAACTATATGACTGACCTTGACAAGGAAGGTGACAGCCTCCCGGCCATCTAGAAGCCGGTGATCATAAGTCAAAGCAAGGTACATCATCTGATTTGAGTGTCAGCACCAGGATAAGGGGCCGCCAAGACACAGCAGCGACTTACAGGTCGAATCTCGACTTTTCCATTGATGGCGACCGGCTTGTCCTTAATCGCATGAAGTCCAAGGACAGCTTGGCCAGGTTAGTCAAACGTTGCACATATCACCTCGAGGCGTAGGATCTTACCCGTCTGGGGAAGGTTAATGATCGGCGTGCCCATGAGAGAGCCAAAAACACCACCCTAAAGAGTTAGAAATACAACAGGAACCTATTTCGAGAATGGACATATTTGCTTACATTGCTGATGGTGAAAGAGCCTCCAGCCATATCTTCAATTGTCAACTTGTTGTCGCGCGCCTAAGCATATATTAGATCGGAATTCCATAAATTCACAGCCTTGGGTAGCTTACCTTTTTGCCGAGTTCCGCAATGGACTTCTCAATGCCAACAAGGTCCATGGTCTCTGCGTTGCGGACCACAGGTGTCACGAGGCCCTTCTCGGTGGCAACGGCTACACTGATATCAACATAATCACGATAGACGATAGTGTCACCACCATTTGGCCCTTCAATGGATGCATTGACTGCAGGGACGTCCTTCATAGCCAAGACGCATGCACGAGAGAAGGCGCTCATAAATCCCAGCTTAACGCCAGTCTTCTTCAGCACATCGTCCTTGTACAGTTTCCTAAATTCCATGAGTGACGACATGTCCACCTCGTTGAAAGTAGTAAGGGAGGCTGCCGTGTTCTGGGACTGCTTCAAACGCTCCGCGATCCTCAGTCTCATTCTATTCATCTTAACCTATACGCAGCGGGACATGTTAGCGACGTGTCAGGTCAGAAGATGATAAGATTGATGCCGACGAACCCTGCGCTCTTCGCGGCCCCCGATGCTGGATTTGTTATCTTCAGAGGTTTGCGACTTAGGTGCCGCAGGCTGCGATTTCTTAGCTTCGGTCTCCTTGGAGGTAGGCTTCTCAGGAGTAGGCGCCTTCGGGGCCTCAGACGTCTTTGGTTGCTCTGGCTCAGAAGCCGTGGGCTTCTCAGTACTGGCTGGTTCTGCAGGCTTTTGAGATGCCTCCTCTTCTTTCTTTGCTTCCGGAGCACCACCAAGTTCCAGCTTAACGAGGTCTTGACCAACCGTCACAGTGTCCTCTTCGCTGACCAAGAACTCCTTGATCGTGCCGGATTCTGGGGCATTGACAGAAACGTCAATCTAGTACCAGTCAGCCGTTACTGAATGTAGGAATGTCATGACTTTCACGCTTTAGTGTCACTGAGACGTTCGCACCTTATCAGTCTCAATTGTCGCAATCTCCTCGTCGCGTTCAACGTAATCCCCAACCTCTTATGACACAATCAGTGAACTATAGGACAAGAGTGCTCAGGAAACCATACGTTTCGAAAACTGCTTCAAGGTGCCTTCGGTGATAGACTCTGCCATCTGTGGGACCTTGACAATGGTATCCGCTCGAGTCGCAATGTTAGTACAATCGGTAAATCAGAGGGATGCCATACTTACCATAGGTTCTTACTTGATTGGCACCAAAAGGAGTAAATAGCAGTGGGCTATTGGTGAAATTACTGGACCTCTCTGAGCTTTCTGTTGCTATTGCAAGCAACCTGGTCGGGGAAAACTCACCCCAAACCCGTGAATCGTTGCGAACCGAGGTTCAGCCGACCAGCGATTTTGATGTTTTTCTGAAGGGCATTTGACGCAAAACTCCTAGGGTGACCGATGGAGACCGCGCGGAAAGCCTGGACATTACGAGGCAGAACCCGCAGGTGCTGCTCTGGCAGACGGTGGAAGGGCAATCGAGAAGCCATGGCAAACCAGGAATGCAAAAAGAAGGGATTAATAATATTGATGGAAGTAGGAAGGCAAGTTACAAGCTGGAGCCACCAAGTAAATTCGGGAAGTTGGGTGAAGTGACGATTACCCGGTCGTGGTCCAATGCAGATTCAATTGTCGAAGGTAGAGGGAGTGACGAAACTTATGTCGGAGTACGTGAGCTGGAGCCCGGGCCGAGACAACCGGAATCTCCCTATAGAGCAGCTGTGTTTTTCCTGCGACCGGCAAATGAACGGAGTATAATTATTACGCTGTTCCGGCTGCCTAAGCTCGCCAACTTGGCACTTCTCTGTACCCGTCGCAGCCAACCTGACATATGAGGTCGACCTCGAAACCGCGGGTTATATTATCGTCACCTTTTTCGTCGACCTCGACTTTCGCATACATCATGCCTCTCAGCGCTGCTGCGTACGTCTGTCGATCGAGAATCTTCCAGAGAGACTCTGACCTTCAATGACAGCTCCCTCTATCGACGGTCCCTTAAGCTTGCCCTAGACTGGGCTGTTCACCGTCAGGTTTGGCGAGGACAGGCAGTCTACATCCGCTCATTGTTCGACGCAAATAAGGACGTTCGCGACCCTCGTCAACAAAAGGTACCACTGAATCATAGCTACACGGCACAGAAATGTCTGAAGTAGACTGATCGTGTACCGATAGGTGCTATTGCAGGAAACCGAGAAGCTGCTAGAGACATGGAAGCACCCGGATCCCTATCGCGCGCCTACTGCCCCAGGAGGTATAAACAACGCTGGCCCAATCTAGCCAGAAGATCAACGTGCTAACTTTGTCCAGGCAGTAAGTGGGAGAGAAACCTTCCCGCGCCTCAGTTGCCTCGTAAGTCCCTGCGCCCTGTCGTTGGACACAGACCGTCCCGGTTTTCCGACTTACTGACAGACACACGAAGTTGCTTCCGAGCCTGCGGGTCATTGATCGTACTGGAGAAATTATACTAGTATATTTTGTAGTCGCGAACCAATTTAAGGCACTTGCATCAACACCTGCCTGACCAACAAACAGGGCGTAGATGATTTTCTAGCTGACACAAGGGGAGTCCCGCCGCATGTTGCCGAGATTATTGCCTTGAGCGCTACGTTGGCGCAGGATCAATTAAGTGAATGCATGAATAATTCTCGGTATCATTCCATGTCCGTAGACATAATGTACAACCATGAAACTAAAAGCTAAGAAGGGGAAAAAAAAAAAAAAAACAGAGCCATTAACGTGCCCAGACCAGAACCCCGTTATCACATCAATAAGAGAACCAATCCACGCCGAATCAGAAAACCCAAACCAAAGAAAAATTGCTCACAGCTCCTGGCTACCCGAACCCTTGCCACTCTTGGGGGTCTTCTTGGGCAGGAGGTCTAGATCCTGTCAGTGATGGCTCTAATCGAACGATAGTAAAGTGGGGCGTACTCTGATGAATGTTGGGGAGAACACCACCCTGGGCGATGGTGACGTGACCCAAGAGCTTGTTCAATTCCTCATCGTTTCTGATGGCAAGCTGGAGATGGCGGGGGATAATACGGGTCTTCTTATTATCACGAGCAGCGTTACCAGCCAATTCGAGGATTTCGGCGGCGAGATATTCGAGAACGGCAGCAAGATAGACGGGAGCGCCTGGTACCAGGTTAGAGGACGTATTGGTAAACTGGGGTATCCAGAACGTACCAGCACCGACACGCTGAGCGTAGTTACCCTTGCGGAGAAGACGGTGAACACGACCAACGGGGAATGCAAGACCGGCCTTGGACGAGCGACTGGAAGATAATAATATATTAGCTAAATGGAAGTCAACGGATATGGTCTGGGGCTCTCACGATTGGGCGTTCTTGCTGCCGCTGGCCTTGCCTCCAGATTTTCCTCCGGTCATTTTGTTTGTTTGTGGTTTTGAGAAACGTGGTAGAAGTAATACAGAATGATTTGAGTACGTTGGCAACAATGAAGGTAAGCTTATGGGGGTTGAGGGTTGACGGCGAACGCGAGGGAGCGGAGGACATATATAATAACGCGACAAGGGTGACGTTGGGCTACTGGGAAGCCTCTCAGATCACCCTCTCGCTTAGCGGGGCTGTCCAATCATAGAGGAGATCATATCGCCGCGCGCCCATGGCTTGGCGGAGATGAATTTGGCATGATTCGGATACAGGTTGCCGTATACGGTAAAGTCTCGTAATTATTAATCCATGTCTCAATACAGTCATACTAGCGTGATCTCAGTTATTTTGTAGCAGCATCTGACGCGTCCCCCACCCTTTAATCAAACAGATCATACGTATTCAATACCGTATCGAAATTCTGCTTCTTTCGTGGACCTCAGGATCAACTAGGCATTGCGAGCTGGTATAAGTAGCGCGCCTCTCTCGTCACCGCGTCTCCCTCATTCTAGTTCTCTTCTTCATCCTATCCTCAATACTACTCCACGCAGCAAGCCAACGCATCACTGTCTTCCCTCCAACCTTTTACTATCTCAACAACGGAATTTAAAAATGCCTCCCAAAGCTGCCGAGAAGAAGCCTAGCACTGGTGGCAAGGCCCCTGCTGGAAAGGCTCCCGCCGAGAAGAAGGAAGCCGGCAAGAAGACCGCCGCTGCTAGCACCGGTGACAAGAAGAAGCGTGGCAAGACCAGGAAGGAGACCTACTCTTCGTACATTTACAAGGGTATGTTTGTCATGTTTCAAAGGGCTTTTTACCACTAAGTTGACACTAATTTTTGCTCCAGTCTTGAAGCAAGTCCACCCCGATACTGGTATTTCCACTCGTGCCATGTCTATCTTGAACTCTTTCGTCAATGGTATGCTCCGAGATTGACTTTGATGGTGGGAGACCAAAGAAGCTGACTTGGTTTAGACATCTTTGAGCGCGTTGCTACCGAGGCGTCGAAGCTCGCGGCTTACAACAAGAAATCCACCATCTCGTCGCGGGAGATCCAGACCTCGTAAGTCCTCGTTATCTTTACCGATGGGTTAGAATCTAACAAGTGATAGTGTGAGGCTTATTCTTCCTGGCGAGTTGGCGAAGCATGCGGTGTCTGAGGGCACCAAGGCCGTCACAAAGTACTCTTCTTCTGCCAAATAAGCTTTCTGATTTCTTTCTTTGTTTCTGCGGGATTGTTTTTTTTTTTTTGCTACCTCGTCATCAGCAACGGTTCTGAGGTGGTGGGTCACAGGGTGTTCGCGGGATTTTTCTAATGTGTCATGGGATGGCTTTATTTTTTCCCCTTGGGCCAAATGTTTCTTATGGTTTTCGTGACATGAATACGGTGTAACATAACTCGGATCTGGGGTCGGTCGCGCGATTTTGCCGTCCCCAGCAGAATTCGATTTCTGAATTGATTTCCATATCCATGGGTACGTCAAAAGGAATTATCGGCTTAACTCGACTGACTGATGTCTTTCCTGAATGAGTTCTCGACGTTATATGCCGGGCATCTATTCTTCATCATCCAGTACTTCCACTTCATCCAGAGCATTCCTGTCCATGCTTACTGTGTTATCTACTTCGTCGATAACGTGGATTATAGCTCTTCCTTCAATGGACTTTACCCGTTCTTCCCAATCCTGCCAGTCCCCGCTGTTTCGGATGAGGAACCCTATCAGCATACTTGGATCCATATCCCGCATGTGAATCCTTCTCAGTCGTCGTGTGTGGTAGGTGTCGATCTCATCTTTCGAGTATGGATTGTTTGTGTCACGCTCTGGAATAGCAGGGCGGGTAAAGTGAGGATCGAGATAAAATAAATCTGACCCCTGGTGGCCTACAAAGTAATGCGAGGCCGAAGGACGTCCCCTAGATGAATTGATGAGATTGCCTCAATCAGGGAAAAGATATGTGGGCGCCTACCCTGCTATTCCCACCGACTGGGGAAATTGTAACGCAGCTTTAAGCCCGCTCCAGTAAACAGGAGTCACGCAATCAATGCCGAGTCTTATTCCGACAAGTATGAGGGTTGGCTGAATCTCGTCTGTACCATTACGGGCAACCTCCAGGAACCTATCGCGATATACCTCCCCGGTATCATTTGTGACGTATACGTTGAGAGATGGCTCTTTCCACGGACCAGAAAGGGCCCTAACAGGAAGATTAGCTTCTGGACCGTACAAAGGTGGGCCTTGCATACTCAATGCATCTGGCAGTTGCGGATGGCCCGAACCATTGCCCTGGGTATTTGCCGCATGATTGTGCACCATGCTGTACGAAGCGGTGAATTGAAAAGGGTGCACTTGGGGTGTCTGCAAAAAGTGATAGCAGTCTGGCTTCGTCTTCGAGTCTCTGCCCACGGCGCCAATCTACTATGGTATCAGCAAGGACACTCTGGCCGTCATTGAATTGTGAAGAGCAAGGTTGGTACCGCGCCCAAGGAGTAGCAAGGCCATTGTGTTGATTAACAGGCTCTGGCCCGACCTTATCATACAACCCCACCCAGTATCTGAGGTAAACCCTTCGGTGTCCAACAACTGACTTCGTAGTCGAACGCTTAGTGTCATGGAAGCATTGGCATCGTGGCCATCGGGTCTGGGTATCGGTATAAAATTTGAGCGGTAGGTCATCCATATTCTCGACTCAAAGTCTGAGATGAACGCCTCTGGCCAACTATGTTCTGCCGTACCCATTGTCCTTGAGGCGGTCGATACAACCACATCTCTCTCGTCCCCCTTTTGGCCGTCATCATCTACGCGATATGCAGGTATTAGTTGATGCACTGCCTCAGTTCCGACCTCTTTCCACGATCGATGCCTTGTGGCTGCAGGTGGGCTTACGAGTCTTTGACTGTGATGCTCTTGCCTCCGCTGAAGGGTATTTTACCCCTAGACACCAGATGGGTTCATGCGGTTGTCTGTCATTCTTGGGCTCGGGGTCCCAAATGTATTGCACGATGCGTTTGCTGCACCGGCCAATATCAACAGCATTCATGGCCGTTGTCTTCTCTCTGGGTTTGCGCAATGCTCATACCTGGCTCCTAGGAAGATGTATGGTTGTCACCGGGTGGGATGCTACGTCAGTACTCGGTGGGTGGGTGGGTCCAAGAGTTATCGTTCGGCCCGCTTCAGTCATGTGGGATGGCCATTTGAGCACGGTGTGCAGTACTACACGGTACCTGCTTGATGAAGCTCCCTATGAGTGTTTCCTGGCTAATGAGGTAGGTAGAAGCAGTCAATTCTTATTGTCTATTGAAATTCATATGCTGTGCAATGCTTTGGTAAGCAGGGGGCGCATTGATAGTTATTGCAAGTGAAGCACTGAGTCATGGGAAGTCGCCCTTAAGTCATCCACTCATGTATTATATATATGCAACTCAGTTACCCATGCCGTGACTGACCCTACCAGACTGACCCACCAGTAGTGGCTAGCTCCAGACATCGTCACAGTTTCGATTCAGGAATGAAAAATCACAGACATTTTGAATCAGTCAATAGTTCCGTAGAAGACCGCCAAGATGCACACAACAGCATCTTGACGATGAAATCATCTCGGGGTGCACCTATAAGATACCCACAATACAGTGGAGTGCAGGCCTCAGACCAACTCCGCAGTTACACACTCACCGCCCGCCAAAAAAAAAAGGAAACCTAAAGCCAACCCGCTAGGCTCAGCAAAGACATTGTCACCTGAATGAAAATTTAGCCCATTTTCTTCCAGCAATACGAACCGAATACTGCTACAATCAGAGGACACGGACAAATCGCAGCACAAGAATGCCTCGGTCCAAGATAAAAGCAAAAGGCAGAAAGTGCAGAGCCACGGACTCCAGCTTCCAAGGTAGTATCAGCAGCGCTGGCGTAGAAGACCTGCCGGTTCACACTAACGCCACCGAAGCTACAGGCAGAAACCATCTCACCCTACAAGAAGAAGCACGCAACACAGAGGGCCGCAACTCAAGGCGAACCAATGTTTCTCTTCGCTACCAAGCCGTACTGTTCGTCAGCGCAGGAAGCATACAACCTGACGAAGACCCGAACACGCGGTCTCCGGAACTCCCAGATGAAACTCAGGGCCTGCAAGCAAAAAAGCCATGTGAGGCAGCTACAACCCCAAGCTCATCACTGGAAATCCAACATTGCCGAAGTCATACAGGATCATCAGACGAAGACGTTGCAACGACAGCCAAGTCGGCCATGACAGACTGTGATCCGTGCCTACTCAACCCTGAAGATTCCAGCGAAGATGAGGTAGTATTTCCAGGGCGCCAGAATCAGTCCAACCAGTGGTATACCCTCGAAAATGGAGGGTCATCCCACACCGCGCCCACTTCCGCAGACACGGACAGGCCCATCAAGGAAACGCGGACCAACTGTTTGCTTGATGTGCGCCTGGGGAAAAGGTCGTCGATACAACTTGGCATGGTGGCCGGGGGTTTGCCGGTCGAACAGGGATTGGGTGATTGCTCAGATTACATTGATATCAGGTCCAACAGGGCGGAATCCAAGAAGAAGACGACGAAGCATTACATATCCGAAGAGGAGGCTATACTAGCTGACTATATCGCCAACATGGATGATGAGTATGTGATGCTGCACGATAGACAAACTAAGATGACATCTCGCGAGGTGGATTGCATTATACAGACGCGTGATTTTTCACCTTCCAGCATTAGGAGTGCCGGACTTGCCGACGAGGAGAAAGTATCCCATGATGAGATCGTCCGCCAGCGGTCCTCGCAGGAGGGCATTGACATAGCAGAATGTATGTACTACTTGTCTGCACCATGCATTCCTGTTCTGACGGCACCAGGTAATAATTTGGCGGGACCGAGGAGGCAAAACTCGTCAACTATCGGAGATACGAACGGACTCGATCGGGAAGGCGTTCAATTGATTACCACGCCGATCGACACGGCTGCCGAGAACGCCGATGAGAGAACGGAAAGAGCGGTCCCATCGGACGCTTCCTCTGACCTAGGTACCACCGACAGCAGAGAGTGGGAGACCGGCGATTATCATTCACATACAGAAAGAAGGCTAAATGAAGAAGAAAGCTTGATTGCATCGGCTACTGCGTTTGCCGACGCGCTAGATCTCGATCCCTACTATGGTTTTGATATTATGGATTTTAACCGGCCAAGCTTGAAGAAGAAAGCAAAGGGGAAGGGGCACGCCTTTGATGCAGCTGTATTCGAAAGTGACTTGGAGGCGGAACTTCTCAGCGCATGGCAAACCGATCGAGCCAAAAAGAGGTTGAGAAAGCAGCAAAGAGAGAAACTTCGCTCAGAAGGCTTGCTTGGCCGACGAAGCGGCGAACCAGATCTCAGAGTCAAGTACGCGAAAGGAATGGACATGGTTGAACTGAAGACGGAAATTCGACTTTTTCTGCTATCCACAAAAAAGAGGTATTTCCGATGTCCTCGTATAGTTGGAGTGTACACTAATTGGATGGCTCAACCAGCCTGGTTCTCCCTCCTATGGCGAAGCAACAACGAAAATTGGTGCATGAATTGGCAAATTCAATGGATCTGAATTCTAAATCACGTGGCAAAGGATCGAGCCGCTTCCCAATCTTAAATAAGACATCCCGAACTCCTGGTTTCACTCAGCAGAACATTCCTCAATTGGACCGCATGCTATCTAAGGGTGGGTTTGTCCAGCGAGACTTTAGGTCCGGGGGGCACCAGGCGATAAGATCAGCCAAGTCTCGACGCGGACGCCCCGACGCATCGGCATCATATATGGATGGTGAAGTCGTTGGTGCTTCTGCGCCAGAGATCGGCGCAGGAAACAGAGGAAGAGCCATGCTTGAAAAAATGGGTTGGAGCATCGGCACCCCCCTGGGTGCTAGTAACAACAAGGGTATCCTACAGCCGGTTGTGCATGTCGTCAAGAACTCTAGAACCGGCCTTGGCTAGACTGATATGTACTGTACACAGATGGCTGGACGAGCTTTGCTTCTCAAGCCGGTTGCCTATGACCCAGGTTGTATAAAATCTGTTTTTGTACTGTAGTTCATAATGGTTTTGAGCTGTGCTGGGGTCGCACAAGCGACATGAAGAGTTTCAGCAAACAGAGAAAAACTTGAAATAAGCGGGTAAATCACGCGTCGTCACTCAGTGTTAATTTTCATCTCCTTAATAGAGAACCCTTCAATTGCGGCTGAGCATGCCTAGAATTTCTGATATGAGTGAACAGTTGTGATTTAGAGGGAAAATCGGCACCACAGGTGATACAAATAATGTCCTGGGACTGATCCCTGGCTTGTTGGGCCTTTCTCAGACGTTTCTGCTTCGCTTTACCCAATTTTGTTGGAGGTGTCAATGTCTGGCTGTTTATATGGGTTGCTGCCAGAGACTGCGTTATATCATGCAATATGTCTGATGTATCCTGTGTACCATCCTGTGTCGTCAGGTGAAATTGGGTTTCCACGGAATTTCGAGGCGCATAGTCAACATCGCTGTCTGAGATGGTAATAGGCTCCTCAATTTCCTCAATCGAAGAGAAAGCTGCGCTGGCCCCAATAGTTTCTTCCTCGTCACGGTTAAGATTGGCATCTCCACTGTCTGTCTCCGGATATGTACTGCGATTCAGTGACTCGCAACTCGTCGAAGTCAATCGTGACCTGGGGTCCGCGCATGGCACACAGCCTGAACCATTGCATGGTGATGCGGTTGTTTCTTGCTTACTGTCGTTGGAAGTGAAACTGTCCACCAATCCCAGTTCCTTATTCTCGGCCCTCATTTCTTTCTGTAGCTGCCTGACGGCTTTGATATGTTTTTTGCTTCGTTCATGTGCCTCGAATTGCCTGGCACTTTTGAAGCTTTTGTCACATACGATGCAGTCAAAAATCTCTACCGAAGTATCTGAGATACTGTGATCATCATCCGAAACACTGCCAAAATGCTCTTCTGACCTTGCCCAGTCTGGAGCAACATAATCGCGGAACTTGGCTTGATTGACCGCCCGTGACTTAGCTGCTTGCGCAGCAGCGGACCGACGAAGAGTTTCTTGTCGCTGAGATTCGCTCTGAACACTTGAAATGTACCGTGGATCTCGCTTTTTGACGAATGCAACAAGAGACCTAACTGCATCGTTGAACTCCCGCATACCTTCATCGCGCAGACGTTTATTCTCTTTCTCCATCAGCCGCCTGACGCGACGATCTGGAGCTTCTGAATATCGATATTTATCCTTCCATGCGAACGTCTTCGTTGTTGAGAATCCGCTCCATACTGCATAAAATGGACGCACAACTTCTTCGAAGCCATCATCGTGGTGACCGAATGTTGGGTACTTTACTGCATTGATATTTTCGCCGCACAGACCCAGTTCTTCCTCCAGAGCAAGACGTGAAAAGATCTCGCGAAGACCACCATAAAATCCTTCAGGTGCATCAGAGAACTCCATTCGAGGGCTGAACTGTGAGAACAACCTGAAAATATCATCTGCTGTCGTAATCCTAGTGTTATTTGAGAGTCTGACATCTTCGAATTTGCCATCCTTCCCTAGAACGGCTTCTCGATGTGAATCATACCAGGCGCGCTCTTGAGGATCAGAGAGCACCTCGTAAGCAGCTTGGACCTCAGCAAATAGTTTTGTCGCGTTCTCAATATTGCCAAAATTCTTGTCGGGATGTAACTCAAGAGCTTTCTTCCGGTATGCTTTCTTGATTCTTGTCAAGCAGAGTGCACATGATGTCAGTCTTCCAGACAGCTAAACAGAATATGTAGATTCGACAAGCGGGGCAGAACGTTTGGTTGGCTTACTCCTCTCCAGATGCGTCTCGAGCAACCTGCAGGAGTTCATAATAATCAATTCGCCTGTCGACCGCCGGAGTGACCTCCTCATTATGCGCTGTGGAATAGTACTGGCCCATTTGAATAGTGATAATTTCTGTGGTTGCAATAGGGGTAGGCCGGATATGGACAAATTGTGCTGAGTAGGTAACCAAAGAGAATCAAACTCCGGCCCGCCTCATTCTGATTCGTGGTCATCAACCTCGGTTGCTCAACTCGTAGGTAACAACTAGTCAGTTGCTCCTTCCCCAGCCAAGTGTTAAGGTTACTTTTGACATATTCTCTTGAGTCACCATAGAATCCTTCACAGCGGAATGGTTTTGTCTCTTGATTGTCTTCCCGAAGAGTTGCTACAACATATTCTCCATTACTGCCAACCTTATACCACGGCTACACTAGAGCAGACAGCACGCCGGTTTCGTGGCGTAACAAATGAACCAGCATTATGGCGCCATTACTGTTTGAGTAATTTCGAGTTTTGGGCTCCTGAGCATGAACTTCCAAGGAGGCTAGCAGCTCCTATATCAGGAACAGATTGGAAGAGGCTTTACATTCTGAAGCATACGAGCTACCGCGCAACTTCACGCCTGCTGGATAGCATCATCTGCAGCCAGGTCGGAAGAATCCAGAAGTTCCAAGCAATCACAGACCTTGGGTTTGATGCTAAAGATGCTCTTTCACATAACCTTTTGGTGAGATCTAAGGCAGATGACCAATTGGCACGGAGGTTGGTACCAATGACCCATGCTGCCTGCCGACAACTCTTTAACCGTATATCTGCCATCAAAGATACTATGCTGGAGCAGTGTTGTCTTGTCTTCATCGAAGCTTTGCCATCCGCGAATGGGCAAAATTGAGAAGTGGGGAGCAAGTCTCTCTGAGCAGAGCACTTGCGGCGTTCGATCTCTTTATTTGTGAGAGTGGGTTTGGCAGTCTCGAGGAGGTAGGCACCGACCTCTGAGATGGCCTAGCGCCTCCTTGACTAACTTTCTCTTTTAAGGTTATCAGCAGGCTAGATCAGATCATTCCAATGTTGGTCGCCAATTACCCTGAAGTTCACCTGAAGACGAGCCGTGATAAGGCCAGGACGATTGCCAGATTCCTGAGAGCGAACAATCTCACTGGTATTGAACCGGGAAGGGGCTACCATTGCTTGGATCACAATTTCATAGGTGTTTCGCTGAAAGATCCATCGCATAATTCACTCCCCTTAGTTTCGGCTGCCATTTATTGCCATGTCGCACAGGGGCTAGGCCTGGACGCCCGGCCATGTGGATTCCCTTTCCATGTTCACGTGATTGTCACGCCACCAGTCGGGTTTGATATCGATGATCAGGAAGTCGAAGCTGGAACACGAGGGCCTCCAATTTATATGGATCCATTTAGGTCAGATGAAGAGACACCGGTCGCGGACTTACAACATCAGTTGAACTTCCTGGGAGCCTCTGCTGCAGAGGAAGCGATGTTCCTTGGTGATTCCGAGATATCAGAGATCGTACTTCGTTGCAGCAAGAACATTCTGAACTCTCTTCAGCGCGGTAGTAACTCCCGGCATGCACGGTCTGCATCGGTTGATTTGGTTAGTGCTAAATATGCGGCTCTCTGGTCATACATACTGCTTTCAGATCCAGCTCGGCCAATCGAATTGAGACAAAATCTGCCATGGCTGATGGAACTTCTAGCTATGGAATTTCCAGCCGATATAAATATGGTTGAGCAGTTCATCACTCCACTTTTTGACGGCACGGCTGAGTATAACCATATCTTGGAAAGCCTTCATGTTATGCGGGCTGTGGACAGTATTCCGAGAGAAATCAAAAGACGCTCTCCTCAAGATGATAGAGTCAAGTATCGAATTGGACAGGTCTGTAGGCATCGTCGATATGCATACAGCGCCATCATCACCGGGTGGGATGTGGAGTGTGGTGCAGGCGAACAGTGGATGAGGAGAATGGAGGTTGACCGTCTCCAAGACGGCCGACACCAGAGTTTTTACCGGGTACTGTGAGTGATAGCTCGTGCTTTACGGGTTACTATTTAATTCTGAAGCTGACAGTTTCAGTGTTGATGATAGAAGTGTTCGGTATGTTGCAGAGGAGAACATTGAGCCTATTATAACGGAGTTGATGGATTTGCCGCACACCCTTGTTGCAATTGCGGGCAGATACTTCAAAAGGTGGGATAGCAACAGGAGGGTCTTTGTGAGTAATATTAAGGATGAGTACCCTGATGATTAATTAGGTACGGGGTCAAGGACAGTACCGATCTGTATACCAAAAATTATTAAACTGTACTAATTTTCTTATTATAATACCAGTACAGAGGTGCGCGCCAAAAGTCTTCGCCCCCTTGGACCCACTTACCCGTTCGTTTCTGTAATGCCATGGTAACCATTCTATGTCTTTCTCCATACAAATTTCTATGTAATATATATAGCAGCATTTATTAACAAAAATTTATAAAAAATAGTTATCTAAAACACTAAAAATAAAGCTATTTAGATATATAGAAAGACTCTAAAGCCTTAAAATAATAGTCCTTCGCACAAATCAACCTATCTTAATAGTATATCTGTAGTTGATATGTTGGGCTCGAGGCCCTCCAGACGCCAAGTGTCGCTCTGTGGTGGTTCCGACCATGGCGAATTCTGCCGTTAGCTTCGGGCATTCTTTCGACGGAGTCGATTTCCGTCTCCATCTCATCATGATCAACATCATCATAATGAATAAGAAATCCTTATTACTGAACCATAATATATGGTAGCATGTCCTGCTTTATAATAATCCAGTGTTTCTTATTACTATAAAATTAGTTGTCTATAATATCTTTCAAGATATCTATTTATTATTCATTATTTTTTAGAGAATCTACTGATCTCTTTATTATCTATATATCTTGAGCTTACTATTTAACTAGACCAGAATCTTCTGATACAGACTATTATTTGTGTGGTTCATATTCTGAATACTATCTAAACTTATATATTATATTATGAGATACTATAATAGCTATATCTATTTCTTTCAAGATTATATAGATAGTACTATTTTACTCCAAGTATATTATAAGGGCTAGGATGGTGAAATAGCGTGATGAACGAATAGCCTTGCAAGGCCAAAGGTACCAGTTGATTGCCTGAAGGTGTTGCTAATCTGTCTAATCCACAAGTTACCTATTCTCTAAATAGAAGATCGCGGTCTGCTTACTTAGCTATTATATAACTAGTATCTAAAATCTACTATATAGATTTTTCTTTATAATTACTTATAAAGATTAAAAGAGGTACTTTAGCTTTTATAACTATTTTTCTTTTCTTATAGAGAAATATTACTTCTTATAATAATATTTTTAAAATCTTTTCTTTATAAATACTATTTATAGAAAGGTAGAATAATGAAAAAGATAGCTTTACTTTTTCTTATTTTATAGATAATATATTATATTATCTACTAGTCTACTTCTTTATAATATTTCAGATATATCTTTTCTCTATAATTAAGATAATTATTTTCTAGTAAATAGTATTAAGTTTCTCTTAATTTATCTATTTAAATTATCTAATCTACTTTAAAGTTAAGATTAATAAAGCTAACTTTATAGAATAAGAATTCTTTATTATATAAAAAGACTCTTTCTTCTTTTATTAAGATTTTTTTTTAAAAGTCTTTTTCTCTTTTTCTTAATATAAGTCTATTTATATATAATCTTTCTTTTTAATATTATAAATTATTAGTAAAATATTTTTTTAAATTTTAATCTTTTTATAAGCTTTAATAATCTTATAAACTTTAATATTTTTATAAATTTGAATATTCTAATTAACTTAATCTTCTTTATTAGAGCTTTTATAAACAAAAACTTTTTTCTATTATAATATATATATTTTTCTTTCTTCCTTTATAGAAATATTTTTAATATACTTTTATAGCTATTTTTTACTATAAATTATTTATTTCTACTACTAATATAATTATCTCTATGTGATAGGATCTACTTGTCAGGGTAGAAGGCCTGTTGACTAGGTAAGGAATCAACCACTAAACACTTATGGATTCGTCTAGTAATGACAAAGGTAGCCTATATCCATAAAATAGACTAATCCTTGAGGATCAGTAGCTTCCTGCAGAGGAATCAGCATCTTATAGATATTAGAAAGATATAGGTTTGCTATTAATAACCTCATAACTCCTATAACTACTATAGTATATTATTCTAATAATCTTACTTTCTATAATTAGATTATTCTATTATAAATAGCACTCTTCTTCACAGAGACGAGCTACCTAACTTAGGTATTGGAGATAACCTTATATATCCCAATTAGGAGCGGCGGGGACCCGGTAACAAAAGATAAGAAACCCATAGAGTAGATAATATTAACAGAATTACATGTCTTTTCTATATAGATTTACCAGTATTTAGTTATAATTACGTAGGTGGATCTGTTAAAAGAGAGTATAAATAAAAGAATCTCTTATATTATTCTTATTATTCTTTTCTCTTCTCTTTATCCTCTTTACTTCTTATATTACTTATCTATTAGTTAATACTTTAAGTATTCTATTATATCTTTTTATATTCTATCTACTAGTATATTATATTCTTTATATTAGACTTTTAATATACTAGATAGAACAACTAGTATATATTACTACTACTATACTTCTATAACTACTTAATCACACCCTATACACGATATAGTAATTAGACCCTATTAGTTATAGTATATATATTATCTCTGGATCTTATTAAAGCACTTCAAACCTAAAAATATAGATAAATAGAAGGCCTTTACAATTAACTATATTTTAAATAAATAGGAATTTATCCTATACTAACAGTGTTACGGCTGCCAAGGTAGATATAAAGTAGTAGGGATTTGTAAACCCCTTTAGATATACTTTAGCTAATATACTTAGATATCTACTAGTATACTTAGGAATATAGCTGAACTTATAGAGCTTCTAGACTAGTACTATAGTTACTTTTTTTCTAAAGCTGAAGATAAGAAGAATAAAGCTTCTATTAACTTTAATAGAAAAGTTCTTTATACTATAAATAAAAGTATAGTATATCTTAGAAAGATCTTTATATAAATAGTAACTATATACTATTAGTACTATAGTTTATTAGTAGTATAGAAAATAGTTTATAAAGATAAACTTATTTAGTAACTAATATACTAATACTTTACTAGTAATATATAACTAATTATAAAGTATTTCTAGTCTATTAATATAGAATTATTAGAATAGATATTAAGAGGCTTTATCTTATATCTAGAGATTCTAATTATATTCTTTAAGTCTTAGCTAAATAGTTATTCTATACTAATATCTTAGATATAATTAGGCTCTAGTTTAAAGAAAAATAGCTAGATAATATTCTTATTTAAATATTTAGAGATTTTTTAGTTATCTTAGATAAGTTATAAGACTAACTTATCTTAGTTTTATAATAGAAAAGATACTAAATTATAGTATTATAAGAGTTTTAGTATATATAGATATAATCTATTATCTTATAATAGTATAATTAATATATCTATTAGTATACTAGAGTATATAATAAAATACTATAAGATATTATATAATTAAATATATCTATAAGATATATATCTAATACCTCTAATTACTTAGTAATACTTTACTAGAATTTAGTATACTTTTACTTCTAATACTTTCTTTAGTAATTTCTAATATATTCTTATATATTTATTATATTTTTACTAGAAATCTATTAGTTATACTTACTTAGCTATTTCTTTTATTTAATATTATAATAATCTTAACTATTATAATATTAATAATTTTTAATCTCTTTAACTTTCTATTTATCTTTATTATCTAACTCTAGTATAAGAAGTAGTTCTTTATAGTTTCTTTTTATATTCTACAGCTCTAGTAGAGAAATATAGAATATATTATAAATTTATCTATATTCCTTAGATAGATATAAGTAATATACTTAGATTCTAATATATTTAAGAATCTAAAAGAATACTATAAACTTTAGAGCTAGCTTTCTTAATTCTTTAAGTTATAGATTTTAGATTAATAGCTTAACTAGATCTCTTTCTTTAAAGTAGAATAGTTTTCTATACTTATTATAGTATTTTTTTTACTTTTCTATAGCTATTTATTATATCTTTTATAGTTATTCTTTTACTTTTTAAAGTCTATTAATTTTATCTTATACTACTAGAATCTTCTTATATTAAGAATTACTCTTAATTTAAATATAGAAGTTAGAGAAATAGGTAAATAAAATATAATTAGATAATTATCTAGTAGTTATATTATTTATATTATTATAAGTAAACTAAGTAGTTTATAGTATTATAAGCTAATTTACTTTAAATTAACTTAAATAATAATATAGATAGTATTTAAGTATCTGATTTATTCTTTCTATTTAACTATTAGTTTAAGAGTAATATATTATTAAAAGCTTTAAGATAATATAGCTATTATAATATAAATTTAATTAGAATTTACTTATAAAAATAGATTCTTAATCTAATATAATACTATTAGATAGTCTAAAGATTAGTTTAATCTTTTAGTAGAAGAGTTTAGTAAGATCTAGAGTAGTAATTATAAATAAGACTAAAAAGAAAAGTAAATATTTTAAAAAATAGTTAACTATAACTAAGATAATATTAATAATCTTTCTAGACTAAATAACTAAAGATAGTTCTATAATAAAATCTATTATTAATTCCTTAAAAGAATAAGATAATATTAGTAGTAATTTAAGTTTATTATATAACTAATACTTTAGAGTAGTATTCTCTTAATATATTAAATAAGTTTAAATATACTAGGCTATATTATAATATAATTTATTTTAGTAGAATTTTCTATATAATAATATCTCTATTTAGATCTTTCTAAATTATTCTACTAAGAGATTATTATAGTATAGATAAATAAGTATCTAATATAAGATTTCTAAGAATAGTATATAAAAATAATTCTTAAAATAAATATAATTTATAGAATTAATATTCTAGTTCTTTTAGTCTAATTAGTTTTATTTAATAATAGTCTTTTATCTTTATATCTCTAGATCTTTATTTTATAAATATAAGATCATTTTCTAGAGCTTAGAATTATATATATCTAAGTATAAAACTTCTATAGTATATATATATATTACTATAGATTAGAGAATAAATCTTTCTTAAGATAAGTTCTTCTAAGTAGTCTAGTTAACTATCTCTATACTAGCTTAACTATTAGAGTTCTTCAAGCTTAGTACTATATAGATATTATACCCAGGATATCTCTATATATTATAAAGTTTAAACTAGGATTTCTCTTTAACTAGATTTTTAATTATTAAAAATAATATATCTATAAAATACTCTTAAATTAGGGT